ATTCAATAAAGTAGTTTTACCAGCACCAGAAGCACCCATTAAAGCAGTAACCTGGCCAGGTTTAACCCAACCATCAACTTCATTCAAGATGATACGATCTTCCTTTTTAATTTTAACTTGATAAGTTAATTTTCGCCAATGGAAGATATTACCAGATTCTGGAAGATTATTTTCCATTAGAGCGTCACTGTCTTCGTCATCATCATTTTCAATTGCAGGAGATTTTTCGATTTCACCAGTTTCAATATCTTGAACTTTTTCTGAACCATTCAATTGGTTTTGTTTCTTAATCTTTTTCAAAGCAGATCTTTGAAAGACCAAAATTTCACCCTTTTGCATGGCACCTTTATTATATTCACAAATAACGAGATAAATAATAAGGAAAGCAAAAGCAAAAACCACCACAATCCCCCAATTTCTCCATTTATGATGATTGTAGTATTTAAATGCAGTGTTAATATAATTATCACCATTAACTTTTGAATCACCAGGATTAGAACCAACAACCGAACAAATAAAATGGTCACCAGAAGTTGGATAACCTGGACCAGTAGGGACATATTGGGAACATGGGAAATCACGGCCATGGAATTCATTTGCAATTAAAGCTTCGAAAGCGTAAGCAAGAGGATCTAAATAATTAATCCATCTTGACCAACCATGCATTTTTGGAGTTGGAACAACGAACCCAGTATACATAGAAAGAGCCATTAAAACAATTGAAGCAGGTAACAAGGCAGTTTGTAAACTTTTAGTAGCAGCACCCAAAGTTCTAAATATATGGGACATTGCTAACGTAGCAGTGAAGTTATAAAGTAAGTAAGTGAAGAAAGCACTTGGCGTTCTTTTGAAATTAACCATGAAATACAAAACCAAATTAAAAGCAAAACAAATTAAAAGCTTAGCTGGTAATTCCGTAACAATTGAAGCCAAAGCATCAGCCGAAGGATGATATAAAGCGTAAGTTTTATGTTTTTCCACAATTGGTCTAGCTTCATAAAGAGAGAAAATCTCCAAAAGGGAAGAGAAAGAGTTAAACAAGACAGCAAAGAACATAGCAGCAGTTCTATGAAAGAAGGAATTAGTGTTAAACTTCATATTATAAAAAATAGAAGCAACAATTAAACTCATTGCCGTATTACCAAAGATTGAAAATAAAGTGATTGAAGGATCACCTTTAGTTCTTTTAATATTTCTCCCCATGATATATTTGATTTGTAAACCGAAAGAAACAGTGAATGGGGAGGCAGGTCTTGCCTTCTTAGATTGTCTTGAATGATGAGATTCTTTCAAGGCCAAAGCTTTATTTTCAGATTTAATTTGGTTTTCATAGTCACCAATATCATTTAATAATTGAGATCTATCATTAGAGTTTTGCCAATAGTCATAAAATTCCTTAGGGGTTCTAGGGACTTTATCTTCAAACCCAGGTTTAACCACTCTTTCAGCAGGATTAGTTAAGGAGGTAAGGAAATCAGCGGTAGTTTGTCTATCCGGACATTCATAACCCATTTTTAAGAAGTAATCTTTAGCGTCAGTAGCCGAACCGAAAAAGATTTGATAACCTTCGTATAAAAGAATAACTTTATCGAATAAATCATAGGCGTCTTGAGAACATTGGTAAATTGCAATCAAGGGGGTAGTTTTTTCGATTTCCACAGAAGTTTTCAAAGCACGAATGAATTCAAGAGCGGTAGCGGAGTCCAAACCTCTAGTTGAGTTATCCCAACACTGAATCAAGGCTTTACTTAAAGTAACTTCAGCGATTGAAACTCTTTTACGTTCACCCCCCGAAACCCCACGAATGAAATCATTACCTACTTTAGTATTTCTAGTATGGGATAAACCATAAGTGGCCATGACAACATCGGCCATGAATCTAGCATAGGTTTCGCGATCCACGCCTACTGGTCTGTTAGAAGGAGTTCTCAATTTAGCAGCAAATTCCAAAGTATCACCGACTGATAAATGAGGGAAATGAGCTTCGGTTTCAGCACAATAAACCACATCACCACGATAGTGGTTTTTAATTTCCGAAGGGGATAAACCGTCGTAAGAGAGTTGGGAGTTTTGATCGATATGGAAACCATGAGTTTGATTAGCCAAGGTTTTCAAAAAAGTAGAGCAACCAGCACCGGGTCTCCCAAGGACCACGGTTAACTCACCGGGTCTAATCAACCCATCCATTGGTTTCAAGATATCGAATTGCTTTGATTCATCTTGTTTACTGAAGAAATTCAAGACTTCACCGGTGTATTTTTGGAAAACATTACCGACATTAGATTGGAAATCAGCATCCGAAGCTTTACCGTAGGCTCTTAAATCTTTATAATAAACCCCAAGCGAGGTTGGCTTATAATATTCTGGATCTTTCGAAACAAACGATCTGAAATTCTTCACCCAATATTTGGAGTCGAAGTCTGGGCTTTCTGGGTCTAATCTTGGATCAGTAATATCAACCATTGGATTATTCCCGGGGGCAATGGATGAATTTTGAGAATGCCTTGACACATTGGTTAATGTTCTGACTAGCTGTTGAACCTCCTGGTGGGCTTCACTAGTGTATCCACGATAATTATCAGTTTCATGTTCGTTAATTGAGTTGGAGACTTTTTCAGAATCCTGACTAATTGAAGACATGATTGATTAATGATGGAAGAATAGTAGAAGAGAACAACTGCATTTGGCCTTCTTTTATAATGTCGACGAACTGACTTATCGGATTTTACAAGTCATCATTCGATCAACGGTTGGCGGAGGATAAGTTGATGCTACCGAAGGCCCCAGACCTGCTGCAGCATTTTTGGCTGAAAAAAAGGTGAAGCCGTTATCCGGGGCGGAAGCTTCCTGGGTGCTGGACACCCTGCCGTTCCGAAAGATAAATAAACACGTAAACAAACCACGTCACACGAGCACTAACCCGTACATTTGAGAGAGAAGTTGATGAGATGGTAGATGGTAGATGGTAGATAGTGAATTGTAGATGATATATAATGAATTGTAGATGATATATAATGAATTGTAGATGATAGATGGCAGATGGTAGATGGTAGATAGTAAATTGTAGATGATAGATGGGTATACACGAGTATCTGGATGTTCATTTGATTAGTCGATTATTTGAGCTCATTCGAGTAGGAATGCCTCTGTGCGCTGGACAGGGAAGAGCAATTACAAGAAATAGTAAAGCACGGCGGCTCATCAAATTCAGCCAGTGGCCTTTACAGGGCTGAAGCCAACCTGGGATACTCCATCAACAAAGTCGACCCTGGCATCTGATAACGAAGGCGCGGCTGAATACAAAAGCAGCAATGGGCGGTACGGGTGTGCGACCCATGCAGCGAATATCCCCCCAAAAGTCTTCATCTGAGGCATCCCGGGTATACCGACTGTACACTGACTAGACCTAGAAATAGCATGCTATACCTAATAACATACGATCCCAACATCCTCCTTAGCATCCTCCGAAACATCCTCCTAAATGACATCTGTACAAACACTGTACAACTGTACAACTGTACAACTGTACAACTGTACAAACAAACAAACTGTCAACTAAGGCAACGGTGAACCCCACGAAGCACGTGGTGGGTGGTGTGCGGGTGTTTGCTGTATGAAGTCTTATGAAGCCACCCACACGTGTGTTACGTAAGCAGCATGGTCCCAAAATGAGATCTGTGTTTCAGATAAAGCAAGACAACCACGGGGAAAACGTGGTACACCATTGAAATTGACACCTTTTTTTCAAAAAAATATCAACATTTTTATTACTTCGTTATCAGTGAAACACTCCAGTTTGACGGGACCATAAAAAGGTTGGGAAATATATAACTAATATTCATTGCGCACAACACCGGGAATTTCTGGCAGGTTTTTTTTTCTTTTTTTCGTGCTTTTTTTTTTTTTCTTTTCTCTTTTTAATTCTTGCTAAAACTATTAACTAGATGATTAAGATAATGTCGAGTATGAGTCCCACCAGAACCATACATGGATCCAGTAGCAGTTCGCCACTACGAAAGGAGAGGATGCTGAGTAGTGAACCTCGATCTCCAGGAATAAGATTGGGGACTTCGCAATCATCGAATCCATTCACCAAGATCGATCCATACTTGAATCAGTACTTAAATCTACATCCAACCAAACAAAATGAACACCAGATATATTTCAATAGCATCATCAAAAGTAAGAAAGTCAAGCAGTATGAGCTATACTCCAAGTATCTTGTACATAAGTCGCCGTTAGTATCGATTCCATCGCCAATTTCCACATACCAGCATAAACAACCTCATCAACAATATATCCATAAAAAAATTAGTCCAATAATACCGGCCAAACAAAGTTTGCAAATACCCATAAGTCAATCACCCAAAAAAATCAAGCTCACCCCAGAAATTACCCCAATAACGAATAAATTTAATGAAAAAATCGACCAGGTAGAACCCAAAATAGAAAAAGTTCCAAACAATTTCATGAATTGTTCAATTGATATTTTGATCATACTCATCTCCAGAATGGTACAATCGTTAATAACACTAAATGATAAACAGGTACCATCATCGATATCAAACCCGTATTCTTCAAATGAAAATGCGAAAAAAGTTCTTACTAGATATCATTCAAGAACACCACCCTCGATATCAACTTTTACTTACTTGACTAGATTATCGAAATTCAATAATTTTAATCCGGCTACTCTACTAACTACAATCTACTATATTGACTTATTATCGCATAATTATCAACCCTTCTTCACTCTAAACAGTTGGACCGTACACCGGTTTTTATTGGTTGCTACCATGTTGGCTCAAAAATCAATGGAGGATTTTTTTTATACCAATGATCATTATGCAAAAGTTGGTGGGGTGGCCATTAATGAGTTGAATTGTTTGGAAATCGATTTCTTAAACCGGGTCGATTGGCGATTAATCCCGGCAAAACATTTATCCAACGGTAAAAGATCGATTAAAGATTGTAAAAGCGTTTTGGATTTATATTATAATCAATTAATCTTATTAATGGGTAAAAATACCAATAGTTTATTCGAAGATTCAAATATCATCTACACCAATGAAAAAAGTGACCTGGACGAAGATGACGATGAGTCAATGGATGATATAAATGATGATTTTTACGAACATGATAAATATAATAACCAAGGCTTTGCCATTGATGGCAGTTCAAGCCCCCATTTGAAAAGAAGTTATTCTAGGTTTAATAATAAATAGATAAAAGTTTCCCGTTTCACTTCTTCATTTGTAAGCAATCTGTCCCGTTATGCCCTTTTTCCTATCGGATACCGTTATTCCCTTTAATGTCGGATCTAATGGAGGAGTAGTTTACTTGATATCATCGCTTATGAAGTGCGGGCCGGCCGAGACTTCCCAAAACGGACGTCTCGCCCGAAGTGGAATGCGTTGCATTTCTATCAAAAAAAGAAAAAACGGTATTGCTATTGATGGCCAGTACGGCTAACCATCCGATATATATATATACATATATGTTTAAGCACATTCCAGGGTATTTTGTTGCACTAGTTATTCTATAAATCATGTCTGCAATGGAACATGGTAGTTCAATCAACTCGGATGAAAATCCTGCTGATTACCACCCTTCTCATCAATTCGTGGTTGATCCTCAAGCTGAAAATAATGACGATGACTTAGAACAAGGCGAAAGATTGCAATTGGTTAGAACAGTCACTTCCAATCACAATGATGTGTTGGCAAGATTGGAAACATTGTCCAGAGAGTTGTCTAAACGTACTGCCAGTGATGGTGAAATCAAAATTGACCCAGAAGACTTTGATTTGCAACGGATATTACAATCAATTTCCCATGTTAGCCACAGACAAGGAGTCAAGCCCCGTTACTCCGGGATTTCTTTTGAAAACTTGACGCTTAATGGGATTGACCAGTCCTTTTCATTACAACCAACCATTGGTGACATTTTGAAAGGCCCCGTTTCAATTGTTCGAAATATCAAAGCTGCTAAGAATACCCCCCATACCGCTGTTTTGAAAAATTTCAATGGTTATGCTAAAAAGGGCGAAATGGTTTTGGCTCTTGGTAGACCCGGGGCCGGTTGCTCCTCCTTATTAAAAGCATTGAGTGGTACCGATTTGGATTTATACACGGGGTTGGAAGGTGATATTGAATACGATGGTATCCCCCATAAGGAAATGTTGAAATCTTTCAAATCTGATCTTATTTATAACCCTGAATTGGATACTCATTTCCCTCATTTAACCGTGGAAGAAACTTTGAAATTTGCCATAGCTTGTAAAACTCCTCGTTTAAGAGTTAATGATGTTTCGAGAAATGATTTCATTAATGCCGGGTTGGAAATCTTGGCTACTGTGTTTGGTTTAAGACATACTTATCATACTAAGGTTGGTAACGATTTTGTTAGAGGGATCTCTGGTGGTGAACGTAAAAGAGTCTCAATTGCTGAAGCTTTGGCTTGTCGTGGTTCCATCTATTGTTGGGATAATGCCACGAGAGGTTTGGATGCTTCAACTGCTTTGGAATACGCTAGAGCAATTAGAACTTCAACCAATCTCTTGAAGACTACCGCTTTTGTCACCATTTATCAAGCCGGGGAAAATATTTATGAAGTTTTCGATAAAGTTACCGTTTTATATAAAGGTAGACAAGTTTATTTTGGTCCTGCTAAAGAAGCTAAAGCTTATTTTGAAAATATGGGATTCCAATGTCCTCCAAGACAATCTACCGCTGAATTTTTAACTGCTGTTACTGATCCAATTGGTCGTTTCCCTAAACCAGGTTTTGAAAATAAAGTTCCAAACACTGCTGACGAATTCGAAGATTATTGGTTAAATTCTCCGGAATTTAAACGTTTACAACAAGAAATTGCTGATTATAAATCTTCAGTGGCAAAAGATCATACTAAAGACCTTTATCATCAATCAATTAAACAAGAAAAAATGAAAGGTCAAAGAAAGAATTCAAAATTTACAATTAATTACATGGAACAATTGAAATTATGTACCATTCGTGGTTTTCAAAATATTAAAGGTGATAAAGCTTATACTGTTACCAAAGTTTTGGCTGCTTTATGTCAAGGTTTGATTGCTGGTTCTCTTTATTATAATACCCCTGAAACAGTCACTGGTGCTTTCTCAAGAGGTGGTGTGGTTTTCTTTGCTGCTTTATATGTTTCTTTAATGTCTTTAGCTGAAGTTTCGGCTGCTTTTGGTAGTAGACCAATCTTAATGAAACAAAAAAATTATTCCTTATATCATCCATCTGCCCATGCAATTGCAAACACTGTTACTTCGGTTCCGGTTAATTTATTCATTACCATTATCTTTGTGGTTGTGCTTTATTTCTTATCTAATTTGGCTAGAGAAGCAGGTAAGTTCTTTATTTGTCTTTTATTCATCTTTTTGCTATCTTTAACAATGTCTGCTATGTTTAATGCAATTAGTTCAATTAATAAAACCATCTCTGCTGCTAATGGTATGGCTGGTATCTTGGTTTTGGCTACTTTAATGTATTCTTCTTATATGATTCAACGTCCTTCTATGCATCCTTGGTTTAAATGGATTTCTTATATCGATCCTCTTTTGTATGCTTTTGAAGCAATTATTGCTACTGAATTTCATGGACGTAAAATGGCTTGTGATGGTAGTTATTTAATTCCTTCTGGACCTGATTATGCAAATGCTCCAAATTCTGCTAGATCTTGTGCTTTTGTTGGTTCGGAACCTGGACAAACTTGGGTCGATGGTGACCGTTATTTGAAAGTGGCTTACACTTATAGTTTCACTCATGTTTGGAGAAACTTTGGTATTTTGATTGGGTTTTTGGCTTTCTTTTTATTCATTAACGCTGTGGGTGTTGAATACATTAGACCAATCTCCGGTGGTGGTGACCGCTTGATTTACTTAAGAGGTAAAGTACCAGACACTGTTGTTTTACCATCAGAGAAAAACCCAGAAGATATTGAAAGTAATGGTACTGCTATTGAAAAATCAAACTCTTTGGAAAAAATAAGTGAAAATGGTGATTCAAATAAAAAAGATGAGGCTTTACAAGACTTGAAATCAAAGGACTTGTTTGTTTGGAAAAATGTTGATTATGTCATTCAATATGATGGTAATGATCGTAAACTTTTGGATTCAGTTTCTGGTTATTGTATTCCTGGTACATTGACTGCTTTAATGGGTGAATCTGGTGCTGGTAAAACTACTTTATTGAATACTTTAGCACAAAGAATTGATACCGGGGTGGTTACTGGTGATATGTTGGTCAATGGCAAACCTTTAGATATGTCCTTTAGTAGACGTACTGGTTATGTCCAACAACAAGATATTCATGTTTCTGAAACTACTGTCAGAGAAGCTTTGGTTTTCGCAGCCAGATTAAGAAGATCTAATGATGTTAGTGATGCTGAAAAAGTAGACTATGTTGAAAAAATTATTGAGGTTCTTGATATGGGCAGCTATGCAGATGCTATTGTCGGTCAATTAGGTTCTGGTCTTAATGTTGAGCAACGTAAAAAGTTATCAATTGGTGTTGAATTGGTTGCTAAACCTTCTTTACTTTTATTTTTGGATGAACCTACATCTGGTTTGGACTCCCAATCTGCCTGGGCTATCGTTAAGTTACTTCGAGAATTAGCCGCTGCTGGTCAATCTATTTTATGTACTATTCACCAGCCTTCAGCTACTTTATTCGAAGAATTTGATCGTTTGTTGCTATTGAGAAAAGGTGGTCAAACTGTTTATTTCGGTGACATTGGTAGACACTCAAGAGTAATTTTAGATTACTTCGAAAGAAATGGTGCCAGACATTGTAATGACAACGAAAACCCTGCTGAATATATTTTAGAAGCTATCGGTGCTGGTGCAACTGCTGTTGTTGATCGTGATTGGTTTCAAATTTGGCAAGATTCCCCAGAAAATGCTGAAAACATGCGTGTTTTAGAACAATTACTTGAAGACTCTTCGAAGAACGGTAATTCTGATAGTTTATCTAAGGAAGAAATTAAACAATTACTGAAACCTTATGCTACTCCAGTTTATTATCAATTCTGGCATGTTTTATATAGAAATGCCCTTATGTTCTGGAGAAATCCTGAATATTTGGTTTCAAAGTTGGGCTTAATGACTGTAGCTGGTTTATTTATTGGTTTTACTTTCTTTGGTCTTAAACATTCTGTTACCGGTATGCAAAACGGTATGTTTGCTTCATTTTTAGCTGTTGTTGTCTCTGCACCTGTTATCAATCAAATTCAAGAACAAGCTATTAAAGGTCGTGATATTTTTGAAGGTCGTGAAAAGTTATCCAAGACCTATCACTGGTCTTTGATGATGCTTAGTCAATTCCTTAATGAAATACCATATATTTTCTTTGCTGCTGCAGTTATGTTCGTTTCATTATACTTTCCAACTCAAGCTGATACTTCTGGTCCTCATGCTGGTGTATTTTATTTGACTCAAGGTATATTTGTCCAATTATATATTTTAAGTTTTGGTTTATTACTATTATATATTGCTCCGAACTTGGAATCTGCAGCTGTTTTGGTTTCATTCTTCTATACATTCATTGTTGCTTTTAGTGGTGTTGTTCAACCAACTAGTTTAATGCCTGGTTTCTGGACTTTTATGTATAAAGTCAGTCCTTATACTTATCTTATTCAAAACTTGATCAGTTCAATTTTACATGATCGTGAAGTTAAATGTGCAGAGACTGAGTTGGCAATTTTCAGACCACCAGATGGTAAGACTTGTCAAGAGTATGCTGGAGATTTTGTTAAAAAAGCCGGTGGTTATTTAGACGACCCAAGTTCTACTACACTGTGTGGATACTGTCAATACAAAGTAGCAGATGAATACTTGGCAACCATTGGTGCCAAATATTCTTACAGATGGAGAAATATTGGATTTTACTTCGTTTATATTATTTTTGATTTGGCTTTTGTTTTAATCTTATACTGGCTCATTAGATATAGAAAGGGTTCGCTTTTGGCACCAATCAAGAATCTTATTGCATCTAAAAAGAGAAAAAATTAAGTTCGTTTTATTTATGACTGTGACTATGTTTAATATTTAAATTAATGTGTATATATAATAAATATAATAATAATAATTCGTACACGATTACAAAGTAAAAATTTGAATTCACACCTATATTTATAAGCACATAATGTGCTGGAAACAACGTATATACTAAAGTAAGGAAAAAAAATAAAGAGTTCAGTGAAACTTGGTCATAATCAAAGTTAAAAAAAAAAATAAGAAATGAAAAATACTCATCGTAAGCAGTCATGAAAGATAGTGATTGGTTTATTAAGAAAAAACTAATGCATTAAACCAAATATTAACCATGACAACTTTCAAAATATTTCAACAATGATCAATCTCATAATTCAGTAAAATATAGAAAAAAAAAAGAGTAATAAAGAAAAGTCTAGCTAAAAAAAATTGACGACAGTTTATTGAGGTTTAAGTAATTCAAAGGAACAGCAAAGAGCTTTATCAACACTCATTACTGCACCATAATTATTGAACTCACCACAATAATTAGGAGCAGAAAAGATTGTAACTAATTTACGTTTATTGAAGAACTCATAACCGTCTTCAACAACCATATGACCTCTGACAATTAAATCCATATTGAATTTTGATAAGAAATAATCCACATGTTTTTTACCAAAACAATAAGAAACCCCACGATCATTTTTAGGCCAATTAGCAAGGCTAAAAGATTTAATCAGAGAATCAGGATCTGACCATAATAAATCTGCTAGTAAACCTTTATCGGGGATATCAGTAGGACGTTTAATATTTTCAATTTGGTTAAAATTGGTTAATTCTGGGGATAAACCTCCATGAATACAAAAAATTTTATCGTTGATAGTGGCGGCAATTGGTAAAGTATTAAATACATCAACAAAATTTTTCCAAAGTTTATGAGATCCAGTGATAAGGGGTAAACGACGTTTACATTCATCATAAAATCCATAAATTTTAGTAATATTTGCTGATTCATGATTACCTCTCAACATGAAGAAATTTTCCGGGTATTTAATTTTATAACAAAGTAATAATAACATTGTTTCTAAAGATTTACAACCACGATCAACATAATCACCCAAAAATAAATAATTTGTATAGGGAGGGTAACCACAGGCATTAAAGATACGAATCAAATCATGAAATTGACCATGAATATCACCCACGATTTTAACTGGAGGTGATAATCTTAATAAAGTTGGTTGATCCAAAAAGATGGATCTAGACTTTGATAAGATGTATTTAATTTCATTGGAAGTTATTGGTAACTTATCCTTTGAGCGACGAGAATTTGAAGAATAACCACCCAAAGGTTTTTTCATACCGATTTCTAATAAACGGTCAATGATTAAATCAATGTCAATTTCCGATTTTTTTGAATTCAGAGGAATTAAAGGTGGGGAAGAAGAATTTGAAGAGCAAGCTGAAGAAGAACGCTTAATCACTTGAGAATCCAAATCAGCTTTAGCAATAGCTTTAGCTTTTGTTATTGATTGACGTGATAAATTATTCTTCTTTGGAGAAGCCTTTTTAGGTTCAGGAGTTGATTCCAAAGATCTTTCCACAATTGGTTCTAAATTTTTATAATAATCTGAAACATCAAAATTTGTACCATCATTAGGTTTAGCAAAAGCCGCATTAGTAATGGTACCATTAACTGAAACGGTTGGAGAACCAGTAGAGCCAAACGAGGATAGCAGATCTTCATCTTTGGTATCATTTGTAGTAAATACCGGTGAAGCCAAAGTTGACGAAGAACTATCTAAAGAATTGCTGCAATCCGGAACCGATAAATTATTATTTGAAGTTAATAAACGAGCCATACTAAGGTTAATTTCAAGATCCAAGTCAGCATCATTTGAAGAACCTTTACTTAAACCATATTTACCCTTATTTTTAATATTATTATTTTTGGGAATCTTTTTAGGTGAACTACCACCAAAATTACTAGATTTCTTTATATCAGAATAAGATTCTGACAGACTTGATTTCTGATTACTAATTTGAGAAGGAGCATCCTGGGTTGGAATGCATTTTGAATTTGAAATGGAAATAGCTTTGGTTAAAGCAGAAGGAGCAGAAGAAGAAATAAAACCACCAGATTTAAGATTTCCGTCATTTTGAAGGTGGGTTTCGGGACGTTTTGTATAATTATTTAATTGAGATAGCGCGGGCGCTGACTCATCTGGTTCCAAGTCACCAGTACCAGAGGAAGCAGACAGAGTCAATCCTTGACCTGAAGATGAAGAGGTTGAGGTATTCGGTAGAGCATCATTCTTAGACGGGCTATTCCCCATTATATGAATATCTTACTAATTGCCTTTAAAATTAACTCAAATAAACAGCGGCAACAATCTAATTCCAAATTAAAAATTAGTTATACTAGTTATCTCTAACTATAAGGTCTTCTTCAATATGTTAAGCGTCTGATAAACTCTAAACGGAGTATTTCTATTCTTAAGAAGAGAAGACAACAAATAGAAAATTTCGTCGTATTGTATTATCAACTCCCTCACTATGAGGCCTCGCTTGTAGCAGCCCCCTATACTTTTTTGGTCTTGTGCACGCCGCTCTTTTTTTTTTCTTTTCTTTTTTCATTGATGGGGTCGTGTGCGCGGATAAATGGTCGTGTGCGTGTTGGGTGGTGCTTAAGCCCGAAGGTCGGCTCCGGTGTTTTTGCAGCCTTCACTAGATATATGTTTAAATATATTTCTATATATTTATATATATTTTTATATATTTATATATATTTATATATATTTATATATATTTTTATATATTTATATATATTTATATATATTTATATATATTTATATATATTTATATATATTAAATGTATTTATATATATTAAATGTATTTATATATATTAAATGTATTTATATTACATGGTATTGATGTGCCAATACAATTATAACTTCTCGCCGAATAGTTTGGTGACTTCGTCAATGGCTTGGTTGATACCTTCTGGTTTGTCCCCCATACCTTGAACAACATTACCTTTACCACCGGCTTTACCACCGATTTGAGCAGAAACTGCTTTGGCCAAGTCTTGGGCATCAAGACCTTTGGCAATGGCTTCATCGGAGACGTAACAACCATGAGCAACTTTAGCATCGGAAGCACCACCGGTGATTAAATAGAGTGATTTCTCTTTATGTTGTTTTTTGATCAAGTTGATTGCTTCGGTAATGGCTTTAGCATTGGCACTGATTGGAATGTGGCTAACGAAAAATTCATGTTTAGATTCTTCGTCTTTCAACCATTTATTGACTGCGTCTAAAGTTTTCTTCAGTTCTTCCTTTTGTTTTGATTTTAATTGATCTTTAATGGATTTGTCCAACTTATTAAAACTTTCAGTTAATTTGGCCTTTGAAATAACTGAAATTGATAATTTTTTCAAAGCAACACCTAATTCTTTGGCCTTGGTTTCTTTTTCTGATCCAAATGGTAATGATTCAGCTTTGGAAATTTCTTCTCCAAATTCTTTAGCAATTCTTTGAACTTCATGAGCTTCGTTACCAGTGACTGCAACGATTCTTCTGATACCCTTGGCAATACCAGATTCTTCGATAATAATCAAATCTTTGATTTCACCGGTTTTAGCAACATGAGTACCACCACAGAACTCAATTGAAAGTTTACTCCAATCCGAATTACTAGGGTTTTTGATTAACTCTTCCACTGGTGCACCAATTGAAACAACTCTAACTGGATCAGGATAAGTTTCCCCGAAAACGGCTCTTAAACCGTTGATTTCTTTGGCAGTTAAAAGATTAACTTCTTTTGAAAAGACTTCTTTGTTGGATTTAATATATTCATTTGAAATATCTTCAACTTTAACAAGTTCTTCTGGTTTTAAACCTTGTTTATGACTGAAATCAAATCTTAATTTTTCTGGGGCAACAAGTGATCCCTTTTGATCAACTCCATCACCTAAAACTTCTCTTAATGCATAATTTAAAACATGGGTACCAGTATGATTGTTTCTGATTGGCCATCTACGTAATTCATCATAAGTAGCAATAACTTCATCTTGCAATTTCAATGATCCTTCAACTAAATGACCAGTATGTAACACATATCCACCGTAAACTTGAACGTTGGAAACATTGAATTCAACACTACCGTCAATAACCAAAGTACCAGTGTCATACTCTTGACCACCTTGTTCGGCATAAAATGGAGTTTTATCTAATAAAATACCAACTTGTTTTTTAGAATCAGAAATTGATTCAATAAATTCTGACCCATCATAAATAGCCAAAATCTTAGATTTAGTATTTTCTAAACCATATTTATAAATATCATTAGTTTTTGGAACTTCATTTTCTAATTTAGAAAGAGCATGAACATCTAATTTAATTAATTCAACTCCAGTTTTATTACCGGTAGCTTTTGAAGCTAATCTTGATTCTTCTTTAGCTTTTTCAAATCCAACTTCATCAATATTTAAACCAGCTTCTTCGGCCATTAATCTAGTTAAATCAACTGGGAAACCATAAGTATCATATAATCTCCAAACATCTTTACCAGATAAAGTTTGTTCAGGAGTTTTAGAAGCAATAATAGCATATTGTTCAAATAATTTTTCACCTCTATCCAAAGTTTTGGAGAAAGAAACTTCTTCTTCGTGTAAGATTTCCTTTAAATCTTGAGATTTTTTACTAATTTCTGGGAAGATTTCACTATTTTGTTCAATGACAATATCAACTAATTGAGGGAAAAAAGTACCAATTGGATAAGCCATGTATTTACGAACATAACGAGCACCTCTTCTCAAGATTCTTCTCAAAACATAACCTCTACCTTCATTATTTGGAACCCCACCATCGGAAATAGCAAAAGTTAAAGTTCTAACATGATCAGCAATAACTCTATAAGCAGTATCAATACCATCAACATCATCAGAACCAAATTTCCCAGTGTAAGGTCTAACACCGGTAATTTCTCTAATTTTATTGAAGATTGGAGTGAAAACATCGGTATCGTAATTGGAGGATTTATTTTGTAAAATAGAAACCAATCTTTCAAAACCCATACCAGTATCAATATGCTTAGCAGGTAAAGATCTTAAAGAAGTATCGGCTTCTCTATTATATTGAATGAAAACAATATTCCAAATTTCTAAAACATTTGGATCATCCATATTAACTAAACTAGCAGCATTTCTACCACCAATTCTATCATAATGAACTTCAGAACATGGACCACATGGACCTTGATCACCCATTTCCCAAAAATTATCCTTAGCATTACCTGGTAAAATATGGTCTTCAGCAACACCAACATCTAACCAAAAATTTTTGGCTTCTAAATCTGGTTCCAACCCATTTTTGGCGTCACCTTCAAAATAAGTAACGTAAAGACGGTCACTTTCTAATTTATAAACCTTGGTTAATAAATCCCACGACCATTGAATGGCTTCCTTCTTGAAATAATCTCCAAATGACCAATTACCCAACATTTCAAAAAAGGTGTGGTGATAAGAATCTTTTCCTACATCGTCCAAATCATTATGTTTACCACCAGCTCTAATACATTTCTGAGAATTGGCTGCTCTTTTCAACCCAGCAAAATCAGACGATGGATCAACAGTACCCAAGAAAATTGGTTTATATTGATTCATACCAGCATTAGCAAATAAAAGACTTGGATCATTATGAGGAACAACCGATGATGATGGAACATACTTATGGTTGTGTTCCTTGAAAAACTCTAAGAAAGTGGATCTGACCTTTGGGGCAGTCCATTGATTAGTTGAAGTAGACATGGTTCTTTTCGAAAAAAGCGTCCTTATCATAAACAAACTCGAAATTCACTTTCTTCAAGATTATCAGTTAAGTTGATGAGTTTTTTTGGCCTAAAATTTTTTTTTTTCCTTCAGCGTTCGCGACTGACTCAATGTATGGGTGTGCGGGTGTGTTTTTTTTTCTCTGGCCATATTTTGCACAAACTTTTCACCGTCTGATAAGACCGATAGCAGTTAGAAGGTGATTATACCTTTGGGGATATTTAGGGTTGGCAATAGAAGGTTGACTTGACAGAGGCCGATTTGTATCCAGGTCGGTTATTTTTTTTTTGGAGTTCAAGCCATTGCGGGATCTCCTACCATTTATGGGAAGGAAATTTGCTCAAGGTTAGCAGGAGTCAGAAAACCAACTATTTCAAAGGATATTGAAGTTCAAGAAGAATACTACAACTTCTTTAGATTAGGAGAAGATGATTTTGATTGGGGATATAAAGTACTCGTGTATTGAATGCATACGGGGCCACCGGTCGAGTCTGTGTCGACATCATGCTCGACCATTATTGCAAGTACGATCCAAGGGCCGGCCCACGGTGCATGCCAATGGGAATCCCAATCATCGAATAGCCGTATTTGCGGAGGAGATTGATGAACAAGAGGTGGCCAAGAGTCCGAGTCCACCATTGAATGGATGTGCTAATAAAAAGACCCCGGTGGTAATCTTAAAGGCATCAGCCAAACAAGTTTTGGATTTAGTGAGTGGACAAATATTGGGACCCTACGATGAAAAAACCTATAATAAGCCTGATGCCAATGCAAAGAAACCTGCTCCGATCATTAGCGATTCTAGTTTTATAAATTCCAGTTCGTGTTGTTCTAATGGGGTTACTAAATTCAAGAAAAGTTGTTGTTGTAATAATAAGTCAAAGAATATTAATAAGTCCAAGATCTTGAAGACCTACATTGATAAGCATTTGCATAGCAAACAAGAAGCCACTTTCCAAGTAAGACAGGTTGATTCCAAGCCCAAGGCCAAACAGGAAACGTTCGACGTTGTTAGTATACCTTCGTGTTCTATACCGGGGTCGTGTTGTTGTGGGGATGATTGTAATTGTGAAGGGTGTGTTGTACACGGGAATGCCACTGCGTCTAGTAATGAATTGAGTAAGATGGTACCAAACGAGGTTAATATGAATTATTTGGATAATCTGAACTTTAATAATGCAATATCGGAATCGATTCCCTCTAAAGATTTGGTATTTAATATTGTGCCGCCTTCAGAAAACCCTCCGGTTCTACAATCACAAAACATTCAACCGTTACCGATCAATTCGTTGGATTCATATACTAATTACTTGATATCACAAACAAATGGAGGTTATTCATCGCAGCCGCCGAAAAATACCTCTTCGTCGCTGTCATTGAACGAAGAAGAGTCTCCTTCTTCGTGTATGTGTGCTCCGGAAGAGTGTGATTGTAGTAATTGTGAAACCCACGGAATCATCAATGGATTAAAGTTGGATGAGTTTTTCAATTCCCAAAATAAAAGTATGGTGAATGACGCTGATATTGGGGGGTTATTAGACCTGATCATCCAAAATAATCAAAAGGCGCCTACAAACGCTTATGACCATACTTTGGCCATGATGGCTACCATGATGAACCAGTCCCAGCCACTACCGACATCAAATGAGAAGCCAGAGAAGCCAGAGAAGGCGGCAAAAAGCTGTTGTAACTAATGTACCATATGTAAATAGATAATATACACCAATATAACCTACACTATAAACTACCACTATACCACTATACCAATATACCAATATACCACTATACCACTATACCAATATACCACTATACCAATATACCACTATACCACTATACCAATATACCACTATACCAATATACCACTATACCAATATACCACTATACCACTATACAAACTACGTATTTTCGCAGCAAATTACATAAGCAGCTATTGTTCCGCGCACTACCTCTTCTAATCCTTCAAAAATGAAGAAACTTCTAGAAGTTTCTACTAAAACTCATTTAAACTGAAGAAATTGATTGATTAACCGGAGATTTTTTTTTTTTTGTTTTGTTTGTCTGCAACTTTGTTTATCAGTTTTTTGAGACATCGTATCGTATTTGATTTTATACTGAATTGCCAATTGATTGAGTGGAGCTTGGTTGGATGCAGCCATGGCAAGTAATAATAATGCAAATGATCCCATAGTGGAGATTTTCAATCGAGATAAACCTTCTAATGAATCTAATGATAATGATATTCAAGTGATAAGTCGAGATACTCCTCCTAGTTTGAATGGGTCAACCCAGTTCAATACTTCGTATAGTCCAGATAATTTTGATCCAAGTGCCTTCATGGAGTCTCCGGCATTAGCAAATTCTCAATTATACTCCAATTTTGACCCGCTGCAGCTGCTGCTGCTGCAACAACCTCTGCAACAACCTCTGCAACAGCAGCAACAACAACCATCACAGCAGCAGCAGCAACAACAACAACAACAACATCCAGTTAATGGAGTAATCCCCTCAGCCCCTAGTCCTTCTGGGTACATCAAAGACGAATACGCTCTAACGCCTAATTTCAACCAACTTAATGATTTTATGAATGTTTCTAATGCTAAAAAGAATGATTTTGAAGAAGAAAATCATAAAGATGTTTTAAATAATCAATTGACTACAATTAATCGGTTACAGAATTCATTACCACCATTACCACCATTATCAGAATCGGTACTCCCGTCTTCATTAAACTTCCCCCAGCTAACATTACCGAATTTACCAACATTACCAGATGATGGAGGAAGTGTGGATAAAAAAAGTATTGGGAATGGGAACTCAAATAACAAGAAAAAAAAGGAAAATACCGGGCCTAAAACAAGACCGGCATTTGTAATGAAAATCTGGTCAATGGTTAACGATCCATCAAATCATGAATATATAAGATGGAATGATGATGGTAAAACATTTCAGGTGTTCCATAGAGAGGAATTTATGAAGGTTATATTACCAAAATATTTTAAACATAATAATTTTGCAAGTTTTGTCAGACAATTAAATATGTACGGATGGCATAAGGTTCAGGATATTAGTAATGGAACATTAACCAGAGATGAAAAAAATGGTGAAGAAATATGGCAGTTTAAAAATCCAAATTTTCAAAGAGACCGAGAAGATCTATTAGATAATATTATCAGAAATAAAACAACTAATCAATTTGAAGGAAATGATTTAAATAATGTTAATTTACAGCTAATTCTTTCTGAATTAGATCAAATCAAATTAAATCAATATGCAATTGGTGAAGATTTAAGAAGAGTTCGTAAAGATAATAAAACTTTATGGCAAGAAAATTTCATCACTAGAGAACGGTACACTCAACAAGGTCAAACTCTTGATAAAATTTTGAAATTTTTAGCGGCGGTTTATGGTAATTCAAATAAATCTTTAGATGGTACTAATTTTGAAATTGAAGGTTTAGATAATCAAATGACTCCTTACCAAAATAATTCGAATCAATCAAATCAATCAAATAATTCAAATTCAAATCCTTATAATGATTATTCTCCAATTCCAATTCGTAAACCAAGACTTATGTTAACTAATAAAGCTCATCAAAAAACTCCTAATTCAGATAGTCCTGCTAATTCAACTAAATCAGAATCAATCGAAGAAATTATGAGATCTCATGATCAATCTCCAAAAGAAAATAATTTACCAGCTAATAATTTAAATCGTATTTATAATCAAATTGTTAATCAAGATAATTCAATTCCTTCTCCTCGTCATTATTTCCCAGAACTTAATTTCCCAAATAGTCCTCATCCAAATGATCAAACTCCTTTAACTCCTGATAATGGTTTTTCTGGTTTAGAACAAAATATTTATAAACAGGGCCAATCAATTCAACAAGTTCAAGATTGGATCCAAAAATTGGCTTCTCAACAACAAGAACAACAACAAATGTTAAATGAACAACAACATTTAAAAGAAATTCAAAACGACGATCATTCTAATCAAGATATTGATGGGTTTGATGTTAATGAATTCCTTGATAATCACTCTAATCTTCAATCAAATTCAAATGATCCAGTTGTTATCACTCCTGGCCTGAACACTCCCAAATACAACTCTTCCAAAAGACCCATCGAAGAAGTCTACGATGATGATAACGTCGATCAACCTCTGAAAAAGAGATAATCTTCTTTAATATACAGTTATAATCAATTCTTATTGTAGTAAAAAATCCGTACATGGTATTTTTTTTTTGTTTTGGAACATTATCAATTCCTCACTTGGAATTAGCCTTTTTCTCAAGTGAAAAAACGGTTGCCCGTACGGCTGGCCCTTGTAACATCTGCATCAGTTCCCGGGCCAACGTCGTCACCAGAATAATGAATGGTAAATGGTCTTGCTAATATCATAAAAATGCCCACCACAAAAGCTTTAAATCTACGAAAGTTTATGGATAAGCTAGAGGTTCCCCACGAAAATCATGAAGAACCCACTCTTCTTACCAATCCCGACCTAGAACCAATGCCTTCCCATAGAAGAGGCTGGGGGTTCTTTTCGTTTTTTGGCTATTGGGCTACTCCTAATCTTACCATTTGGACTTGGCTGACTGGATCGTCGCTTCTAGCGTTAGGGTTGAATACCGGACACGTTATGGGTGCTTTAACCCTTGGTAACGTTATCATTTGTATATATACTTGCTTAAATTCCAACCCAGGAGCGAAATACCATGTTGGCTATACGGTTTGTCAAAGAATGATTTTTGGAATTTATGGATCAGGGATTGGCATAATAATCCGAGTTGTTTTATCGATTGTTTTCTATGGATCACAATCTTGGTTAGGTGGTCTTCTGCTTGTTGTAATGTTTTCATCTTTCAGTAAGGGTTTCATGGATATGGAAAACACTTTTTCAGATTCAGCTGATATGACCAAACGTGACTTTATTGGGTTTTTAGTCTTTCATATCATTGAAATCTTATTTCTCTATATGAGACCAGAGAAAATCAATAAATGGCTAAATGGTTCCTGTATTATAACGACCATTGCCTTTGTTGCAGTTCTTATCACTTGCCTTGTTAAAAATAAAGGTCCTGGTGATATATATTATGAGAAAGTTAACTTAGGTAAATGGGAAATTGGTTGGATGTGGCTAAAAGCAATTACTATATGGTATGGTGCGCTTTCTCCGGACGTTACCAATCAAAGCGATTATTCAAGATTTGCTTCTTCTCCTAGAAAAATGTATCTTGGGATCATTATCGCCGTAATGATTACTGGGACTTTTGTGCCTTTATTCAGTTTGATTTGTGCTTCTGCCACATCTCATTTTTATAATACTCAATTTTGGTTGCCAACCGACATTGTCTTGCAATGGCTACGAGATGATTATAGTCCTGGTACAAGGGCAGGTGCCTTCTTTCTTGCTTTTGCCTTTGCTTCCTCTCAACTTACGTTCAACGTGAGTGCAAATGGTTTTGCTGGTGGGATGGATCTTTCTGGGGTTTGTCCAAAATACATTAATATTAGAAGGGGTGCTATAATTACAGCTTTACTTTCGTGGTTGGTTCAACCTTGGAAGTTTTATAATACATCTTCTGTTTTTATGAGTGTTATGAGTTCATTTGGTGTTGTTGTCACTCCTATAATTGCAATCTTAATTGCCGATTTCATGGTAATCCGTAAAGCTCAATTACCACTTTTAGACTTGTATTCAACTTCTCCAGATGGAACATTCTACTTCACCAAAGGCTTCAATTTGAAGGGTATATCAGTTTGGGCTATAAGTGTTGCATTAGGAATACCGGGCTTGATTGCCGATTTACAAAATGATCACCAAATTCCTCAAGAATTAGTCAATTTTTTTTCGGGAAACGTAATTTTTGCTTTTATCTTACCCTTTTGCCTCTATACTCTAGTCTGCAAAATCATTCCAGTCAAGAATGCTGGAATCGGAGATAAAGAAGATTACTTTGGGGCATTCACTTTGGAAGAGTGTGACAAACTCAATATCGAACCTCATTATCGTTCCTCTTTAGTTGTGTTTGATGACGGATTGCTGGCGGTCCCTTCTGAAAACAAAATTAATAAGTATCCTAACTAGCACATGGTTCAATATAAGGATTTAACCCTGGGAATCTAGTCTGTAATCATTCAACCTTCATAAGACTTTGCAAATGAGCGTTTTTTTGTAAAATTTGCTGATTTTTCTACATTTTACTGTTTTCGCACCCATTTAACAGCCAAAATTATTATCACTTATACTTCCTGCTCAAACCGGGCAAAAGTCGTACAAGGTAAGGGCAGGTTAACGGAATTTTCTTGTAGCTCAGAGATAGGCTTTTATTCCTACCTCCCGAAAACCTCACGAATGGCTGATTTCCCGAACGGCAAGTTAACCAGAACAGTCTAAATCGCCCTATGATAGTTCTCTAAATCACCCTCTAAGGGGCATTTTTGCTCATCCGAGAACAAGATCTCCTTTTTTATTCACTCAGATGACATCATTCTGTTTGCAACTTCTCCTTATCCAGACCTCTACGGCTAAAGCGAATTTTTTCCCACCTGTTTTCTGTGCGGCTAGAGAAACGTTTGTTAACTGCTTAGTGACTGCTGCCTCGGTCAGCCTCGAAAAAGACTCCTCTCCTCAGCAGTAGCATCCCCTTCAACACCCACGAATCACAGGCTGAAAAGTCGACCAACTCAAAAATATGTCAAATCTTCAAAAACCGTTGATAATTCCGTGCTCGATAATCATTTTTTCCGTGTGATAGTCGCTCGCGCACCCTTTAGGAACGGAACACCCGTACCCTTGATTATGAAACGAAACTATCAATGGTTATTGACATGAATAAAATCGAAGATTGAAAAGGAAAAAAAATATGAAGCAGACGGCTTACCCACTCGTTACAAAAGATTTGGAGAGAAGCATCATGATTAAGGGAATGACGAGCACGCTCGACTTCACTGAACAGAAGAAAAGGAAAAGAGAGTACAGTAAAAAAGGGTGTAAAGAATGCAAAAGACGAAAAATCAAATGTAATGAAGCCCATCCTACATGTCACGAATGTGCCAGGTTGAATAAGGTGTGTTCGTATCCGGCTCCTGGCGAGAAAGTTCTCCGAGTATCGAAGAAAGCTTTAGGTAGTAATTACCCCAAGTCACCCAGTACCGAAGGGAGTAGTCCAAAGTCTCCCATTCAGAATCATACTCCAAACCAAGGAGCTAAAGGGACTTCACAGCCAAACCAGCCAAACTCGCCGGCTTCAGAATCGCTATCCAAGACTTATAGTCAAAACGCAGCTTTGAATCCAATCCCAACCCAAAGTCCCTATATCCACCCTGCTCATGATCAACATGTAGCTACCCATGGTTTCCCCACAAGAACACCGTTTGCTGTGCCTATGTATCCAACAGATTCCTCGACTGCAAACAGTCCTTATAGTATACCACCTCAGTCTCGGTTTGGACCTCCCACTAATCATGCAACTCCATTACCACCCATTTCTCCAGCAGGCTTCTCTGCATTGAATAATTCCAGAATCCCACCATCATCGATAAATAATCTTCTTAATGAGGCAAAGTCACCAGTGGCTGAACTAAGAACGCACGACTCTCCCGAAACCGTCTCTTCGAGAGGTCCAGAGTCTCCAAATCCCGCAAGGTTTGATACTGAAAAGTCTTCTTATCAGACCCTTTTATTTCAAAATAATAATAATCACGTAACCAACAACCCTTCTAAGTCCGGTTCAAATAGTGCAGCACAATCCAATGATGGCTTGATATTCTTGGATAATTACCATTTTTTCAACCAAGAAGACTTGAATGTTCTTGCTAATGATTTGAATAACATTGTCACCGATATTATGTTTGAATTCAAGTATGATGATAAAGTTGGAAAATCTGACCCCGAGATAGTCCCTCGTGATCAAATTTCTCAAAAGAATGATGAAGAGACCAATCGACCAAAGAAAAAGTCCGAACCCGAAGCTATACCGAGAGGTATTCCTTTCGATTTTATAGCAGTAACTAAAAGTCATGAAAAACTATACCTTGAAGAGTTCTATAACGAATTCGCCAATGTTATTTTACCATTCAATGCCTATAATGAATCCCTGAAATCATATTATAATCCCGCCAGAGATATTTTATTTCACTGTGCTTCACAAGAATCTTTTCTTTTAGCGGCTATTTTAGCCCAAGGTGCAAAATCATCTTTTAACAAGAATAATTTACCCGAAGACGAAGAAGCATATTGTTCCTATCTATATAAATGTCTTAAATTACTCGGTCCAGCATTGGGTGGGAATGCCACTGACAATAATAAGGCCACACTTACTTCAAACATAGAAGCTGTTTTATTAACGGTGTTGTTATTAACGTCATCGAATGCTTCAAATACTAAACAAAACTGGAGACCACATTTAAGGGGTGCTAAAGATTTATTGCTTAAAATTGCCTCGAGTAAAATCAAAATACGAAACTCCCCAACATTAGTTTTTTGTAAATTTTGGTTTATTTCGATTGAGATCTTAGCCGGGCTTAGCTCGAAGCTTGGTGGTACTTTAAAGTCTGATGCTGAGCTAGATTTATTACTTACTTGTGGCGATGAGTATGAAATTAATGCATTGAAAGAATTAGGTCTTATATTGGATAATGGCTTTAATCTCATTGGTGGATACCATAACAATTGTGTTCTTCATTTACGTGATCTCATTAAAATTTTGAATAAAATGAGAGCTGATCAAAAATCATTCGTTGCACTGGACGTTAATGAATATATCAGACTATTATCCGAATTTCATATTCAAGGCCAGATCGAATTTATCAATCGTAAGTGCATATTGAGTACTGATGACTTCAAAGATGGTGAAGCCCCAATAGGCAATTTACTTGATCCCACAACTGTTCAAAAAGAAAAGATCATCATCAGCTGGATGGATCTTTCCCAACAATGTTACTGCTTGGCATCCAAAATAATCATTTTCACCAAATTCCTCCAGTTATCTCATAAGTCACAACAAGTTCAAACTCTAACCGAACAATTGATCTCATTAATATCCTTTTTAGGGAAAACCACCGAAACACCACAGCTTATTAAATGTTCGATTTTGATGATTCAATGGCCGATGTTAGTAGCTGGGATGAATTGCGAAAAAGAAGAACATAAGTTTTTAATCATGAAATTTTTCAGAGCTTCTGCTCATATTGGTTCTGGTAGTGCTGGGTTCGCTCTTAGAAAGATCAATAAGGTATGGAGCTTACATGAGTCTACTGTAAATACTACAGACTCTGAAGATGAAATTGATATAGTATCATATTAAATATATACTTGTATTTATTAAGCTTCTTGTAAAATTGAATACCAATTCATCTGTCCACTAGCAAGTTTCAATCTAGTGCTGAATGCATCATCCTCATCATCAGTGGAAGAATCAGAATCGGATCCATTTTCGTCTTTTTCAATTTTACTTTCCAAATCCTCCTCATTTGTATCTGGAATGTCACTTATACAATGTTCACAGCATGACCAATCAAAAGTTCCTTTCGCCTTTTCATCTTGTATGAACCATCCAATTCTTTCAGCACCTAATCTGGCTCCATCTAAATTAGCAGAAGATGGTCCTGTCCTTAAGGAAGCATTCTTACCAAGCATGAACAATGGAATTTGATCATTCCATTGAAGGTTATTAGTCAAGCAAGGTAACCCTTTCACAGTATCAATTGGAAAATTTTTACAAATCAGTTTAAGGAATGGCAAACCACAAACATCAGGTGTGATTCCTGTTGCACAATAAATGTAATCTATATCTGATAAATTCATCATTTCAAAATGTTTTTCGTCATGTTCATTATTTTTCTCATAATTTGTAGTTTCAACTTCACAATCCCATGTCATATTAGACTCATTCCAATGAGTTGACTTTAGTTGGGAAAACCTCATTAATTTAACTGAGCCACTTCTTACGTGTTTCATCAACTTCTTATGATATTCGGGATTAACAGAACCACCTTCTCTTGCATCTTGGATCATCTGCCATCTTTCTTCGTCGGTATCTTTGATGTAGAAAGCAGATTTTTTCACATTTCTATATTTTGTAACCCAATCCAAGTGGAAATCAAAGTGTTTAACTTTCAATGGACCTCTAGTCAAGAAGTAAACTTTAATTCCCTTATTAGCACAGACATGAGCAATTTGAGCCGAAGTCAAACCTCCACCAACAACTATCACGGAAGGAGTTTGGCGTTTTGCAAGTTTTGCTTGAAGCTTTTGATGTGGGAATTCAACTTCTCGACTGAATAAATGAGAAGTGTGACAGCTAGCCTCTAAAGGTTTGGGTATTGGTTGAATAGCCTTAAGGGGATAATTTATATTACCTCTGTGGCCGCTAGCAACAATACAGATCTTGCAGCCGTATGCTTTGCCACTTTCGGTCTTAATGATGAACCCGTTCCCAGTCTCGTTTGTATCTACAACATTGATATCGAGATATTCAATCGAAACTACTTCATCTTTTCTTACTGAATTTTCCAATTGATAACGATTCACGATATCTTTGCAAAAATCTCGGAAAAAAACCGTGGAGGGCCTGTAGTAGTCTTTCCAATCTCTCATATTAATATCGATGATACCAGGTTTATCATGAGTATCGCTAATATTAGCTGGAACTGGGTTATTCTTCTTCATATTTTTCGCAGTAATTTTTTTCATTTGGTGCTTAGAATATTCCCTACCAACAACATTTTGGATCTCCATTAAATCTTTGGGACCTTCACGTTTATTCAAGTGAGCAAAGCTTATCATCCCATCAATGTTCACAGGATCTGGGTGGAAAAACATCGGTGATCTCAAATACGGTATTTGACAAGAGGCAAACTGATTATCCCATTGTCCCATAAACCTGTCAGCTACCGCATCCAAAACAAGAAGATCTTGAGGCATAAACTTCTTCTGTCTATACAAATGACTTTCGGATGGAAGTTTGAAGTTTTTCTTTGCAGAAATGTTACGATTGATTAAATTCACTTTATTCCCTCTTTGCTTCAACCAGTGAAACCTTTGGTGTTCTTCTTCGGTATATATAGATCCTGGCATGTCCTCACACAATCTTGCGGCTGTTGCAAGACCAGCAGTGCCTCCACCAACGATGATGGCTTCGAAAAAATGCTCTTTGTATATTTGAACGGGTTCAGTCATGTTTGCAGTAATAATTGAATCATAAGTATATATTCACTCTAAAGCTGTTTGTAGGTTTATATAGTGTACTATAGAATGTCTGCGAAAATAACTACTGGGGTACTTCTCTCCTTACAAAAAAAAGTTGCAACAAAACAGAAGACACTACCGAAATCTGATAACCTTTAAATAACTACAAAGGTAAAAGGAGGTTACAATGTTCTTAGAATTGCATACACTTGAGAGTAAAATGTATTGGGGGCTATTCAGTTATAAGAGTTAAACGGATTCCACAAATCCTTCAATGATGGCCAATAAACCAACTGCACCAGGATCTGGAATACCACCTTCTTCTGATTTGAATTCGTCATCATTAACATAACTGGCTCTACCAAATTTAGCTTGTAAGTTTCTTGTTTCATCGCATGACTTTTTAGCTTGGGAAACGGAATCCTTCAAGTTACCAGAATTATGTAAAGTATCAACGAATGGTTGTAAAGTATCGATGAGGGTTCTACCACCAACTCTAGCCTTGGTGTATTTGAATAAGCCGTCGTATAAAGCATCATACAAAGCTTGAGCGATAGATTTGGTATCAACTTGTTCAGCCTTTTGTAAGTTTTTCACGAGGGCAGTGAGATAGATTGAGTAAATACCACCTGAAGTACCACCCATGTTGTCTTCAACAATCTCGGTGATCTTGCTCAAAGTAGCAACTGGATCAGAGAGGTTTGATTTGAAAGACGAATCATTTTTCAATGCGTCCAAAATAGCATTAGCACCGGCAGCCAAGGTTTCCCCACAATCACCATCACCAACGACGGTATCGTAATGGGTAATTTTAGGTTCTTCTTTCAAGAGCTTTTCGAGGGAGTTTTTGAGGGAAGAAGCAAAAGAAGAGCCATCAATTTTCAATGTAGAGGTTACTTGATTTTCATGTTTCATTGGAGTATCCACGTATTGGGTGTGTTCAGATTTATCCCAACTTTCAGGTTTAAAATGTTTTGGTTTCCAACCTGGAGCGTTTGTTGGAGCATCTAAAAATGATAAGATATCTTTCGAATCAAAAGAGGTGTCATCAGACTTGGAAATGTTAGATAAGTTTAATAAAGTGATTGAAAAACCTGGAGAATTTAAAGAGGTAACAAAATCACTAATTAAAACACGGCTTGGTTTTTTAGATAAAGGTAACTTGTTGACAACATGTTCAGCAATGGCGTAAAGTTCTAAAGAAGAAGTACCACCAATGTTGTTGATTAATAAAGCGTAATCATCATTTTTCAAATCAAATTCAACGTAATGACGATCCTTATCTTCGGGAGATAATAATTTATGATACATGTCATCAATTAAAGCATCAATATTTGGAATTGGACTTAATTTTTGACCAGGCTCATTGTGAATACCCAATCCCAACTCTGCTTCATTTGATCCGGTGAATTCAATTTCATCACCATTTTTACCAGGAACCGAAGTGCGATCTAATGAGGCACCAATGGTGACCATATTATTATTAATGGCATGTCCCAAACCAACAATGGATTTCAAGTCACCACCAGTGGTCTGCGAAGCTGCACCCAATACTTTATGAACAATTGCAGTTCCTGCTAAACCTCTTCTACCAACCATTTTATTTTGCTCTCTACCAACCGCGACATCATCAGCAACTGGAATCATATCCACATTATAACCTTCACTTTTAGCTCTTTCCACAACCAAACCAAAATGCAAGACGTCCCCAGTGTAATTCTTGGTGATAACCAAGGTTCCTTTGTCTTTATTTGATTTAGTTTTAATCGCAGCCATAATTTGCTTAGTGCTTGGACTAGCGAAAATAGTCCCACTAACTGCAGCATCTAATAACCCATCACCAACAAATCCTCCGTGAAGTGGTTCATGACCAGCACCTCCACCACTGATCAAACAAACTTTTTTAGAAGTATCTGAGTTTGGATTGAAAATAACTTTTTCTGATGGGATTAGTTTAACTTCTGGATTAGAATGCACAAATCCCTTTAAATTTGATAAAACAAGATCTTCATCTTTATTGAAATTCCAATGTTTGGCTAACGGCATGATATCTTTTAATCGAGTCGGTCAATTGAGTAGCTATATTCAAGATTCAATTGAAAAATAAAGTAGCAAGTTTTCTTGAATCCTTACTGTAAAAACCTTCTTTTTTTTTCTTAAAGTCAATAGTGCACCAACTGACTGATTTTTTTTTTGCGTTGGGTTGGCTTTAAGGGAGCCTTTGTCTTGAGTCTCCACTCCTTAACTCAGGAGCATCGTAAGGTCAATCATACTAGTTACAGACACTGACAACCATTCAGCTCAATTGAAAAAGATCTCTTGCAAAGTCAACTTTGGATCGGAAAAATTGAAGAACATCGGAGTATCCCCAAAAAATACCCTACGTCATCATGTCGCAGAAAGATTGTAGATCAATTGCTTATCTAATTGGTTATATAAGCAATTGACGACACGAACACCCGTGCACCTCATCGATCACCGCATCACGTTTCGCTCGCGGTTTCCGAAAGGAAAACCCAGCTTTAAGTGATTGAGAAAAATACATCAAAATGGAAACTGTTTAGTACATACTTCAAGGCAAATTTTAAGAAGAGAAAATTGAAGACAACGAGTCAGATATTTTGGCAAAGGTTATCGCTAATCGGTCAAGTCATCAAGTCCTAGCGACAGGAAGTTTTTTCCAAAACTGTTATCTTGAAGCTTTTGCTATCTTTAGTATTTTATTCAGGAGTACATAATTTGAGACCCTGTTTTTTTGCATATTTCATAAGAGAATCAAAATTTGCAATTTTTCCATTGGTTTTCCTAATTGAATCATATTACTCTTTTCCCCATATCGTTTCATCCATAGACAACGTTTCTTGCTTTTTTCTTATATGATAATCTACTGAAATTTGAAGTTCTTCTTTTCTCTTTTTTTTTTGCATTATAATGTCAGCCGAAGAGGCAGATAAAACGCTGCTGAGGCAGAACAGCTCATCTACAGGTAAACCACCGGGAAAACCCATTCCAGATGAGGATACTTCTATGAATAGAACGAAGAGATCCAAAACTTTTACGGGATGCTTTACGTGTAGGTCACGTAAAGTTCGATGTGATTTAACAAAACCTTACTGTAATAATTGTACTAGAGCAAGACTTTTATGTGCTGGGTATGATATTAAACTACGATGGTCCATGCCGATTAAGTTCAATCCTAAAACTGGGAATGCGATATCTTCACTGGTGGTTTTCAAAACTAATCAAAATACAACCAAATCAAATAATTTACAAGAAGATCAAACTAATGATAGTGAATTTTTCCAAAGAAGACATGTTGGATTTGTCAAATGGGATGCTAAAAAGAATTGTAAACCTTATGAAACTTATGAAGAAATGGATCGGGACTTAGCAGCTGTTCATTCGTCAGGTAATGATCATATAGTTTCCAGGAATTGCCAAACAAAATTGGTTGGTCCTTTTGGTATATTTAAAAATACTCCTGAAACCAGAAAAAGGAAACCAGCTGAGTCTGATACTATTCCAAGGAAGAAAACTCATGAAGTGAGAGTTCAGTCAATCGCTAACTCCCATGAAAATTCTCCAAATGATTTTCAAACTAATAAAATTGATGAATCTGCTGCTCAAGATCAATTATGGTTGTCCAATGAATTAAGAGATGATGCCCTATTAACTGCAGCTGCATTGAATGGGGATTCTCAATTCCTAGAGTTTATGAATAATTTTGCATCTTCAAATAATCTTCTGTCAGCTTCAACACCTAATAGATTTTCAACACCTCCTTTCTCCTCATCGCTTCCATTCCCCCAACCACATCAACCACATCAACACCAACCGCCACAGCAACAACATAGTCATCATCAATCACCACAGTTGAATTACCAATCGCATTCGTACAACGGAAATAACTATCCAAATGATTTCTTGAATTTGGTCTTTCATAGAAATACTGGATTATCGGCTAATTCCCAGCAACCAGCTTTAACAGCAATGAATAAACCGGTCAGCAGTTCAAATAACATCTCAAATCTAATCGGGGTTGATAAAAGTAAGTCGAATGTGATGATTGATCCGACAAATCAGCACTTATACTACTCGAACTATAATAATTTTTATTATGATAATCCATATCAATTAAATGAGAATTTGGAAATCCATTTGCATGCATCAAAAGTCGCCAATAATAATCAAGAAGATGAAGGAACTGATATAGTAGAAGGGGATAATAGTAATATGACTACAATGCCCGACTCAATCATGTCAATAGTCCAAAGTCCGTTACAACCAAAATTAGGTTTCAATGTATCATTACCAAAGAAGGATACTGATGACAATTATGTTGGATTACCAACCACTGCATTACAAGTGCAACCATTAACAAGATATTTATTAAATTACTATGTAACTCAAGTTGCTGATTTAATGACGGTTATACCATTAACAGAAAATCCTTGGAAAACAATCTATTTCCCAAGAGCTTTGATGGCGATTGGTGAATTATCAGCATTAGGTACAACATCAATCGCCAAAAATGCATTATTAAATGCATTATTAGCGGTTAGTGCTTTTAATTTACAACTGAAATTTCCTAAAAATTCTGAACCAATGAAATATTACTTAAATTTAGGTATCAGGTTAAGAAACCAAGCCAGTTTATTTGTTCGAAAATTATTAGGATCAAATAATGATACCCAATTAGGTGTTGAACAATGCATTGCCAATGAAAAATATAAAGATGTATTATGTGCTGTAATGACCATGATTAGTGTGGATTTAGTTTGGGGAACAATGCAAGATACTAATTTCTATATAAAATGGTGTGGTCGAGTTATCAATACCAAGATGATTAATAAAAAAAAATTGTCATCTAAAGCAAGAATTTTACATCGAGTATTTTCATCTTTAAAATTAATTCAAGATTCTACGTGTTTAGATTTAATGAGTATTAAAGAGGATTTTGAAATGAGTGATGATATAATTAATAATGAATATGATGTTAATGGAGATAAATTCATTAATAAGTTGAAAAATAGCGATGCCAATCAATCTAAAAGTAAGATTGACTTCATTGTGAATAGTGGTAATTCAACCCATAAGATTGATGAAAATATTATTAAAGATACTTCTCCACAATTTGTTAATAAAAAATTAATTAATACTAAAAAAAATGATGAAAATTTTGCAACCGATGCATTATACGGATTACCAAATTCTTTAATTGTTTTATTTAAAGAAACTGTTCAATTATTAAGAGCCAAAATATATCATCAGGGAACATTTGGTCACATGCCAATACATTTTGATGAAAATGTTAAAAAATTAAGTGATAAATTAAGTAAATGGAAACTTGATTGGAAATTATATGAAGAAGATGAAGATGAAAATAAAGAATTCTTCACCCCCATGCATGAAACTACATACCATCATATCTTATCCTTTTATCATGCGTTAACTATTTACTTTAATCGATTAATTAAAGAAATTTCACCTAATGAAGTACAGGATAAGGTTGAAAAAACATTATATCACTTGAACTCAATCCAAAAATTGATTGTCCAAGGAGAAGCAGCCATCATCCCACTATTTTGGCAAGGTTTTATTGCCGGTTGCGAAGCTATTAGTATAAACCTACAAATGGGATTCAAGAAATGGGGTGCTGATATAGCTCAATATTTAGGTAGTTATTGGGGTGCTAGACAAATAATGTTAGAAGTTTGGAGAAGAAAGAGAATGAAGGAATCAAGAGCTGATTGGGTTAGTGTGATTCAAGATTGGGAAATGAATCTTATGTTAAACTAGTTGTATAACATAGTTAATTGTGTAATATTATTTAATAAACTCGTAGTACAAATATCGTATAGTTCAAGGCTCAACATAGAAAGCAATCCAATGGATTCACCTCGAGTCTTTCTTCATAACCAGATATTTTTATTGGCGTAACATGGCTCAAATAACAAATATACACGATACCAAAGCCTCAATACCAAAAAAGATTCAACAAAGAAAGAATATCTTCTTAACGAAGTACAGAGACGATATATTTCTACACAACAACAAAAACAAACCCTTCAAAAGTACCCTAACAACCGGTGAGTAAAGAGTAGGTGCTTCTGCAGTGGTAGCACCAAAGCCATGATCAGAACTAGGGTATTGGTGTTAGTGTCATGTTACACCAGTCCCATGCTAACAAGCGCCTACACAGTTCGACCAAAGGTGTACCTGAAACAACGCGTTTCAAAGTAAATAGAAAACATCGCGAATTTATTACTTCAAATATTCATTTTTATGCCAAATATCGTCCCTTCTTGCCCTTTCAATTTCGTTACCTGAACAGGGCGCGAAATGCGCAAGGAAAGAAAAATAATACGTAAAAGAAAACAAAAACAAAAAACATGAAATGAAAATAAACAGTTCTTTGTTGGTAAACAAAGAAGTTTTCTAGGTACATGTATACATACCGTTGATCTGTCACACTAAACCTCAATATTTGGGCCAAAGCCCTTGTAATATGGGGACAAGGGGTGGTTCTAGTTCTTTTAGAGTTGTAGGAAAGAATTCAAGGCGATTGGATTCAACAATGATCTTCATATGTTCTATTCGGTTGCAACGCGTATCGCAACTTTAATTTGAATACTCTTACGCCAAACACCAAGGCATCTATATGGTGTTCCGTGACTACACAGCTCACTAGAGTTTGATGTCTGAAAGAATATAAATATACCTGAATTATTCCCAGTTCAGAAACTTTTTTAATTCTATCATCATCACAAGTCAATTAATACATTCGTTTGATTTTCCAACTACTTCACATTCTTTAATATATACATAATGCAATACAAATTCTTATCTACTGCCTTAATTGCTTCATCTGTTGCTTTTGCTGCTACTAACACTGTTACTCAAGATCACACTACTTTAGCTACCTTGACTTCTTGTACTCACGATACCGCAGAATGTCCAGCTAACACTGAAGCTCCAAAATCTGAAGCTCCAAAATCTGAAGCNCCAGCTGCTACTACCCCATCTTCTCAAACTGTTGTTACCACCACTGTTAACGGTGTTGAAACTGCTTACACTACTGTTTGTCCAGAATCTGAAGCTACTCAAGCTACTCCAGAAACTGAAGCTCCAACTTCTGAAGCTCCAAAATCTGAAGCTCCAGCTGCTACTACCCCATCTTCTCAAACTGTTGTTACCACCACTGTTAACGGTGTTGAAACTGCTTACACTACTGTTTGTCCAGAATCTGAAGCTACTCAAGCTACTCCAGAAACTGAAGCTCCAACTTCTGAAGCTCCAGCTGCTACTACCCCATCTTCTCAAACTGTTGTTACCACCACTGTTAACGGTGTTGAAACTGCTTACACTACTGTCTGCCCAGAATCTGAAGCCGCCCAAGCTACTTCTCCAGCTGCTGAAGCCCCAGCTTCTTCTGCTCCAGCTCCAGCTGCCCCAGCTTCTTCTGCTCCAGCTGCTGAAGCCCCAGCTTCCTCTGCTCCAGCCCCAGCTGCTCCAGCTTCTTCTGCTCCAGCTGCTCCAGCTCCATCTCAAGCTGCTGCTTCTTCCCCAGCCGGTGAATCTGACTCTTACGTTGATGTCACTACTACCCCAGTTGAAACTGCTTCTACCGGTGTTGAAGCTACTGAAACCAGTCAAGACACTTTATACTCTACTGCTCCACAAGGTTCTGAATCTACTTCTGCTGGTAACTCTTCATTAGCTCCACAAGCTTCTACTTACGAAGCTGCTGCTAACGGTCAAAACGTCATGGTTGGTTTCGCTGGTTTAGCTGGTATCGCTGCCGTCTTATTGTAATGAAATGATGATCCTTATATCTATTTCATTTAATGACATCCTATTTATGTTTTGTACAGTTTTATTTTCTTCTCATAGACAACTAGTTGGGATTTTCAACCTGCCTCCTATTTTCAGCTTGAGGTTTGGATAAAGGAGTATATGTTTTATTATACCTGGTGTTTATTCATAGTTTTCTCTTTTTTTACTTTTCAATTTTTCTAATTTCGGCTTATAAAAAATTGCCTTGGTTTTAATGTATATTAGTTTTCGCATCCTTTGTGATTTTTTTGTATTGGCTGTGTAATGGTCGCAAAATTGTTGATTTGAGTTAAAAAGTACATTCCGGGAATATAATGTTACATTTTCGAATGGTAATGTATGGTAAGATATATGGTAGAATGTATGGTAGAATGTATGGTAGAATGTATGGTAGAATGTATGGTAGAATGTATGGTAAAATGTATGGTCGTCTGATAGACTGGTAAGTCGTAATTTTGAATACTCTATGAAGTAATTGCTCACACTACTGTTCTAGACTTGACCAGCTATCATAGCCTATTTCAAGTAAATAGTTTAATGTACGTTACGATTCTTGTAGAGTGTATAGCTTTGCCTTCAAATAACCCTAAAAGTTTATAGTTTAATATACATCGGAACACTTGTAGTCATCATTTCTTGATTTAGTAAATAGTTTAATATACGGATTGCCCATTTATATAGTTTATATAGTTTATATAGTTCGTTTACCATTTATATATTTAAAAATTATATAGTTAGCACAGATTATAGTTAATATACAGTTTATAAGGTAAAATAAAATAATACATATTAAGTCTATATAGTCATATTCAATCTAATGGGTTAACCACCTTTTTTGAGTAAGCAATTTCATCATTATCGTCTATAGTATTCCCAAAGAATCCTTGATCATTATAAGTACCAACGTACTCTTCTTTACCAATGAAAACATTCCACCATCCATTCAAATAAACACTCAAGTATTGGAAACAAATACGAGGAAATCCAACGTAACTATCATAGATGAATCTCAAAGCTCTAAAAGTTTCTTTTATTCCAATAGCAAATTCATTATAAACCGAAGAATCTGAACTTTTCTTATTGGATTTGATTTTATCGAGAGGTGATTCTGGCTTCTTTGGAGTAGATTGAGGTTGCTTTTTTGAATTGGAGGGCTCTTGAGTAGTTGAACCGGCCATGAAGGGGAAACCAAAACCTTTATCCTTTTGAGGTTCTTCGTATTCACCTGGTTTAGCAAGCCCTTTTGAAACATCATCTAAATGTTTAGAATACATGTTTTTAAATCTATTAATGGCTTCAATGGATTTCGATAAACGATCAAAAGTATTAAATAAAGCAACCAATTCAATTCTTCTAAATTTCAATAAGTGCTTATTTTTAGGATCTTCCAGTTCAAATAAAATTTTGAGAGAAGTACCATAACCAATAGTTTGTAATTTCCCCCACATTCTACACCTATCACAACCAACACAATCCATAATGGCACTAACATTTTTGAATCTCGATCTGAATTCATTTTTCAAGTCAGGAGAAACAATATCAGGATTAAATAAAGTCGAGGTATTAAACAATATACTTTCAGATAATGAAGGTAAAACGGAATCAAATAATTCATTATAATTAGTATCAGAAAAGAATTGTTTTTCATCACCTTCACCTTGGTTAATGAATTGAGGAATTGAAATCAATTCATTCAATTTAACAATGGCTTGAGAAACCAACGCATAATTAAAGTAAATATTTGATAAACGATCATTGAATTTACCAACTCTTTCCATAAAAATTTTTAAATTTGGATAAAATTCACCAGTATTTGGATCAAGATACTCATTCGATAAGTGAACAGCAATAGAGGCATGTAAACCTGAAATCAATCTATAGAATAAGTTTTTCTCAATACATTGTTCTGGTTCGTCTTTAGTCATTGACATTGGATTGGTATTGGGGAAACAATTTTCAGAATAAATAGCCTTCCAAACATCAAATGATTGACTACCACCATAACCGGTGAATCTTTCTGGATTATCAAGTAAATTGACATAAACACAGTGGTGATCATCATCAATATGACAATAATCTAAATCTTCACATGTTTGAGCAGAAGTTTCCATACTTTCCACTGAACTAGTTGCTCTATTGATTTCACCCAACTTGGATGGTCTCAAATCATCATCAACCTCCGACCAATTATAGGATGGAAGAATTTCAACAGCACAGTTTTCAGTAGCGCAAAAATGTTGGGCATTCCAAAACTTACACTGTTTATCCAAATCTAATTTGAAATATTTGAAAAAGGGAGTATGGATCAACTTGGTCAAAATCGGTCTGACTTGTTTATTCAACTCATCAATATATGAAAACGTAGTATTACAAGTTGGTGTAATGATTTGTGAACAAAAATCCGGTGAATCAAATGGAGTAAACTTGGATGCTAGCGATGAATCAGGACTTATTGCTAGAACAAACGCTATCTGAACAAATATTAGAAATGACCAAAAGATTCTCATTTTACCTGAAGTACTACCAAAGAAGAAAAAGCCTTTAACAAAGTGATATCTGGCCTAATATATACAAGTATTCAAGATTATAGTATGATTTCTAATGATTTTTTTTTTTTTCAGTAATTCATATTGCCTTTATTTTTTTTTTGCCAGCACATCGTGCGATAAAAGGGCCTCACTTTTCTTTTTCTATACTTTTCTTTCAATTTCTACTGGTGTACGGACCGGATTGTATTTACTGCAAAAAAACTGTTTTATTAGAGAACTATATATACAAACAAGAAGGGAAATGTTTAATCGAATTTGATTTTCTTAGCTGTTTTAGTCATGTCGACGTCTTTGTAGAAGGCACCATAAGCAGAGTGGGTTTTCTTTTTGGTGTGGCCACCGAATTTCAATAATTCTTCTGGAACTGGTTGATTAGCACCTCTTAAGATATTCATCAACCCACCACTTAAATGTTTTTCATGTTCGGTGAATAAGGTGTGGGCAGTACCGTATTGGCCAGCTCTCCCGGTTCTACCGATTCTATGAACGTAATCTTCGACGGTTAAGGGGAAAGTTAAGTTGATGACGACTTTAACATTTGGAATATCTAAACCTCTAGCAGCAACATCGGTTGCTAATAATAAATTGGATTCACCTTTTTTGAAAGAGTTAAGGGCTTGAGTTCTTTGTTGTTGAGATAAATCACCATGGATGGCAGCAACGTTATAACGATTTCTATGTAATAAACTTTCAATTCTACCAGCTTCTTTTTTATATAATGCAAAAATTAAGATTTTATCATTTTTATGATTACCAGATTGATATTTACTCAATAATTGTAATAATTTTTTTTCTTTATCATAAGGTTCAATAACTTCGACGATTTGAGTAATTCTTTTATTGGCAGCCAATTCATCACGATCACCAATACTGACTTTAATTGGTTGATTCATAAAAGTTGAAGCCAAGTCTCTAACTTCTTTTGGCCAAGTAGCGGTGAACATAAGAGTTTGTCTGTTTGATTTATCAGGAGTGGAGCCAATGATGGCTTTAATATCTTCTTCAAAACCTTTTTCTAACATTCTATCAGCTTCATCTAGAACTAAATAATCAATCGAAGATAAATCAACCGAGCCATCATTCAATAAATCAACCAATCTACCAGGGGTGGCAACGGCTACATTTGCATTTCTTAATTTTTTAACTTGATCATCTTTTGAAACACCACCATAAATTGCAACACAATTAATATCGGTATTTGCGGTTAATTCAACTAAATTATCATAGATTTGTAAAGCCAATTCACGAGTTGGTGAAATACATAAAACTTTCAATCCCTTTTTATTCAAGGTTAAGATATTATTAATTGCTGGCACCCCGAATGCAAATGTTTTACCTGAACCAGTTTCTGCAACACCAATCACATCTTTATTACTTAATAAAAATGGCCATGAAACTGATTGAATTGGGGTTGGTTTTGGAAACTTATTAATAACCGAAGAAACTTTGGAATCCAAGTCAATCTGATCAAATGATAATAACGGTCTCAAGTTCAATGAGTGAGGATCTTCGATACTGACTTCATTACTAGTCAAAAAGTCCTTGATTTCTGATTCCGGTAATTTGGTTAACGATTCTGATTGAGTGTATCCTGCTGAAGAAAGAGCTTTTCCTTGAGGAACTTGTGCGATATCAAGTTTCTTTTCTTTCTTTTCTTTCTTATCCTTCTTTTCTTTCTTATCCTTCTTTTCTTCCTTATCCTTCTTTTCTTCCTTATCCTTCTTATCCTTCTTATCCTTCTTTTCCTTCTTGTCTTTCTTCTCCTTCTTGTCTTTCTTCTCCTTCTTTTCTTTCTTATCCTTCTTTTCGGACTTATGTTTCTTCACAGAAACATCTTCCTCTTCGTTCTTTCTCTTTTTATCCTTGTGATCCTTGGCCATTATATTCCTTACTGCTCAAACTTGATGGCATAGTAGTAGATTTTTCATTTTTTTTTTTTTTCAGCGATGCCCTCATCTCGTCTTCCAATCAATCAAGAGGTACGGGTGTATATTAGTATTAGGTGCACGGGTGTATATTTTGCTGCGAAAACAACCAATTACCTGTTTGAGTTGATGAATCTGATAAAACCTAATTCGGCCCTTAATACGGTTTTACTTATACTTTAATGGAAGTCTACTGGATGTGCTCTTATTGAAAAGGAATCAGGCCTTCCTACCAGCAGTCACACCTAATATCCTCTATAAAGTAGCTCAATAAGTCTTCAACTTCGTCAACAATTTCTCCGACAACCTCAACAACCCTAACAAATTCAACCAATTCAACAAGCTCAAAAAGGTTCAATAAGTCAACAAGTATTACAACAGAGGACCGTGTTAACAGCGACGGAGTATTGGCTTGAAAAGAAACATCTTCGGCAGCCTCTCGGTTGGCAAGCCGAATTTCCGAAAGTCGGATCGGAAATAGGTTTAAATCCGACCATCAGCTTTAAGCCGCATCGTCGTAAAACTGTCTCGTTGCGAGAAACTTAAAGGCAACAAACGAAAACGGTCTGCGAATTTATTTATATAAATACTTCAAACTGCCACTGTAGACAAATGGCCTTACGAGGGATAGGTGGGTAATGATTGTTAAACAGCCTAGGTTGGATTCTGATAAGGAGATCCTGTCATCCAATGAAGGTGATGGAGATCGCGAATACCAAGGTTATACTGAAGAAGTTTCTGGGGAGATTAAAGAGTTGGCAAGAACTTTTACTCATTCTTCAACTAATAATTTAACTAGGTATAGCTCTAATGTTACCGTTGCAGGATCAAATCCAATGAACGATATAAATGATCCAAGGTTGGATCCAGAAAGCTCGGATTTCGATTCAAAATACTGGATTAGAAATTTTAATAAGTACATCGCAAATAATGCCGAGTATTATAAACCAACCTCACTTGGTGTGTACTATAAAGGTTTGAGGGCGTATGGGGACGCTACTGATTCTACTTTCCAGTCGGACTTTGGTAATATTGTATATAAGTATGGGTCTCAATTGGTCAACTTGTTGAGTAAACAAGACGAATCAAAACAATATGATATCTTGAAACCAATGGATGGGTTGATTAGACCTGGTGAATTAACCGTGGTTCTTGGAAGACCCGGCGCTGGATGCTCTACTTTTTTGAAGACTTTGGCTAACCAGACTCATGGATTCAAATTGGATCCAAATTCTAAAGTCTCTTATGATGGTTTAACCCCCCACCAGATTGTAAACCACTATCGCGGAGAAGTTGTTTACTGTGCTGAAACTGAGTCTCATTTTGCTCATTTATCAGTCGGTGATACTTTGGAATTTGCTGCTAAATTGAGAACTCCTTCTAACAGACCAGAAGGCGTGGATCGCGAAACTTATGCTAGATTCATGGCCAATGTTGTCATGGCCACTTATGGTTTATCCCATACTAGAAATACTAAAGTTGGTAATGATTTCATTCGTGGGGTTTCGGGGGGTGAACGTAAAAGAGTCTCAATTGCTGAAGTGGCGTTGAGTAAAGCCTTGATCCAGTGCTGGGATAACTCAACTAGAGGTTTGGATTCAGCTACCGCTCTTGAATTCATCCGTGCTTTGAAAACTTCGGCTAATATAGAGAAAACCACCCCCTTGATTGCCATTTACCAATGTTCTCAAGATGCTTATGATTTATTCGACAAGGCAATGGTCTTATATGATGGTTATCAAATCTTTTTTGGTTCGGCTACTGCTGCTAAAGATTATTTCTTGAAAATGGGTTATGTTTGTCCGGATAGACAAACCACTGCTGATTTTCTTACCTCCTTGACTAATCCTGCTGAAAGAGTGGTTAAACCTGGGTTTGAAAATAAAGTTCCTAGAACTCCTAAAGAGTTTTATGATTATTGGCAAGGTTCTCCCGATAGAGCTCAATTATTAAAAGATATTGATGATTATGAAAACCATGTTAAATCTCAGAATAAGGCGTCGGCATTAAAAGAATTCCATAACTCAAGACAGTCCAAAAGGGCCAGACCGGCTTCTTCCTTTACAGTTTCTTACGGTCTACAAATCAAATACATTATGGGTAGAAATATTAAAAGAATAAAAGGTGACCCTTCCATCACTATATTCTCGGTCATTGGTAATACAATCATGGGTTTGATCATTGCTTCTATCTTTTATAATTTGAAATTTGATACTGGTTCTTTCTATTATAGAACCGCCGCAATGTATTTTGCAGTTTTATTCAATTCGTTCTCTTGTCTTTTGGAAATCTTTACTCTTTATGAAGCAAGATCAATTGTGGAAAAACATAAAACTTATGCTTTATACCATCCTTCTGCTGATGCTTTGGCGTCAATCATCACTGAGTTACCAGCAAAGATTGCAACTTGTATTGCCTTCAATTTGGTTTTATATTTCATGGTCAATTTTAAAAGAACTCCAAGTGCCTTCTTCATCTATTTACTTATCAATTTCACAAGTACCCTTTCCATGTCTCATATGTTTCGTACCTTGGGTGCATCAACGAAAAGTTTACAGACTGCCTTATTGCCAGCCTCTATTTTATTGATGGCTCTTTCTATGTACACTGGGTTTGTTATTCCAACAGTTAAAATGCATGGCTGGTCTAAATGGATCCATTATCTTAACCCAATGTCATATGCTTTCGAAGCATTAATTGCAAATGAATTTCATAATCGTGAGTTTCCTTGTTCTGACTTTGTTCCTTCTGGTCAAAATTATCCAACTACCGGTGATTATTCTGTTTGTTCTGTTATCGGTGCTGAAGCTGGAAACTTTCGTGTGAATGGTGATAGATATATCAATACTGCTTTCAAATACTACAATCATCATAAATGGAGAAATTGGGGAATTGTTTTAGTCTTTGCCGCTTTTTTCCTCTTTCTGTATCTTATCATCTGTGAATACAACAAAGGAGCCATGCAAAAGGGTGAAATATTGTTGTTTCAACGTAAAGCTTTGAAAAAGATTAATAAACTGAATAAGTTAAACGGATCAGATCATGCTCAAGATATTGAAACTGGTGAAATGGAAAAATCTCCTGCAATTGAAAATGATGATGACGAAGACAGTGACGCTCTTATGGAAAATAATCTTCCAGAATCTGGTAATATCTTTCATTGGAGAAAATTAACTTATCAAGTTAAAATTAAAAAGGAGGATCGTATCATTTTGAATGAAGTTGATGGTTGGGTTAAACCTGGCCAGGTTACTGCTTTAATGGGTGCTTCTGGTGCTGGTAAAACTACTTTATTGAATGCTTTATCTGAAAGATTGACCAGTGGTGTTATAACCTCTGGTACTAGAATGGTGAATGGTCGTCCTTTGGATTCTTCTTTCCAAAGATCAATTGGGTATGTCCAACAACAGGATTTGCATTTGGAAACTTCCACAGTCCGTGAAGCTTTAACTTTCTCTGCCTACTTAAGACAACCTCAATCAGTTCCAAAAGCTGAAAAAGATGCTTATGTTGATTATATTATCCATTTATTAGAAATGGAGAAATATTCAGATGCTATTGTTGGTGTTGCTGGTGAAGGTTTGAATGTTGAACAACGTAAAAGATTAACCATTGGTGTTGAATTAGTTGCTAAACCTAAATTATTGGTTTTCTTAGATGAACCTACTTCAGGTTTGGACTCTCAAACTGCTTGGTCTATTTGTAAGTTGATTAGAAAATTGGCTGACCATGGACAAGCTATTTTATGTACTATTCATCAACCTTCAGCCATTTTAATGAAAGAATTCGACAGATTGTTGTTCTTACAGAAGGGCGGTCAAACAGTATATTTTGGAGATTTAGGTAAAGACTGTACTACTTTGATCAATTATTTTGAAAAATACGGTGCTGAAAAATGCCCTCCTCAAGCAAATCCAGCTGAATGGATGTTACAAGTTATTGGTGCTGCTCCAGGATCTCATGCTAGTCAAGACTACCATGAAGTGTGGAGAAATTCAAGTGAGCATAAGGAAATAAATTACGAATTAGATCAAATGGAAGCCGAATTACCTAAAAGACCTCATGAAACAGGCGAGGAAGATGCTAGGTCTTTCGCTGCTTCATATTGGACTCAGTACTATTATGTTACTAAGAGGGTTTTCGAACAATATTGGAGATCACCTTCTTATACTTGGTCAAAAGTCACAATGTCGGTTTTCACAGGTCTTTTCAATGGTTTCACATTTTTCAAAGCTGATCGTTCTCTTCAAGGGCTTCAGAATCAAATGTTTTCGGTTTTCATGTTTTTTGTTATCTTCACTACTTTGATTCAACAATATTTACCATATTTTGTTTCTCAAAGAGATCTATACGAAGTTAGGGAAAGACCTTCTAAAACATTTTCATGGGTCGCTTTCATCCTTTCTCAAATTACTGCTGAAATTCCTTGGAATGTTTTCTGCGGTACTTTAGCATTCTTTTGCTGGTACTATCCGTTAGGTCTTTATGTCAATTCGTTTCCAACAAATACGGTTAACGAAAGGGGTGCTCTTATGTGGATTGTCATTGTTCTTTTTTTCATTTATAGTTCAACTATGGGGCAACTATGTATATCTTTCAATGAGATTGCAGATAATGCAGCTAATCTAGCCCTGTTGTTATTTACCATGTGTTTGACTTTCTGTGGTGTCTTAGCTAGTAGTAATGCTATGCCTAGGTTTTGGATATTCATGTACAGATGCAATCCATTCACATACTTAGTTTCTGTAATTTTATCTACTGGATTGGCACACTCTTATGTTGAATGTTCTAAAAATGAATACTTACATTTCAATCCACTGGGTGGTCAAACTTGCGGTGAATATATGAAGGCTTACATGCTGGTTGCAGGTGGATATTTAACTGATGAGTCTGCAACCAAAGATTGCAGTTTCTGTACTACCAAATATACAGATGTGTTTTTGAAAAGTGTTGCTGCAAATTATGATACCAGGGGCCGTGATATTGGGATATTCATTGCTTTTATTTTTATTAACATTTTCCTAACAATATTTTTCTACTGGTGGGCAAGAGTGCCTAAAGGGACTCGTGAAAAGAAGTAGTTTAGTATCTATATAATAATGCTTTATTTTTAAAAAAAAACAGATTGTCTCTTTGATTTTAGACGCCACTGTATTACTCTGACTCAAAGACTGATTGCAGTCAAAATAATTAGCTATGATTATTGGTCTTTTTGCGCCTCTTTTTTTGAACCTCTTTTTTTGCACCCAAAAACACTTTGTTCACAAATTAAAAAAAGGGAGTCTACAGCACGATGGTTTCCATTATGGTCTCCCACTAACGTACTCAGCATCGCTCTCAGCAGCTTAATAATTATTGATCGGACGGGTAATCATGCTTAATGCTGGATATGGCCGTAGACGTCTGTTGCTTTCTGATGGATGTAGCAGCTGAAAATTTCATTTTAAAAGAATTTAGATGTACGGATGCTGTGGGTGCAAAAAAAAAAGGTGCAAATTATCACCTCCCCAGATCTTATTATATTTCGGCACTCAATCTATAAACTAAACTAAGTAGTTCCTCTGGGAACTCAACTCAACCAGCACCAACCAATTCTATCACATCACTTAATTCAACATGGATTTCCTTGACTAAACATAGTCTTTCCCACTCTAGGTATATATTAGTAAATAACGATTAAATATATATTCTTATATGATAAAAAAAAAAAAAGCAAAAAGAATCCCAAGTTAATACACTCAGCTAACCTTGACGTTAATGTTAAGAGTAAGTTTGTGTCAGACGATGAAGGTCTGTCGATGATGTCTTGGTCTGATATACATCAGAGCCGATCACATACTTCATCAAGCTGAGGTTTGAGCAAAGGTGTTACAACATCCCTTGTGAAACAACGTCGGAAAAAGTGTCATCACAAAGACATGTATATAGTAGGCATTTCCTTGTTAAACGGAAATGCTTAGAAGACTTTTTGTAGTGCTGACGTTAGTGGCTAAACCTATTGGTCAATGTATTGAAGTGTAGGTCGATGCCTAAAGAGAGTTTTCATTCGATAATGTATATTTTAATGATGGTTTCTATTATATTGGTATTAAAGAAATTTTCCCTTAAATAACAGCTAAAATTATCCACTTAGTAAATCAATCTACATCTTATTGTCATGAGTATGCTTTTTGCGTGTATTATGGTGGTCCATTCTTATAATTGTGTTTACAAGTTAGATACTTGAGTACGACAGAGGTCTGATCTACCCACATAACCCGATAGTTAGTGTGCTGCATGAAACACTGTGAAGGTTTCACTATCTTTCTCAAAGTCAATTTTGTAAAGCGTCTGAGTTCTTTTTTGACGGACCACCAGGGTCTGTCGATGGTTTATAAACAAACCATACTTAGCAAAGACAGTGTATAAGTACTCTTTTGCTTTGAAGTTTAGTTGAGCTTAGTTTAATGGCTAGAACATTTTTCTTTGACATTACTTGTTATTTTTCTTTTAATAGCAACATACTATTCAATAATAATGTATCTACTTATATTGGATTATGTGGGTAGATCAGATCTCTATCGTCCATATTTGTCCGGAGGATGAACATAGTTTTCAAGACAAACGACCATAACACACGCAATAAGATGCTAGTCAGATACGGACTATTATCGAAAGGTGGTGGATTAATTTACCATTTCATCACATCGTTATTAAAGGAAAAATATATTACCGAAAAACCTCTCTTTGGCCCAAGGACCTATAATTCAAGTAATGAAGTAGTTACTAAGGTCTACGGTTCACACCATAAAGAAAAAGAAAGATTCTTTTCACTCCCACTGACGTGGAAATATCTACTCATATATCTAATTAATAATATATAGGATGGTTTTGGGAAGAGGTATCATAAAAAATAGTAGTAAAAATGACCTTGATGGTCTGACATTTCTTCAGGCTGTACTTCTCTTAACAAATCACAATTCATGGTTGGTGCCTATTCAAAATGTTATTTTGAGAAGGAAGTTCCGATTAATTAAGATTTTTGCAAAAAAACTTACACAAACATACAAATACTTCTAGGCCCAGCAAAATTTTTAATAAAGGAAGAAAAGGTTCTTAACAACACAAATCAATCAAGAAACACATCAAAACTCGAAAATTGTTTTCACATAGCATTTTAAATACCTGCAAATATAGAACTGATGAGAGAGCCCACCTGCTCAAAAAATTTATGTAATATAATCTGGCCTCATACCTGTCCTAAAAGGGTAATTGCAACCTAGTTAGGCGCCAGACTATGATCCTGAATCTATTCCAATGTATAACTCTCTCCTAGAGAANCATACTCAAGCTATTCTACAATAACTCATATTAAACACAAACGGCCTAGCTTCCTCCCGAAGCAGTCGACCTCTATAAGACGTCCTATTAATAATCACTATCAATAACTCTATCACTAATCTATTACACTCATCCAACTCTTCTAGGAGCTGATGGCCTGCATTATAACAAGGTTCATTAAGCCTTTTATAACACACACTTCNGATCAAGCTATGTTGAACTAGACTAGGAGTAGATCATCCCAAGTCACATGAGATGCATCTCAGCATCCTATCTAAACAACCATAACTATCTTTCAGATCCAGAGATATCCCTATATCTCAACACAGAGGATGAAGAAGTCCATCTTCCAACCTCAACACACGTAGACTAATCCATCACAGACTAATCCCACGAACACAAGATAGATGAGTTATAGACATGATACTAGAATCCTTTTCATACTATGATACATACTCTTAAGATAATAATAACTGAAATAATAATAACGTTCCCAAAAACTTCTTTTTTTCCTCTTCTTCTTAATAGTTGTTTTCTTTTCTTTCTTTCTTATTTTTCTCGACGAACTTTGCCATCCCTTCAAAGTTCGTCCACCAATCATGTCTAAGCTCCCTCTACTCGGTGTACGTGCTTCCAAGAGATTGCAGCATAACTCAATCGCACCTACCTATATCTAGCAGATTCACTTCAATCGCCAACAACTCCTGTTAGTTCTTTCCGTTCATCTTCAGACGTAAGTAGTGATCCTGCTCTGACTATTACTAGCCATCGCGACGTTCTAGTGTTCCCAAGACACTATAACTAAAGATCGTCGACCAGAGTCGAACCGTCAGCCTCCCAGAAGGGAAGTAATGAATATCAAGGAACATTCCATTACAATTTATCAATCGTCCGATATAGTGTAACGGCTAGCACGGTTCGCTTTCACCGAGCAAACCCGGGTTCGACTCCCGGTATCGGAAGATTTTTTTATATTTTTATATGATTCACATTGTACGCACCGCTGCCAATTTCAGATTCCGCGTGGTCAACCACGGTCTGGGATGATTCTTTTGAGAAGTCATTCATCTTGTTTGAGAATGAGTCAATGACCATATGGCAATAGGCCAGCTAGTTAGGGGTTAAGGAACGTACCCATGCGAATAGGAATGTTGCCACGTAACGTCATTAGCAGTTCCCATCGCAGCCATTTTTTTGCGGGCCTCCAAATGACTGATGGGTTCCGTGTTGTGCGAAGCGATCCTCGAGAATTGTTTTACAAGTATACAAGTATGAATTTATGAAGAAGTTAATAAATTATATTAGATTATAGAATATCTAGAAATGATTATTTCTTCTTAGACTTCAATCTATCCGATTGCTTGTATTGTTTATTTTTTTTAAAGTAGTGATTTGATTTGAACTTCTCAATTGGTTCTTCCATTTCGTCCAAATCATCATCGTCTTTCAAGTTTTTTGCCAATACTTCATATTGGTTTGTATTGACTCGGTTTTCCTTTGGTTTGCTCAAACGATTGGTTTGTTTCTTGTTTTGCGATAAAGCAGCCACCTCGGCATACGATAACTTTCTGGTAGTAATATCAATGAATGAATCATCGTCATCAACCGATTGTTCATTCATTGATATATTGTATAAAGTAGACTTTGTATTCGGGTCTCTAAAAATGGTGGATGTTGGTATAGGTGCCTTTGCCGTAACATCTTCGGTCTTCTTAGCACTAATCCAAGAAGTTGGGAGAATTGACCAAGTAGTTTTAAACATGATAAGTTTGTGGCAGTGGAAATAAAGAAAGGCAATTGATGAACTCAATTGATTAAAGTAAAAGAAGGAAAAGTAACAATCAGGGAAAGAAGCACATATATATATATATATATACAATTACGTAAATTAAAATTAAGTTAAAAACAACAACAAACCCATATGGGTTGACCCCAGGTTATATTCCCTTTTATCTCTTATCTATGGGGTCCTGCACACAACCAAGGAGGATGGCTACAAACAGTAATGGGAAAACTCGGACTCGGACGGTTCTGTTTACCCTTGCTGCTCCATGCCCGTGGAAGTCATCTCGTAGCTTCTATTGCATCTTTATAGGGTGTGGCCATCATTACCACTATGGTACTATTCTTGGGATAATTGTGGTTACGTTGTTTGATTGTGCTCATTTCGTGAGATCCCGAGGGGTACGGAGGTAATATTTTTATATATGTACGGAGGTTTTGTTGGGATACTCAACGAAAATAAAAACATATTGGAAGGAAAAAGGTAACCGCCAATAGATAATAGTAAGTTGATCCATTCAATTCTGTTATAATGGAAGGCTGGGGTGAGGTATGTATACTGTGTGGCCAGATATTTGGTGGACGGACTCAGTGTTTTACTAACATTCATATAGGTATCCCGAATAGCGCTAAGCGCTCCTACAAAACCGCCCAATCAATCGATAAATACAATTAATAAAGATCAAACATCAAACCAGATAACGTCGTTAGAATTTGATACCTCGACCAACTTGTTATGGTGTGGGGACTCCAATGGATATACTAGATCGTTCACTCCCCAACCGGCGTTAACCTCTCCTTTCCCGTCCACTCATTCGATTCAATTGATTCCTTATACTAAGTTCAAGTCATCTATTAATCATCCAATTAATCAGCTACTAAACCATCAAAGAGGGATACTTTCTTTATCTTCGAACAATATAAACTTCAATAATAGAAGAGGATTGTGTCAGTTATCGTTGAATGCTGAATCGATTAATAATGATAACTTCAAGAATTTGAAATGTATGACTTTCAATTGTCATTCAATTAATGATTTGGTAATTAGTGGGAATAACTCCTTGTCAAAAGTAAGCTTGTTGAAACCAACCGTGCTAGAATCGTTCGATTATACCGGAGATTTATCGTTTATTAATAACCTGTCAAAATTCTTAACCTTGGGTAAATCAAATGGTACCGTTGAAATCTTTGATCCTTTAGATAATAAGGTGGTGAAAAGTTTCCATGGTCACAACGGACTTTTATCAGATTTGGACGTTTCCGGTAATTACATCGCTACTTGTGGTTATTCTCTTCGTCCAAGAAGAAATAATCATTTGAATAATAATCACCCAAATAGTCTTAATAATCCTCCATCCCCAGATTATATGGTTGATCCTCTTGTTAATATTTATGATTTACGTATGATGCGTCCTTTACCTCCAATTCCATTTTCTGCGGGTGCTTCTTTTGCTAGGTTCCACCCAAAATTACCAAACATTATTATCATTTCTTCTTCCACCGGTCAATTACAATTTGTAGATATTTATGATCAATCTAACGTTTATTTATACCAAGCAAACTTATCAAATCCTTTACAGCATCATCATCCTCGTGGTTCTCTTGCTGCTGCGATTTCTTCTCCTGCATCATCAAGTTGTTTGTCAAATATGAATATAAGTGAAAATGGTGAATACCTTGTTTTCAATGATGGGTTTTCAAATGTTCATCTTTGGTCTCTATTGAATAATCCAAATAAAAATTTCTTGAATTTCCCTTCTTCTTTAGATCAACCGGATATAGTAATGCAATCCCCATCTTTAAATCCTTTACCAGTTGATTCTAATGTTCCTCTAAATTCAATCGGGATGCCATACTATAAAGAATTTTTACTAAGTAATTACCCTACAGATTTGGTTTTTCAAAAAGAATTGGCTAAATTACCAATAAAAATTGATCCTTCCTTATTTGAAATTAGTGAACAAATTGCTCTTGAACCTCATGTTGAACAACAACAGCAGCAACCTCAACCTTTGCATATCCCCAAATTTATGGCTTTTGATAAACTGAAATACTCTATTAAAGGCCGTAACACTTACCAAAAATATGAAAGTTTGAAGAATTCAAAATTATCAAATGGTGGTAAGAAAACTACCACAACAACTATAATGCCAAAATTTTTGAGTGAAAGAGGCCCAATTGCTTCTCCAATTCCAAGTGTAAACAACTCAACTGCAAATCTTTTGACGAAAACAGTATCAAATACCTCTCATGACCCTGATAAATCTTCAAACGATGATGAGCAATTCGATACTTCTATTTTCCAATATAAAAGTGAAAAAGCTACCAGGGTCCCTAATGTTTATTTAAAACTACAAATCCAATATTCAAAATTTGGTGTTGAAGATTTTGATTTTGATTTTTATAATAAGACTTTAACATTGAATGAATCGAATAACTCTTTAAAAATTCCCGATGATAGATTTTGTGGTTTAGAAAACAATGTCGATAATTCTTATATCAATTCATTAATTCAACTTTATAGATTTTGTCCAATTTTTTACAATTCAGTTATAAAGAATTTATTGCCTGAATACTTACCTAATAATAATACAACAATCATAACAAATAAAAATCCTCAGGGCCTGTCAATTCTAATTGAATTAGGTTATTTATTTGATATGATGTATAAAAGTCATGGTGAACAAGTAAAGATTTCCAATTTTACCCAAGTTTTAAATCAAAATAAAAGAGCAAATGATGAAGGATTGATTAATATTGATGAATTGAGAAGTTTGAGTGGCTATGATTTGCAAAAAATTATTATAAACTTTAATAAGTTTTTAATTGATACTATTAGTCATGATCAATTAAATCAAATCAAAAGCTTACTGAAATTTGATTTTTATGAATTTTCAAATGTTGAAAAAATTGGTAACCTATTCAATATAGTTTTTGATGTGGAAGTTCGATCGAATGGCTGTGAATCTTATGATCAACAACTAATCAATCAATTAAGTTTGGATTTAATCAATCCACCCCAAAATGTATTGAATAAAATGAACGGGAATCAAGGTTTTGCCAAAAAAAATCATAGTTTGATCACATATTTGGAATATACTGCTAACAGAGTTAAGATTGTTCCTTGTAATAACCATCCTTATCCTCCTCAATTCCTTCATTCATTAGAAATTAAACAAACTTTGGTTCAATTGCCTCCAATATTATCAATCAATTTGCCTTTTAATAATCAGGAATATTCTTTAATAAAAGGTTTTAAAAAATGGTTAGTTCCTGAGTTTTACGTGGTGAAAAATCCGGTAAACAAAAAAATCAGCTTCAAACCAGTTGTAACCCAATTTAACCAAGAGGCAAGTAAATATGATTTATTGGGATATGTTTGTGAAATTAATCATGATTTAGACAACACAAAGGGAGAACATAATTTAATCAGTTATATTAAAATCAAGTCATCAGCCAATTCATATTTTGCAAAAGATCAATGGTTTTTGTTCAATGATTTCTTGGTAATGCCAATAAGTGAGGAAGAAGTGTTCAATATCAACTATAGTTGGAAAAAACCAACGATTCTTTGTTATCATAACGTTGATCATCCGTTGAATCAAACGTTCAACTATTTGAATCAGTCGATTATAAACAAAATTAAATTGAATGACAGTATCTTATACCGTGACCATTTTGCTTGTGGTATTAGAGAAAATTATAAACGTGAATATAAAATTTTAACAAGAGACGAGGCCCCATCTGCTGGTACTCTTGTTTCAATTGATGCGGAATTCGTTACTTTAAAACCAGAAGAATTAGAAGTGAGCTATGATGGGTTTAGGAATTTGGTCAAACCAAAAGTTCTATCTTTGGCCCGTATATCCGTTATCAGAGGTGATAATAATGACCAACAGGGAGTACCTTTCATTGATGATTACATTTTACATACTTGTCCAATTTACGATTACCTAACCAATTTCTCCGGTATCGAACCAAACGATTTAAATCCCATCAAATCGGAAAAGAACTTGGTAACTTTGCAAACTGCTTATCGTAAATTATGGATTTTAATTAATCTCGGTGTTATATTTGTTGGTCACGGCTTGAAAAATGATTTTAGAACTATCAACCTAAAAGTGCCTCAAAGCCAAATAAGGGATACGATCGATTACTTTTACTTACCTGACTTCAAACGTAAACTAAGCTTGAAATTCTTAGCGTACATCTTATTAAAGGAAAAAGTTCAAACTGGGAATCATGACTCGATTGAAGACGCTTACACTGCATTATTATTGTATAAAAAGTATATTGAATTGAATGCAATCGGTGAATTCGAATCAACCTTGCACAGGATTTACTTGGAAGGTCAACAATTAAGATTTAAGGTTCCTGAAAGTTAATGACTATCAATTCATGACTATCAACACTTTATGTATATTAGTTTATAGGTTGTCTATATCAACAAACCCGTACACCAAGATATAAAATGGCTCAAAAAAAGAAAAAAAAGATTGGTTACTTTATTGCGAGCTAAAAGGAAATTTGCGTAGGAAAAGCAGGAAAACACTCTTAGACAAGAATAAGGAAAGCTTTCGACATTCACCAGAGGTATACTTAGTGATCATTTATATTTACGATTGAACCTTTGAGTAGCCTTCTATCTATAAAGGTACAAGTGACGTCATTTTATTGGACATTAATAAGTAACGAGTTATAAGCAAAGATTTTGACGAAGTTTAGGTACAATAATCGGAATCATAGTATTCATTCCTATATCCTTATCTTAATATTATCGTGTGTGTGTGTGTATGATTGATATGCCTTCTCACTCAGTAGAAAGAAAGCCATATACAGCCCATGTTGAAGATTCCAATGTGCCCAACGGGAACCCTCCAAAGAATACTACAGACTCTTTAGATAGATCAGACGGAAACGAAAGGCAAAACTCCAATAAGGCCGTACCTTCATATGATGACTCAAGACCCAAGGAGTCAGAGGATGATAGAAATCTAAAAGAAGAAGTGATGCATTTTCAAAGATCTGCTCTGGATGATGCATGTATGAATCATGGATCACTGCAACGTGATGAATATCCGTCTGATGGGTTACCGCCAACTAACTTGGCCAAATCAAATAGCGGAAACCTTCGTCTGCATTCAAGCCAACAATTGAAGAAGTCCGGTCATTCACATACCAAATTGAAAGGTCACAGTCGTTCATCTTCTCATAACAAACTCCAAATAAATAATCATAAACCTTCGATTCCCAATCCGGCCATGTCTAATAGACCTAATTTGAACAGATCCAAATCAACTGATGGCCTCATAAAATCATCGCATAGAAACACTGCATTGAAGAGAAACAATCGGTCATTGACCAAACTAACAGCACTACAACCTTTGACTAGAACTACTTCTAATCCGTCATCTAAAAATGCATTAAGACCTTTGACCAAAACTATGCTGAACCAATCAATAAAGTCCAATAAATCCAATACCTCATTGAAGAACCTAGCCTTGAGTCACAATGTTCAACTAAGTGGATTGAAAACAAGCGGCCGAAAAGGTAAAGCCATTTTGAGATTAAATGACGATATTAAAGATGAAGAATTCGAGGAAGATCTTAGTGAGGATTCAGAAGATGAAGCTCGTGCCATTAAACAAAAAGCAGCATCAGCCAACTTCACTCAGCAACAGTTAAATCAGTTACAGAATCTTAAACAAAGTAAAGATTTTCCAAACGGAATTGATAAACTGAATATAGCGAGCGGCCACATACATCTGGAGCCAAATTTATCCGATACAAATCAAAATTATCAACATCAAGAACAAGATCAAAGAGGCTCGGTTCTGTATTTCCGTGACATGGCTAACCATACCCAGAGTGACACCGCAGTAATCACTGCATCGCAAATTAAGGGTGCAGGTGAAGAAATTCAAGCCAACAATAAATCCCAGAATCCATCTGGTTCTCAGAATACAAATGCTGCACCTACCAATGAGAGTAAGAGCAATTCTCAAATCCCTTTGTCTGCTCAAAGCTCGAGTGATGATCTAGTTTCAAGCAATTTATATGGAGGTTCGTTACTTCTTTCTCAATCCACCGGTTTAACCAAAAAGATCGACCCCAAAGCTAGTGCCCCAGGTCAAGTTTATACTGGGACCTTTAACAATGGGTCCATTCCAGTACCTAGACAAGCCCCTCGAGAACCATTGGGCTCGGGTAATTCAGAATCAGTTAGCGGAATTTCTTTCAAGGCCAACCCAATTAACAACTCAAATAATAATATTGCGGAACCGATCATCACAAGCAGAAACGCTGCCCCTGCTAATTCATACCAACCAAATCAAACGATTTTCAATAATTTACAGAGAACAAATTCTCAATATGTTTCGTCTAAAAAAACTCAGTTTAATAATGGTACTAACAATTTTGCTGATTTCTTGAAAAATAATAATAATAATAATACAAATATTGATTCTAATAGTAACCATTTCCACAGTGGATCAGGGTCAGATTCTTCTCATAATACCAGAACACAACAAAGGTTATGGCTTCAAAGGGAAAATTCTTTGATGGATGTACCGAGCCAAGACCATTTCCGCCAGTCAACATTGTCTAATGTCTCTTTAAACAAGTTGATGATTAGTCAGTATAATAGCTCCACAAATGTGAGGGATTATCCTACTCCAGGATCGGCAGGATTGAACGGTCCACTGAGTCATATTGGAACACCAGCCACCCCTACTACGGCAAGTGTAGAGCCTAATGCGAGTATGAACAATATAAGTGGGATGTTTTTAATGGCTCAAAATAGATACCAAAACCCTATCCAATCTAGGACGGAATTTGAAAGGTTGAATAGAGAATATCTCAACGTTCGAAGACATTTAAATCCGGTTGCTGAAACTTTAAATAGAGTTGATGAGATATTATCGAATACCAAAGGGATTGACCCACCCAAGAGGAACCAGAAAAAATCTGCTGCTGCTTCATTATCTAGTATATCACTTCACGGGGGTCTGACCAATAATAACTCATTCAAGGAGTTCTCTCCCTATTATCAAGAACGAAAGCATGAGGTTTCAAAAACCATTGATAATCTCTGGAACGATGCTTTACTCGAAAGCTCCGCATCAAGTAATTCTTTGAGATTAGCCAATCAACAGCGTGGTCAACAACGGTATGAAAATCAGCAGCAAACCCACCAACCCCAGCACCAAAGGGAATCACAACAGTTGCAAAACCAAGCTATGGAGTCAAGAAATCCTGGGCAAACTTCGGTGACCCATGCTAATGCCAGAACTCAACAACCCACCACCAGAAAGTTGGCGGCTCAAGCAGCTGCTCAGCAAAAACAACAGCAGCAACAACAGCAGTTACGTGGTATGGAATAGTATTCATCATAACCTAAATCTTCCTTTTCCATTCTTTTTTTTTTTTTTTTTTTTTTTCGTTTTGTTTGTTCTGGTGTTACTGTACGAAAAGATTCAAGGTTTTTCTAATCAATTCCTCGTCGATATCAGGAGGTGCTTGGTTAGAGTAACTAGAAGGACCCATTTTTTTTTTTTTTTTTTTTTTTTTCGTTTGTTTCACCTACAAAAATCTCTAAACGAAATTAGATTTAAATTCAACTAGATAATATACTATTTACAAGATGAAAGTGAACGTGTAGTATTATACATCAACAGCCTCAAATTCAAAGAACACAACGAGGTCAATTGAGATGATTAAATATGGACCAAAGTGGCTGAACCCGAGCACACCAACCATGCTCTTTAACCCTGTCTTTGCTTATGCTTGTGGTCAGATTTACAGTAAACGTAAACTCTGCCTTTTCTTCTGACAATATAACAGTCTTTGCAAAGTTTCTTTACCGAAGTTCTGACTTTAAAGGTTCTGATTGGATTGACAAGAGCAGATGCAGAAGTAAGAGTTGGTGCTGTGATTCTAGGAGTATTCATGACCAAGCTGCTTCTCACAGCAGCTGCTGGTGCCATGAGCGACCTTCTTAAAATAGACGTTATAGCAAACATTGGTCCTAGTTGGTTTTAAGAAGTAATCTCTGTCAACCTTTAGCTTCAAAACGTATAAACTGAAAAATTTTTGAGACTTTTTTTTTTTAAAAATTGATGATTACATAATCAAAAAAATGAAAAATTGGGAGAAAAAAAGTGAGCGGGAAAATCAACACGTCAGATCCAAAGTCAAATTTCATCAACAACGAGGTCGAAGCTAACCATTTGAATCAGTTGTTGATTGATCAATTCGTATTCCAGGCTGATTTGATAAGTGGCACGTTCATCAAAATGTCTACCTCAACGTACAAGAAGCTGGATGCATACTCATCCTCTGGTTTACCAGATAAGATGTCTGTATTCCAAGAATGCTTACAACAGTTCAATGCATCCCCAGTGAATGCTAAAAAATGCCGTCAATTGTTGGCTAAGTTGTTGAGATTGATTTACCATGGGGAAGAGTTCCCATCACAAGAATCCACCACCTTGTTTTTTTCGATTTCCAAGTTATTTCAACATAAAGACCTGTCCCTTAGACAATTGGTTTATTTGGCAATTAAAGAGTTATCAGCTACTTCTCAAGATATCTTAATGGTTACCTCATCGATCATGAAGGATATTCAAAGCGGTGATTTGATTTATAAGCCAAATGCCATTAGAACTTTATCGAAAGTTTTAGATCCAACAACCGTTTCTGCATCGGAAAGATTGTTTAAAAACTGTCTTGTTGATAAGAACCCGATTGTTTCTTCTGCAGCATTGATCTCATCGTATAACTTATTACCAATTGCCAAGGATGTTGTTAAGAGATTCACCAATGAAACTTTGGAAACTATTCAATCTTATAAACAGTTCCCTTCAAATCAATTTCAATTACACGAATATTACGGAACTTTCACAACCAATTTACCTTCAACTTCCTATATGTATCAATACCATGCTTTAGGTTTGTTATATCATTTAAGAAATCACGATAAGATGGCCTTGATGAAATTGATCACTTCATTATCAGAGGGTTCTTCTTTGAAAAATTCCTTATCTATAATCCAATTAATAAGATATATCAATAAAATTTTGGACGATGATGAATCATTGATTTCTCACTTATATCCTATCTTGGCTGGTTTCTTAAAACATAAATCTGATATGGTTGAATTAGAAGCTTGTAAAACTTTGATTGGATTACAACATTTAATCAGAGATGATGAATTCATGAATATTATAACCACATTACAACAACTTTTGGGAGTTCCAAGAACTGCAACTAGGTTTGCTGCTATCAGATTGATTAATAAGATTTCCATAAAACACCCAGAAAAAATCATCGTTGTTAATCTTGAATTAGAAAATTTAATTAATGATTCAAATAGGTCTATTTCAACTTTGGCTATAACTACCTTATTGAAAACTATGGGTGCTGGTACTGTTGAATCAAGTAGTGGTGGTGAAAATGTCGATAGATTAATCGCTAAAATGACTTCTTTGATGGATGAAATAACAGAAGATTTCAAGATTGTCATTATCGAAGCTATTGAAAACTTGGCATTGAAGTTTCCATCCAAACATAAGAAATTGGTTTCATTCTTGACCGATTTATTGAGAGATGATGGATCTTTACAATTAAAATCTAGTATTGTTGACGCTTTATTCGATCTAATCAAATTTTTACCAGATGAGAGTGCCAAACAATTGATTTTGATGAATTTATGTGAGTTTATTGAAGATTGTGAATTCACTGAATTATCAGTACGTATCCTACATTTATTGGGAGATGAAGGTCCTACTACTACAAATCCTTCTTATTATATCAGACATATTTATAATAGATTGGTCTTGGAAAACTCTATTGTGAGATCATCAGCAGTTATTTCATTAGCTAAGTTTGCTGTTGTTTGCGGTGGCGAAGTTTCTAAGAATGTCAAGATTCTTTTAAGTAGATGTTTGAATGATGTTGATGATGAAGTCCGAGACCGTACTGCTTTATCACTAAAATTAATCGATAAAGAAGCTAAAAAATTGGTTGTCACTGAATCCAAATTTGATTTGTCTGCTTTGGAAAACAAATTAACTCATTACTTGAATGATGAAGCCAACTTTTCGGTTAAATTTGACATAAACGAAGTTCCAGTTATTTCAAACGATGAATTAAAATCCTTAGAATATAACCAAAAGATTCAAAAATTAGAAGCTGCTGCTACTACCTCTAATGAAGCCGAATCTTCCAAAGGTAACAAAACTGATGGTGATGCTAAGAAATCTAGCAACGATAATGCTAATGATTTATTAAAACAACAACAATATGCTCAAGAATTATCAACTGTCCCAGAATTCGCAGATTACGGTAAATTATCTAAATCTACGTCAACTCCTATTTACCTTACTGATAAAGAAAATGAATTCGTTGTTACTGTTGTCAAACACTCTTTCATTGAAAGTAATAAATTGGTTTTACAATTCGACATCACTAATACTTTAAGTCACTTACTTTTACAAGACGTATCAGTGATTGCACAATCAGATAATGAATTGTATCAAGAAGATTTCATTATTCCATTGACTGAATTGAGACCAAGCCAAACAGGTACCGTTTATGTATCTTTCTCCACCCCAACTATTGGGGACGAAGAATTATTAGCTGCTTTCGGTAATACCTTATCTTACACCAATAAGGAAATTATCGATGAAGATGGTAACGTTGATCCAAGTGATGAAGGTTGGTCTGATGAATACCAAATTGAAGATTTGGAAATCACCCCAGGTGATTTTATCATACCATTATATAACTCCAACTTTACTGCTATCTTTGATCAATTAGAGTTTGAAGAAAGTAGTGTTGTCACTATTTCTGGTGTCAAATCATTAGAAAATGCAGTCACTAAATTGACTAAGAATTTAAATTCCTTACCATTAGATGGATCTGATTATGTTCCAAGTGATGCCACCAGTCATGTTTTAAAATTATTAGGTAAAGATTTATGGGGTGGTAAAGTTGGTGTTTTAGTTAGATTGGCTTTCACTGGTGGAAAGGTTGTTGCCAAATTACAAGCTAAATCAGAAACTGAAGGTATCTCAAGTGTCATCATTAGTGGCGCTAACTAGAGCTGCTCTTACAAGAACCTGTGTTTTATTTACCAATAGAATAGAAACAAAAAAAAGAAGAAATTCAAAAAAAGTAAAAAAGGTTCAACAGGACCTCATATGTATATTTGCTCAACTTCCCTTGTTATTTTTATTTCGAATTTTGTTTAGTATTTCCTTCTCCTTTACTTCCCTCAAGTGTCAATTAGTACTTATATGATACATTTCTATAAAACTTTCAATAAAATTATTATATTAAAAGATGTAAACTTTTTAAAATGTAAACTATAGATTTATGAAAGGAATAAAGGCATTAGGTAGCAAAATGAAAACTACCAAGTTTTAGGACCAAAGGTCTCGCCTGACTTCAAAGTATAGAATGGTGCAGCTTCAAAATCCTTAGTATTCTTTTGAACGTTATTCCCCCACCAGTCGAGTTTACCACCAGGGTAAGTAATACACAAGAAGATGACAACTGCACTAATAGCAACACCACAATCAAAAGCAGCAGAAATAACGTAGTTATACTTCAAATGGAAATTAGGTTTGTACTTTTTCAATACATAGTTGAAAAAAAAACCGGTTAAGAAAAACAAAGTATAATTGAAAACAGTTGAAGGAGGAATATTTCCTGAGCCAGTGAAAAAGATTGCAAAATTGATATATCTTACCCAAGATCTTGGATATTTCTTCTTCAAAAGGTATGAAATGATAGGAAGAATAGCGCCGATTAAAAAGAACCATAAAATAACGTTATACCTTTTACCAATGCTGAATAACTCTTGAACTAGAGAAAAGGTGATACTAGCATAAAAGATTGTTTTACCACCAGGGCAAGAAAATTCTGTACCAGCAACGCAAATATCATTGACATTATGAAGCATCCATATTTGAACACCAACATTAACCAAAGCCGCTAAAACAATAAAGAATATTTGATAAAAAAATAAGGTTCTGGGAGGGACTTTCATGTAAACTGCCAATTTTTGATCACGAGAGATATCTAAACCAAATCGCATAGTAATAAAAAGGTACAATTTAACAATCATGTTGGCGAAAGGATTTGCAGTATATACATAACCGGCAATTAATTCACTAAGAACATTCAAACCCACATGTTGATTAGTGATACCTTCTAAAACACCCTGAGGAATGAAAAACACCAAACTTACAGCAACCAGAAGTACTACTGCACTAGGTGAAGTCTTTGATTCTTTCGAATAGCCAGAAACGGTTGCAAAAGCCAACCCTAAGGAGATTAAGAATATAAGAACAGCCCACCACCATGGAATTTGCTTAAAATGTTTCTTATATAAGCGAACATGAATATCTTCACCCCCATGGGTTGGATTTTTAAGACGGCCCCAAATAGATTTACCATTGTATAAAGCGGTATGGACGAAAACAGCAGAGATTGCTGCAAAATTTAAAGCATAGGATAAAAGGTAAGAATATGGAAGGAAAAGAGGAGAATACTCTTTATATTCCTTCACGTCAATCCTATCCCCTTTCAATAGCCTGGTAACATTGAAAGTTTGCTGTTTGTTATCAAATGATGTTGTACTAATCATTGGGAGATATTTTGCGTAAAAAACATTAGTATAATAAAGACAAGGCAAGACAATAATGAAAAAAATGAATACGGAAGCATAAATGTTGGCTGTGGCGAAAAATGGAGTAGCAAGGGGAGATATGCTCAAAGCCTGAGTGATCATAGTCCAATCGAGAGTAATTGGGAATATTCCCAATCCACTTGAAGTACCGAAGATTTGATTGACCACAATGTTATCTTTATTGATCCAACAAATCCAATTGAATAATGAGGTTGCTTGAAACAAAAACCCTGGAATGAAATAAAAGACAAAGGAGAAGATCATTAAGTAGAGAAACAAGCGGTACCTCGAGATATTAAAGTTCGGAATATGAATATTTTCAGCCAATTTTGAGTTTCGAATAGTGGTCAAAACAGTTGCCGTTACCAAATTTTGTGGCCAAGTCATATGATGATCTTCAACTATCCAACGTCTAGTATTGTAAGAGGCCCCAAGTCCAAGCAACTGAGAAGATAATACTAACAAAATTTGATAACCTGGAGAAAGATCCTGTTTATAGAATTCTGCCTGAGCCAACAAGATATTCATCGCATAAGCACTGGAGGATGTTACTGATAAAACAATGACAATCAAAGAATGCTCTTGGGTTGAAAATGGACCTGGATTCAAGTTAAAAAACGGGGCATACTTGAACCGGATATCTGGTAATTTTTCTAAAGCTTTACCGACTGGATACACAATGATCAAACCAACCACGTAACTAATGGTTAAAGATGGATAACGGAGAGAAAAAAACTGATTAACCCCAGCAAAAAGAATCACCAAGATAGTGGTGAGAAGAAAAGCTCTCCAATGAAACAAGTTAATATCAGGGTCGATTTCCGTTGAAACAGCAGCTCTGACTTCTGGATAAGGAGAATTTGTCATTAACGAAGGATCACCTTCGATATAGTCGTGAGTTTCATCTTCGTGTATTTCGATTATTTCACTGATTACTTCAGTACCCTTTGATTTTTCAACATCTGAACCATTTCTATGGGTTATGGTTGTCGTTATATGAAATTCTTGAGGGTCAGATGAACCACTCGACTGTGAATGAGCACCCGACATGTTAACAGATCAATGAAACTTTTACATCACGACAAGATTGGAGAAATTTAAGATCTATATATTAGTAGATGAAAGAAGGAGAAAAACTGTGGCAGATAAGCATTATTCGCAACCGAAGTTATTTTTCAGATAACAAATTCCATCGGCATTAATTCACTAATAAAGAAGAAGTTAATTGATGCCACCATTGTTCATATAAGCTTGCATGTCGGAACGGCAAACAGGGTTCACTCAGCCAAGTGATTTTTTATTTGGCATTGACATATTATTTAGTACACAATAGACTTACATTTAGTTTTTTGACCAGGTCCTATACAATAATATAATGCAGTAATATAGTATAATACAGAAGAGAAGAGAAAACACATTAGTATTTGCTGGGAGATTGAGTTAATCTAGCGCTTTTCATTTGTTTGTATAGTAAGCCACCGGAGAAATAAACTGCCAAAGCAGCCACTAATATGAGTAAGAAGATCCAAACAGCAGCTAAATTATCAGCTTTAGCAGCAGTTGGACATGCATGATGGGACCTAACTTCAAAAACGTAGTTACAGTTATTAACTGAGCCAATGTACAGAATGTGAGCTTTTGCTGACATTTCACGATCACAAGTAAAGGTTAATATTGTTGATTTCTTCAATTTTTTACCAGTTGTTGAGTCAACAAGATTATCACAATAGGAACCATTTTCATAGGTGAGGGTTAATTTTCTTCCTTTGAAAACTGGGTTTTCATTATATTGACCAATGGAAACGTATTGATTGGTTTTAGGATCGATATAATAACCCCCAACTTCCAGAGAATTGAGGTCGTCTTTCAATTCATGGAGTTTATCATGATTTTGTTTAAAAGGAGATGAACATATACCCAAAGTATAATTATACCCCGTTTCGTATCCTTTAGAAGTCCATGGTAATGCCCTGCCTTCATTTCCTTGAGAAGATAAACTTCTCAAATCGATAAATCCATGATTGATTGGATTGAACACCGTACATGGATCGAGCTGGTGTGGCTTTTGTTTATCCTCTTGTTTACTATCCTGCTGATGTTTACCTCGATCACTTGGATGATTTTGTTGATCATTGTTACTATGTAATGACAAATGAGTTACCGAATCCAAAAATTCAAGCGACTTCAGCTGATTTGGTTTACGGGATGCTATTATTAATCCACATATAGTGAATAAAACTATAACTAGGAATATAATCCTACGATATGCTCTGGAAACCACCATAGTATTACGGAATAGCAGTGGAATTAATTTTTTTTTTTTTACTCAACTTAAGAAAATCCCACAATAAAAAAGTACAATTTCAAATAAATTGATATGCTCCAGCCTAGTTTTCCTCTATAATCTCTCGGAAACCCCTTATTCTATAAACAAACTGCTTTCCAAGCTGGCTTTTTACAAAAAAATTATTATTTTTATCATATTCCAAAATACTCCCGTAAAAATCATCAGAAATTCTCTCGTTTTGTTCCCAGACGAGCGATGGTGTTCTTTATACGCAGGCTGCCAAAAGGGGTTGAAACGGAAAAAGGCCGGTACACCAAGTATGTACCGGTTTTTTGCTCGTAAATAAAAGTAGTGCAATCACCCAAAGACGTGCTTGTCCCAAATCGGGGATGTACCGGTGTTTTTCTAAAGGGTACGGATCTTTAGTTTTTTTCGGAGGTACCGGTGTTTTGTATTTTTCTTTGCAAGAGACGACGGCGGTAAAACAAAGAGGCTAAGACGAAATCAGATATTGAGCTAGCTGGTATCTACATTAGTAAGTTGTTTAATTAGCAAAATCAGTACAGAAAATGGATGCTTGGGGTGGTTTGCTGCAAGCGTCAGGCCTTATTGGCGGTTCGAACATCGATATAGCCAAGTCAGCTTCCCATATTTTGAATTACTCCGACCCGTTGTTTTCCCAAATATTAACTGCTAAAAAGGGTTTACAAGTTGTATTAGAACTGTCAATTGATTCTTCATCAGCTATTCCTGATAAGAGCTTGGTAGAATTGCTAATGGCTGCTTGTGATGGAGATTTGGTTACTTTGGAATCCGCTTTGAGATCAAATTCAGACTTGATTAACAAATTATATCCGACTGATCTGGCAGGTTTGACTCCGTTAATTTATGCTATCGCTTTTGACCAGGAAGCTATCGTCGAATCTCTTTTGGATAATCACAATGCTGACCCTGATCAGCATGATACCTTGATTAAAAATTATACCCCTTTAATGTGGGCAATTTACTTTAATCAAATAGATATCGTCAAGATCCTACTTGACCACCAGGCTGATCCTTATTTGGCCCCTAATGAAGATGAGCCTAAAAAGAATGCCATAAGTATGGTATTACCAGAAAATCAAGAAATTTATGAATTTTTCAAATCTCATAATTTATTAGGTCGGGCCTCTTCACCAATTGATAACGATGACTCTTTCTATTCAAACAATATCACTAATAGTACCGAGGATGATGAAATGAATCATCTTTCAAACCAAATCAAATTACAAAGCATATCAGCTAAAAGTGGGTTATTACCAGAAGATGACTCCGATAATGAAGATAACTATTACGACGAAGAACAAATATTATCAACTGATCATATATTAAGACAAACTCCTAACTTTGAATACGATAAACTTTTACCCGAACAATACATTAAATTTACTGACTCGGATATTCCTGCTTTATTAGATTATATTTTCAATCTTCGTACTAATATCATTCATTCTCAACATGATACTAAGATTCCGGCTTCCATAATTTTCCAATTGTTAAGATATTCCCATATAAAAGTAAATAGTGACGAATTAACAACTTTTTTGTTTGATTGCTTTGTCACCAGATTGAGATCAGTGACTAATACAAAATCGGGAGTTTTCAATATGGCAATGAACACCGCATCAGATACTGTCAGTAGTGGAGATACTTCGACTGCTCAAGCTGCCGCTGGTGGGGCTGGTGATATAGTCTTATTGAGTTATTGGTTATCTGTTATACAATTTTTACATTTTTATTTTTGCAAAAATGATATATATATAAAATATCCTCAATTTTTACAAGAGTTGATTAACTTAGTTCAATCGTTGATTGCAACATTATCATTTTCAATTAATTCTAGATTAAACTTATTGATTGACGATTGTTTATTAAACTTTACCAGTTTAGTTGATGTATCAAATGTTTTATATGCAAAAGATTGGAACTTATTCAAGAGTAAGAAATCTCATCCAAATACTTATGACGATATTTTCAATATGTTATATCCACCAAGCCAAGTTGAATTAATGAAACCTTCTCCTTTAAGATATATCCAAGTATTAGGTGCCTTGGATTATGTTTTAAAATTACATCAAGTTGATACATTATTCCGCTTACAAACATTTTCACAAGTCTTCTATTATATAAATGCAATGATTTTCAATAGGTTAATTGCCAACTCCAAATACTGTTCCAGGGTCAAGGCCATACAAATTCGACTTAACGTATCAACTTTAGAAGATTGGTTAAGGTCTCATAACTATAAAATATTTAAACCTGATTATATTGGAGGTTTAGATCGTTTAACTGGTGAACAAACATTTCACTTAAAAAATTTGTTGGATATAACCAATGATCTGAAAAACCCTCATTCTTTAAGTTTCTACTATAACTCACTATATCACGTTGGGAAAAGTCAATTAACTCCAACTATTGAATTATTACAATGGTTGCAATGTATGTCTGCTTTAAATGATGAGGAAAGTTTAATCAATACGATTAATTCATTCGAACTGTTGAATTATTATCAATTATTCAAAATCATGAATAAATTATATAAATATGAAGTTGATGAAGACAAATTACCTAAAGCATTAGTTAATCTAGTTAAGAGATTAATGAATGAACAGGGAGAAAAACAAATTCAAAATCAACATAAAAATTTGCATTATATGACACAATCAAATTTCTTACTGAAAGAAGTTTACATTTATTTAAATCCAAATTTTGTATTTGGAGTTGCATTACCAAATTTAACCGAATTAATTAATAATTATGGTAGTGGGTTAGGAGGTTTAAGAGTAATGAGAGCTAAAAAATATCAACCTTCATTACCAGTTAATATCATGGATGATATTGATGACATTAAACAAAAGAATAGAGAAAATAATGTTAACGATACTTATGATTATGAAGAAGAAGAAGACAATGAAGAAGTTGAAAAAATCGAAGCTAATAATGATGATACACCAGTAAAACTGGATGGCTTCAAAGGTGATGAATTGTTCAAAACGGTTCAATTACCCAGCTCATTGGCGCATAAAGAATGGGATAATGAGTTTGAAGTAAATCCTTGGTAATTCGTAGTTGTATATATAGGACCATCAATACTAATAATTAATTCTAAATATATCTGTAGTTAAAACAGGGGCTGCTTTACGATTGCAAATACGATCCCAATCGATATATTTGCAGCTGGTCCTGCTGACGCAGATCCAGGTAACACAGGTACCGATGACAGGGGTGTTGTCCATAAGATCCGGGGGTAAAAAAGCAAAATGAAAAAAAAAAAATAAGTGGAGTACAAAATTGAAAACAACAAAAAATAGAAGACCAGCAAAATGACAAACAAAAAAATAAAAATGTCGGTGTACAAAAATGGATAAACAAAATGCTTCGAGAAAGTCAAGCTCAGTTGCACCTGAAAAAAGGATAAACAAACATCTAGCGAATCAGGAGGAAATCGGTGCTTAAGGTTGGAAGAGCAATAGTGCATGAAGCGAAATACCAAGCCATAACGAAGGACGAAAAGGGTTCATTTATGTTATAATTAGTTGAATTGAGACGACATCATAACAGAAGACGGTTGCCCCTTTATGAGAGCTGGTTGGTGTTCATAATTATTCGTGAAGTACTATTGTTTTTTTAAGCTCGAGCCAAAAGGCAAAATGGTGTTTTATTTACTATTTGACTAGAGTTATGAACAAAAAAACATGAGAATTCTTACACGGTCAACCTGTATGGGCCAAGAATCCAACTAAAACAATGATATAATCGATTTTTCATCATTAGAAGCAACAAGGTATATAAGTGAAAGGATTGCTGTTGTAGGTGATACAGTAGAGTATTTTTTCGAATCCAGTATCGACACTCATTCCACTCATTTGAAAAACTTCCCACCATGTACACTCGTTTTATCTATTCTTTGGTGTCGGCATTAGCTATTAATTCTGCTCCAGCATTTGGATCCCCAGTTCCAAATGATATTGTTTCTGAAGCAGCATCTCAAGTTTCATCGTCTTTCAACGGATTACAGGGGTCAGGATCATCCTCTGGATACGTTAGATTAGATTTCAATGTTTTGAAAGGTCTTGATTTCGGTTCAGCTTTAAAAGGTTTAACCGATACTATTAACTCATTACTTCCAAGAGATGATGAAGGTGGTAATAAAACTCAAACCGTCGGATTATCAAATGAAAAATCCTTTTATGTTTCAAGTTTGAAAATTGGTTCAAATAAAGATGAAGTTAAAGTCTTAGTTGATACCGGATCTTCAGATTTATGGGTTATGTCAGCTAAGAATCCTCACTGTAATTCTAATGGAGGTAATATTGATTGTGATAAATATGGTACTTATAATGAAACTGCATCTTCGACTTTCCAATCTAATAGTTCTGATTTTTCGATTAACTATATGGATAATACTTATGCCTCTGGTGTTTGGGGTCAAGATGATATTACCTTGAATGATGATTTCACTTTGAACGGTGCTAACTTTGCAGTTGCTGATAACTCAGATAGTGATACTAGTGTTTTTGGTATTTCTTATAAGACTGCCGAAAGTAGTAAAGGTGAATATGACAATTTACCAATTCAAATGAAACAACAAGGTTACATTAATAAAATTGCTTACTCTTTATACTTAACTGGTTCAGAATCCGAAAAAGGTACTATTTTATTTGGTGGTATTGATCATGCTAAATATGAAGGTGAATTATCATCTATTGACATTTCTAAATCAAATGATGAATTATTATATTTACAAATTCCATTAACCTCTGTTAGTGTTAACATCACTTCAAACGAAACTGCTAACACTGGCTCAGACTCAAATAGTCAATCTCCTTCAAGCTCTTCATCTTCCGGATCTCCAATCAGTGGATTACTCAATGGTGTTTCTTCGCTTGCTTCTTCTGTTACCAACCCATCTAAATCCTCTGAATCATCTTCAAAAGCTGAATCCTCAAGCTCTCTTGAAGCAATTGATGTTGGTAAAGATGCCATTTTAGACTCTGGTACTACTTTAAGTTTCTTAAGTCAAAAAGTCGTTGATAAGATTATCGACAACTTACAACCAGGTGCCAAATATGACAACTCTTATGGTGGTTACATTGTTAGCTGTACTTTAAGACAACCAGGTAACTCGATCAATTTCTTATTCAATAATGAAAAAGAAATTGCTGTTTCAACCAGTGATGCCATTATCGATGCTGGTACCGATTCAAAAACCGGTAAGAAGGTTTGTATGTTGGGTATTGTTCCAAATGATCAAATCATCTTGGGTGACAACTTCTTGAGAAGTGCTTACACTGTTTTCAATTTGGATGATGCTAAAATTCAAATTGCTCAAATCAAACATTCTGATTCCGAAGATATTGAAGCTATTCAATAATCTTTTTCGTTAGCTAATACAACTAATTGCTATATAATTTAGTTATACGCTAATTACTTTTTGATTCTTTCCCGAATTTTACTCTTTAGTCAAATTTTTCAGTTATATTATTTTCTAGATCTTAAAACTCTTCACTTGTATCGTATTATCCACTTGTAGTATCTACAGTAATGATCGAATATAAAACATGCTATTGACCCCCTTGGGCCTAAATATATACAAGAAACTAATCATACTTGGGATAAGAAATTATTATTCTTAATTCTGGAAGCGTTTTGCTTTCCTATTTGTCTTTTCCTCCATCTCATAAAATCAACTTTTTTGAAATCTTCATCCATCTTCTCTTTATTAAGACTGTCCCATAGCCACTCAGGGTATTCTGAATCTTCTAACGCCACTGGTTCATCTCCTGCTTTTCTAATCTTAAGATTAAGTATCGTACCAGCTTTGCATGTTGATTTTCCGAGACTTTCATTCATTAATCTGCCCCCGGTGGAGAAGTTTCTGGCCCCGACCAAATTGGCACGCACAGAACACGCTCTGATACCTCTAAACATCTCGTCGTCCCGTCTTTATAGCCCTTCAAAGTGTCTAAAGCTTGGTAATAAACTCAAATTTTTCAATCGATTTTTTTTTAATTTGTTTAGTTCGGTCCTTTTGGTTACCCGCACGACCATGTCGCCGGGGGACCAAAAAATGTCGCGCGCGACATCTCAACGAAAGCAAAAGAAAAAAGCCCAAGGTCGTGTGCGCAGTTCCAAAAAAGATGCCGAAAATTTTTTTTTAAAGAACTGAAAGTATAGCGATTTAACAGAAGAAGGTTTCTTTTCTTTGATACAGTATAAACGTATAGAAAAAATGGCTCCAAAGAAGAAAGGTGTTGTTGAAAAACCAATTTTATTAGGTAGACCAGGTAACAATTTAAAATCTGGTATTGTCGGGTTAGCCAATGTTGGTAAATCGACTTTTTTCCAAGCTATTACCAGATGCCCATTAGGGAATCCAGCTAATTATCCATTTGCTACCATTGAACCAGAAGAAGCCAGGGTTATTGTTCCATCAGAAAGATTTGACAAATTATGTCAATTATATAAACCAAAGAGTGAAGTTCCAGCATATATGACTTTATATGATATTGCTGGTTTAACCAAAGGTGCTCATTCAGGAGAAGGTTTGGGTAATAATTTCTTAGCTAATATCAGAGCAGTTGATTCAATTTTCCAAGTTGTTAGATGTTTTGAAGATAGTGATATTATTCATATTAATGATGAAGTTAACCCAGCTGCTGATTTAGAAATTATCCATGATGAATTAAGATTAAAAGATATTGAATTTGCTACCAAACATTTGGAAGGGGTTGAAAAGCTTGTTAAAAGAGGTGGTCAATCCTTAGAAGTTAAAAAGGCCAAAGAAGAAGTCGAATTAATTAAAAGAATCATTCAATTATTAGAAGATGGTGGACGTATTGCTAATCAAAAATGGACTCAAAAAGAAGTTGAAACCATTAACTCAATGTTCTTATTAACTGCCAAACCTTGTATTTATTTAATCAACTTGAGTGAAAGAGATTACGTCAGAAAGAAGAATAAGCATTTATTGAAAATTAAAGAATGGGTTGATAAATTTTCTCCTGGTGATTTAATTGTTCCAATTTCTGTTTGTTTAGAAGAAAAATTAGCCAATATGGCTTCTGATGAAGAAAGAGATGCTTACACCAAAGAAATCGGTGCTGCTTCTGCTTTACCTAAAATCATTACCGCAATGAGATCCAAATTAGATTTAATCTCCTTTTTCACCGGTGGTCCCGATGAAGTTAGAGAATGGACCATTAGAAGATTCTACACTGCTCCTCAAGCTGCCGGTACCATCCACACTGATTTAGAAAAAACTTTCATTTTGGCCCAAGTCATTAAATATAACGATTTGATCGAATTAGGTGATGAAAATTCAGTTAAATCTGCCGGTAAATTATTGCAAAAGGGTAAAGATTATTTTGTTGAAGATGGTGATATCTTATATGTCAAAGCTGCCGACGGTAAAGCCCGTTAAGCCCTCTTATATAGCTATATAATACATACACTTTTCTTTATGGATTATGATGATGTCTTTCTTATTAATTCGTAGTATGCTCTTCTTTTGGCTGCAATTTTTAGTGTTATGTCCACGTGCGAACTGACAAAATGTTTTGACGTTGAAAATTTGAAAGGCTGCGACCTTTGAATTAAATCAACTGAGCCTTGTTCTTCTTCTTGATGCTTGATTTGGAGTAGGGAATTGGCGATAATTTTTTTCATTGAATTGGTATATATATATATATCTGAACTGGCAGTCGATACTATGGGCTTTGGCTTGTTGTTATAATTGGAAATTTGGAGGAAATTAGTATCCAGGAGTCTTTTCACTGACTAGCTATATTGCTTGGTATCTGATGTTTCGGTTAACTTTACGGAGATCATTGTTATTGATAACAACTAGCTTTCTATTCATTTTTTTCATAGTATGGTTTCAGCATTACTTGACTGATGTTAAACTTTGGGAAAAACTCTATGCTTTTCAACAAAGTTTCACTTTGGAATCTTTCGAAAAACATGATATGGATATGAAGGAGTCGCTACATCATTCCGGTTATAAATGTGGTCTTTATGATGATTATATCAAGCATCTTAAGAAAACGGGCAAGTATAAAGATTATGATCCAACTTTTGGTAAAGATTTACCCTTCAAATGTGATTCTTTCTTTCAGTTTGTTCATGATTCGTATCCAGATTATAAATTTGAATTATTGCAAGATACTGATCAATTTTATGATAAGGGGGTGGTGAAAAAGGCAAATTTCTTTAAAGATCGTACCAGAGACTTATTGAAAGAACGTAAAAAAAATGAAGAAATTCAAATCATTACTAAAAATGATAACATAACGATTAATAATGATTTCTTAGCTAGATGTCAACAAACTAAAATTGCCGGCCAGAAAATGGCTGATACAATCACTTTAATGCGGATCTATGGGCAATGTTTTATCAAAAATCATCCAAATAATTTGAATAATGATATTCTAAAGTTTGGTAATAATCAAAAATGGTTTGATCAATATACTAAGACATTGTTTTATTACTTGAGTGATAAATTACCAACATTTGAAAATCAAAAGTATAACCTCGACTTATATGGAGATCAACTCCCTCTATTCAATGAAAATAACCTATTCGAAGGTGAAACAGTCTCTTATCGTGAAAATCAGCATAACCTACTTCAATTCTTGAAAGAAAACTCAAGTGGTAAAGGTATCGCAATATCCGCCTCTACAAGATTTACTAAAGACATTATTAAACTAATCAGAGTGCTCCGGGCTTTGAATAATAAATTACCAATCCAGATTATCTATAGAGGTGACTTGAATCAACGTAGTAAAGAATATATGAAAGCCGCTGCCCAAGCTGATATAGAGCAATTGCTAGGTTTGGAAATGTCCCCTGACGTTAATTTAGTCTTACCTGAACTAAATTTGATTAAAACTGCTGAAAAATTGGGCTCTACTTTCCCAAAACAAGATATTTGGTTTATTAATTTATCTCCAACAATTTCAAGAAGCCATAAATTCTATTTTAGTGGTTATACAAATAAAGTTTTGGCTCTTTTATTCACCACTTTTAAGGATGTCTTGTTATTGGATGCTGATGCTGTCCCCTTGGTTAATCCAGATGATTTCTTCCAACTAGAAGAATACATGAAAAGCTCAGCTCTTTTCTTCAAAGACCGTACCTTAAGGGATACTAATGATTTCATCGAAACAAATTTCTTCACTAAATTAATGCCGCTTGGGCATGGTAACCCTTTGCAAAACCTCGATCAAATTTTTGGTATAAAACAAATTACTGAAAAAACTTTAAATAATCCTTATATGCGAGGTTGGAGACATTTTCAAGAAGCTGGTATTGTGGCAATTAATAAAGTCGAACATTTTATGGGTATCTTGATGACTTTACCTTTGATCGTATGGACTGATCCAGTTAAATCTTCAATTTGGGGTGATAAAGAAATGTATTGGTTGGGCTTATCTATGGCCGGTGACGAAAATTATGAATTCAACAAATATCATGCTGCAAGTGTTGGAGAAGCAACAATTTCCAACGATAATAAATATTATCCTGACTCTAAAACAAATGAAGTATGCTCAAGTCACCCAGGGCATGTAAGCTCAAAGGGTGACTTATTATGGATCAACTCGGGGTTCAGCTTTTGCAAAAAAAATGGTTATTTTAAAGATCGTTTGCATTTCCCCTTTTCTACCTTTGTAAATAATGATTTACAAGCTATTTACCAAAATCCTTTACGTATAAGGAATGCTTTAATACCACCCGCAACACCTCCTATAAGAGGTTTGGGAAGTCCTCCTGATGATACAAAAGAAAGAGAGTTTATAAACAGTTGGAAAAAAAGGAAAGAAGATATTGATCAAATAAAAGTGGCAGAAGATGATTCAAGACAATTAAAACAGATGAATCCTCAAAAGGGTTGGGTTAAAAGTCCTATTTGTAGCAATTATTACTATTGTGCTTACGATGAAGTTGATCAATATGTACTACCAGAAGGCTATGAGTTAGAAAGATCCGTAATTGAACATGAAGGAAAGCTTTTCAGCTTTTCAGATGATCTCAAAGAAAAGTATGATTTTTTAGGTAAAATTTGGGTCACTGGTAATAGTAGGGTTGTTCCAAAATCAAAAAACCAATTAAAGAAAGAGAAGGAAGATGCTAGGAAAAAGGAAGAAGCTAAAAAGAACGAAGAAGCCATGAAAAAAGAACAACAAGAAACTAAATCAAAGCAAATTGAAGGATCTCAAAATATTGCACAAGAGACGAGTATACCAAACGCAGAGGAATCCAAATCACCGATAGATAAAATATCTAACTTCAAAGTTAATGAAGGTGACGAAACTAGCGATACTTTTGACGATCATTTACAAAACGTTCCCGGTAAGTCTACTCTTCAACATATTGATGTAAATCTTCTACTAGATAATGCTGGCTTAGGGGATACAGATATAGTAGAAGAATTAAAAGAAAATAGAAAACAAAACGGTTAAGTATAAGTATATATTACTTCTATGAAATAATTTGTATATATAAAGAATATTACGCAATTAGATTAGTTTATTGTTTTTTGGAAGTTAAAGTAATAGCATGAGCACCGATAATTCTATGAAGATATTCTTCACCATTGATTAGAACCTTATCATCATCGGTAACATATTTATCTAAAGCTTCGTTAAGCTTGACCTTCAACTTGTCCTTTTCGTTTTGAGATAAAGCAGTTATGTATGATCTGGTTTCCCAATACAGATAGATGTCTTCTCTTTTGATGGCAGCATCATGTAATAAGAAAGTTTCTTTTTCAATACTAGTAAAGTAATCATTGTGTTCGCTAAGTACATTTCTCCAATTACCATGACGGTATTGAGGAACATTGACATCGTATCCATAAGCAAGATCACCCGTTTTTGCAGCCCAAGTATCACCCAGAATGGCATGCGATAAAAGGTAAGGTTTTTCTTGTGAGTTGGGTAACGAAGCGGCCAATTCCTTTCCTTTTTGCAATAGCTCTGGGGATAACGTATCCTTATCCAATAAGAAAGTAAATTCAGGCAAGACAGAATCTCTCACAACAAGACTTTCTTTTCTTGCAACATCAAAATTCCAAATCATACCGAGGGTTCCATTTGGTTTTAAGACTCGGTAAAGTTCTTTCAAAGAAGCTCGGTCACTGAACCAGTGCCACCCTTGGGCTATAACCACAGAATCGAAACTCGAGTCTGGTAAAGGCAACTCGTAGGAAGATCCTTCATAAGTTTTGATCGAAGGGAAATTTTTCTTCAAAGTAGTTAACATCCCAGAAGAAGGATCAACGGCAACAAGATTTTCACCCCAGCCGAATTCAACTAAGTTACGAGTGAACTTACCGGTACCAGCAGCAAGCTCCAAGATCTTCTTGTCGGTATGATACTCCGACTCCGAAGCTAATTTCAAGTCAACCAAAAATTTTTTGGTCAATTCCTTGGAGAATGATAAACGATATTTATCATAGGTGGAGTGATTCAAATTGAATGACTTGACAGCAGTGGTGTGGGCCTTGGACATATTAATATCAATTGGTGTTGTAAATGGATAAGAATTGAAATATTCAAGTAGAAAGTCTTTTTCTTTTATAACTCTAAACAGTGTGGCTGATATTCCCCACTAAAACCGGAATAAACACCGAGCAGAAACCGACGGATCGCTCGATCTCGGATCAACATGTCTACGAATTACAATCATAAATATTTATAAATAAAAATAACGTCATTATTATCATAATATAGAAAGCCGTGAATTAAAAATTGGTCCTCGTGCCCCTGAGGAGAATATAGTTCTAGAGTGAAAAAAAAAAATTGAAAACTGAAGAAAACCACAAGTTGTACGATTTCAGTTTAAATACACGTTATAGAATACAACATTGTGCAATAGAGGGAAGTGAAAAATAAATAATGGTTCAACGTTAGTTGAGGTTATTGTGGGTGATGAAATCTTTGATAAAATTCAAATTGCTAGAGTCATTTAAGCTAGCAAAAGCATTTTGGAATTGTTTTAAGATGCGTATTTGATCTTCCGGAGATTTGACTTCTATTTCAAGGAAGAAAAAGTTGATTAGTTTTGAAAATCCGTAATCAAGATTAATAAATTTATGAATCAAGATGTTTAACCAATCATTAGCTTTCATGACCGTCAAAACCTTGATGATACTAATAAGATTGGCGGTAGTCAAAGTTCTATGATTAATTGATTTCAAGAACTTGAGGTAATTTTGAAAAGTTTTATTCAAAGGACCAGTATTCAAATTTAACTTATGGGATAATTGAGCAGCATTGGCAAAATGAGCCATGTTCAAGTTTATCAATTCTTCTTTGGACTTGAAGTAAGATTCATCATGTTTGAAATTTTCCAAAATCTTCTCTGTTGACTTTCCAGTAATGAGAAAATTGGCAACTTCTGGTAATGTGGAACGTTTCATTTCAATTGGTTTATAGTTTGCATTCTTTAAAGAGTACATGAACTCAGCAAATCTATAAGATTGATTAACCAGAGCAAATTTATCGATAAGAGGTGCAAATTTTTTCAAAGCGATTTCAAAATCACCTTTTGCAATGTAGTAATTTAATAACAGATGAACCAATTCATTTGAATCAGAAATTTTCAAATTTTGTTTATTACTTAATTCAGTGAGTGATTTAAAGTACACTGTAAACTCATCAAATTTTTCTAATTCTAATAAACAGGTGCAAATTGCATTTGAGATTGAAAGGTCTGGCTTGGATTTCAAATTAGTATTTGAATTTATAATCGATGAATTGCTTTGATATAACGAATAAAGTGATTCAAATTGGCGTTTACTAATCAAACCAGTGAAAAAATATGATACCCACTCTTTGTTTGGATTCGATTTAATTAATGTGCTGAAGTTGTCAACCATCAAAGAATTGAAATACTTATTGGTAGAAGTTGATGAACACTTAGATAAATCAGCTAAAATTTGAGAATTTTTAAGTAAATCAATATTCGATTCATTAATTATAAACTTCAAAATATGAATATTCAATTTATCCAAATTATAATTGATAATATTAGCAATTAATTGAGACTTAACTTCATCATTTGTGAAGTTCAGTGCTAAAATTCTTGAAACGAAGGATTCTATTTTAATATCGTGATTTTTCATTAAATATTTCATCAAAAAATCTTGGTTAATAATCATTAGCCATGTAGATTCATTAAACTTGTATCCTTTTTTGAATAAATCAATGAATTTATCAACACCGGCATTATAATTGAGTTGTAAAAAATGACTCAAATTTAAATTGTAGTCCGCATCAATGACCTTAGTTGATACATCTTGATTAATAGATATATCATCAAAGTTGCGACATGCTTCAATAATATCGTTAGTGAACTTGAAGCTTGGTGACGCTTTAGCTAAATCGATAAGCTTAACAAAACTTGTGTTTAATTGTTGCTTAAACAACTTCACATCATCGTTAACCTCTAAATAATGATTTTCGCTATCTTCGAATTCATTGATTAAGAGGGATTGATACTGAATTATTTTATTCAAATCTTGAATTTCTAACTGATCACCAATAGTCATTAAATGACGCATGATCAACATTAAGCCATAAATATTATTAGAATCCAATTTAAAGGCTGCAAACCCTTTGGCAACCATTAAAGAATCGAGAATTATATTAGCATGAGATTCATTACCAACAAGAAAATGACTCATTTCAGAGATGAAAGAATTCAAATAATTTGATTCATGAGAATAATGGCTAGATTGGGATTCAATTAAGTTCCACATTAATGAATAATAGTAATCATTTTTATTGGATAAACTACCTTGATAAAGGTAAGAACAAATTTTTTTCAAGATTTGAATATCATAAATCAAATGACTCTTCAATAAGATTTCTTTAATAATCTGGAAAACTCTTTCATGATCGCCAATGTCAATTGATAAGCTAATTAAGAAGTCACGACATTGAATTTTCTTATTATTTAAGAAGATCGAGGTTAAATTTTCATGATTTGAATAATCTTGATAATCTTTACGGATTGCCAAATGATCATATAATTTCCAAATATTTTGATACTGGGTTGATTGTAACTTTGTTAATTTCTGGATTTGATTCAATTTAGTAAATTCGTCAGTTTCATTTTGATGAACCTTAATCAATTCATGACTGCGAATGTTATAATTATTAATCATGTTATTGATTAATTCATTATAATATTCAACAGTCAATTCAGGAAGGTATGCAATGTTATTAAATTTATTCATTAAGTTAAAAGATTTCTCACAAGATTCAATATCACCTGGAATAATGATTGATTCTAAAAACACTGAAATCAAAGTACTGACATCTTTTTTCAATAAAGTTCTGGAAGGCTTTTGTTCTAAAGATCCAGCAGTGGCATTGATTGAATTTTTATAATCAATTAAAATATCATCAAGGAAGCTGACTGCAAGTGATTTATTATGAGATTTCATCAAAGAATTGATGACGACTGAATATATTTGGAATTCATACTCATTTAAGTCAGGTAAAATTTGAGCATTATTTTTGTAAGATGAATAGACAGTTTGAATGAAAGAATAGACCTCATCATTAGAATAATTAAGATATTGAGATAAGTATTGAGATAAGTTAATTAAACCGACATAGTATTGACCATCATTATTGATATTGAAAACTAAAGGTAAAATTTTCTTTAACAAATCTGGAGTTAATAAGTTTGGATGAACATTGAGAATTGAAATCAAACTTGGTAAAATGATATGTAAATCTAATTGGTCAATTTTTGAAATTGACATTAATAAATCAATACCAATTTGACAAAATTCTTGACCTTGAACAAACATTTCATTATAGTTAACTTGAGGAATTTTCTTAAAATGGGTTAACTTAATACAATCGAGACTACCTTTGAAAATTCCTTGAAGAACAATTGAGAAAGTGGCATTATTTGGTTTCAATGGAGCATTAGAATTAGCTGAAATTAAAATATCTTGATAAACAGTAAGCAAATTTGTGAGACGAGATTCAATAGCTTGAATAGATGAGTCATCGTTATCCAAAGAACGTTCATTGATTGAAGCCAAAATGATATTATAAACGTCGATTGACGAACAAGGCAAATCATTTCTTTTCAAAGATTGATACAAAGGATAAATGATATTTAAATCACTTGATGATTTACTATTATTATAGATATTAATGATTTGATTGACTTGAGTAGTTAAGAACTGAGATTCAAAGCTAGGTTCGGGGTTTGAAAGTTCAATTTCTTCAATTTCTTCCAGCTGTTCTTGAATATTGGATTGGGGGATTTCAGCAGTGGCAGAAGCATCCTTTTGATGACGAGTGCTAGTAGAAAAGAACCGTTTTGGACATAAAGTAGGTTGAATACCAGACGATGTAAAGCTTAAATCATTTGAAAGATTTTTCAAGAAATTGATACTAGAGTTAATTTCTTTATTGACTTTTGAAATGAAGAACTTGGAAGCATCGTCTAGTAGCACATCTTCCGGCTGATCCTCTAATTCATGTTGTTGGTGTTGGTTATTGTTTTTCGATTTTTTATTCTTTTCGGCGTCATGACTGAAAATGGTATAATATAACCCGTAATGACCAGAATCAATACTTAAAAAGTACCGGCTGTGGTTGGAGGAGGTATAGTGAGGGTCATTTGGCCAATACTTGGTATAAAAATTGTTAAAATGAAAATTTACTAGCGATTGATTGTTCAAGTATGGATAGGCAGATTGAAAGAATGATATCTTTTCACCACATTTTGCCTGTTTGATAAACGTTGAAAACACCATCTTGTACTTCTATTACTGGACCATGCTAGTGATACACCAAGTTCATATAATATGAATAGATCGAGTTATTCTGATTTACCAGTTAAAACAGATTTTTTTGCTCTGGCGGCTAGCTTAAAATATAGCAAAAATAAAAGAAAATCTCCAATATTCCCCTTAGTCAATTTCAGAATAGGATCCCGTTCTTTAGCCCAATCAAAAGCAAACTATTCTAGTATTAGTTAAGAGCATCCAATTTACAGCGGCAATTCTTACAATTTGAGTGGGCACTTAATTTAAACCGTGATGGAGATGGGAATAAAACGGGTTTTTTGTGTACAATGAAAAAATTGTTTTATTTTTTTTTTTTTTAGCCTTTTTTTTTTTTTTAAGCTCCTTTTTTTGATTTGTTAGCAGCTTCTCCGTATAATGGATTTTCGGGGAAACCTGATTGGTGAGTTTGTATGGGTGTATGGGTGTATTTCCGGCTAGTCCTCCCGTTGCGGAAGCGTCTTAAACCCGAAGGCCCGATCCAGACGCCGGGAAGACTCGGAATGAGTCACTTCTCGTACTGGGAGCTTTTTGGTGTACGGACGTTGACGGGGTTTGATTTTCAGATAATTTTTGCAACCCAAAAAAAAAACAAGCGCAAAACAGTGCACGACATTTTTAGCGCAAAACTACATTTAGATTAATGGTGAAAGGACATAGATGTCCATTTTGATTATTTATAATATTCTATTGGTCTATTAGAGACAATTCGATGATCCTTCTTAGCTGCTCTTCCTCGTCATCGGGATTGTCCGGGGGAGGAGTGTGTTTCGACGATGAGGACCCTTCAGCATCGATTAGATCATCGAGATTCCATTGATCTCGTTGTAATTGTTTTTTCCGTTCTTCTTCTTGTTTTGACATCTCAAGCACTAACCTCAATTGCTCCTCTTCATCCAATTGTGTTGGCTTGTTAGGTTTAAAACTCTCACTCATTGCTAGCGCCACGCTCAATTCGTCATCTTCGTTATCGTATTTGATTCCGTTATATTTATCTACCAATAATGCTTCTTTTCTCTTGCCATGTTCATCGCGATCAAAATCATCCATTTGATCTTTGATGCTTTGGTATACCAATTGCTTATTCAGCCATTGAGGCCCAACGTTGACTCTTCTCTTGACGTTGGATGATGACTTTTCTTGTTCTCCGAATTCAAAATACTGAACTATATCCAAACACACAATTACCCCACAGGTTAGTTTTTCGTCTTCACTTAGTCGAATTGATCCCGTGCTGGCAGCTATGTTATTGAAATGGTTAAATTTTTTCGGAAACTTGACTGAAACCTCTCGTAAGTACTCTCCTGTATGGACATTGTATAAATTAGTGAACCCGTTATAGCCAGAAATTAATAAGACACTGCTATTGAATGCGATTTCTTTGACATAGCAGTCAGTTTCACCCTCCGGTACGGTGACTTGAGGATGATATTTACTAAATATTGGCTCGACAACAGTCTGAACTTGTATTCTTGAATTTGAATCTCGAATATTCCATATTATCACCTTATTACTAGATAATATTATCCCATAATAAAGTGCATCTCCTCCAACCACTGTATCATCGTAGTTGTTCAATCGGTAATCCAGACACGTTTGTAATTTACCATCTACTATATATCCATCTTCATTTGAGATTTTTAGACTTTTAGACTTTGGCTCCTTTGGATTTTGATAATTTATCACTTCAATTAAATTCTCACACCACATTATTATATTGGAGCCTCCGTAGTCAAGATCAAGTTTACATCGTTCCACGTAATTCGCTGGTATCCTGATATCGATTTCAATCATTTCTAATGTGTAAAAATTCAAAATGAAAACTTTGGTAAGACCCACTACAATAATCGATTTCTTGAAGTCGGACTTTATTTGATGAATACCTTCGGGCAACGCTAGCCTCTTGATTAGCTTACCTCCAATAGTCCAAAATTTTAAGATCCCTGATCTTGATGAAGTTATGATATCAACAGCCTCTTTATGCTTATCATTGATCTTTTTGATTTCAACTGACGTTATTTCATCCAATCTTGGATTTATTCCTTCTCTTTCGTCTTCGGGATCAAGCAATTGTAAAGTGGATATCCTGGTTGACCCTGAACTAGTTGAAGTATTTAAGTTTTTCAAAAAAATTTCATTATCGTCATTCACCATCAAAAGATAATTCCAATTCATGACAACTTTCTTCAATCGAAAAATTAGCTCATTTCCAGGTATGAAAATTTGATTTTTACCATCATTAAGATTGGTTATTATGATACCTCCACTACCTAACGACATGGCCATCAAACGGTTTTGATCAAAATTGGTCAATAAGTTACCAATGTGGTCATAAACCCCACTATTGGTTATCAATTGATAAGTCCGGTGAATCCCCGTTCCTTTATTCCATTTTTTTAAGACTTTCATTCTATTGAAATACTCGATAATCCACTGTCTAGAGCCTGATACGGAGGCAAATTGGGACCCAGTCCCAAACTTGGTAGTAAATGACTTTGACCATGTAGTTCTATCCAGCACAGCTCGGTTCCAATGCTTACAAACTAATCTAAGTGAACTTAGTTGACTTGGATCAAGATTTGCAAAAATTTGCACCAAAACTTCTAGTGGCAAATCGTTAACCGAAGCTCTCACTATATCTTCTTCCACCGACTCATTGGAAATAGCAGATGGTCCTTCATACCTATTTATCGTATCAGTAATGGTATTTCCCAAGAAATCAGTAGTTATCGAGGGTTCCACCGAAACGTGGTTTGAAAATGTCTTGTTTGGATGGTCTGGCATGCTCTATATTCTCACCTTTTAAGCAAACTTGTCGACTGGAGATACTTCTTCAATGCTCTTCCACCACTCTAACGACTGTCTTGGTGTGAATATGAACCCCCACAAAGCTTTGACTTCGTTTTTGAGTTCAAATATCTCTTGAAGCGATGGAGTTAGATCAACCGGTCTATCTATGAGTAATATTTTTTTCCGTTCACCGGACCCGTACACCCTAATTTGGGGAAATCTAAAAAAGCAAAATAATGCTACTTTCGTTGCAACGGTTGCTTTTCAAACACAATTTTTGCAGTCTTTTTTCGAAAAACAATTCTAACCATTGAATTGTCCAATATTAGACTTATTTTACTCACATAATTTGCTGTTGTGAACTCGATTGTAGCACCTCGACTCGGAACACACTGGAACTTTGAGAATTAGATCTTGAGCTCGGTGAAAAATTTTTTGAACGAAAAAAAGATGTTGAAATTTTTTGAGTTTTTAAACTTTCAAATACCTTTTATAATAACTTATACTCTTCACTGATACCAAACATTTAGATATGTCTAATTCTGGTGAAGGTAATGGTGGTGCTGCTCCTGCAGAGAACCAACCACAACAAGAAGAGGTTAAAGTCATCACTTTAAAGATCCAATTACCTTCTTCCATCTCCCCACAGAATCAAACTGTTGATGTTAATTCATCCCTTTCGGAAAACTTGGGTGATATTAAACAGTCCTTGACCATTATTCCAGCTTGCCAACATCTTACAAGCTATGATATTGTCTTCAAAGGTATTAAGCTCACTGAAATTTTCGACGATGCAGCTGATTTGGAGAGTATTTTATCGCAATTGGAATTACCTATTGAGACTCTTGATATTTTGAACTTATCTTTGAAGGAGAAACCTTACAATTTGAGTGGTGTTTATGAACATATTCTCAAGTTTAGAGAAGTTATTGGCTTGCACTTTTTGGACAGAACTGCTTCAGATTTAGGTGTTGCCGGGGGTCTTTCCAAGTTCAATGACGTCGAATTAACTGAAGTTAAACAAAATGAAAATTCTAAAGAATCTACTCCCGAAGAAGGTGGAAATGATGAAAAAGAACCAGAAGTGGAATTAAGCGATGAGGAAAAGGCTAATATCATCCGTGTCTCTGACCAATTTATCTCTGGTGAAACTACTTCTATCTCTAACCATGGAAATTTTTCAAGTGTGATAAATGATTTGAAGATTCCAATTAAATCTTTGTCTATTTCTCAATGGTCTCCAGTCCCTCCAGCTCAAAAAACTAAAGGTGATTTGTTATACTTAACTTTACAAACTTTAGAAGGTGAAATCATTCATATAACATGTCATTTATCTGGTTTCTTTGTGAATAGATCTTCAACCGCTAGATTCAACCCAATTATCAAGATTAACGAAAAGGGTTCTTTCCATAAAGATTTCATCTTGTACAATTTGGTAAGTTCTATTTCCCCATTATTTGCTAAAACTATAGCTGAAAATGAATTAATGTTAGGTCAATCAACTAAATACCCTGAGACTTATTTATTACCAACCAACACCCAATTATCTTATCCATGGTTAGCCAATCCAGAAATTTCCGTTGTTCAACCTGATTCTTCTAGAGCTCAATTACCTGCTATTTCTTTTGGTGTCGATGGTTCTGATTTTGTTAAAGATTGGAATGATGACTTCCAAGCTATTAAAGAATTACCTAAAGATACCATCAACCAAAGAATTTTAAGGGAAAGATTGATCAACAAATCATTATTCGAATTTAAAAAAGTGGCCACCGAAACTGCCATTGAAATCATCAAAGGTAATCTTTCTTCTTTAAATCCTAATGAACAATACGACAGACAAATTTATTTGAAGAATGGTGTTTTCTACTCTTTTAGTGTTGATGCAACTGGTGCTTTTGAGAATACCGGTGATGATGAAGCTGCAAGATATGCTGCTTCTAAAGACTTGGCAGGGGTTAGAATTTTGAATCATATTGACGCTGATGGTATTCATAACTTGGTGACCTGTATTGTTGACTACTTAGGTGAAAGAATCATTTGTCAAGCTCCTGTACCAGGTATTTTCAATAGCCCAGAACCGGTTGATGAAGAAGGAGCTGAACCAGCTGATAAAGTTGCTTATGGTTTGACCACTGATCACTCAAGTGTTTTAGCTAATGAAAAATTCAATAATGCTTTAAAACCAATCGCTCAAGCTTTACACGTAAAGCCACATTCTGTTGAACTTGAAAGCGGTGTCAAATCCAATGGTGAACTTAACACTTCTAAAGACATTAAGGGTATTATTGGTACAGACGATCGTAAGTACGTTATTGATTTATACAGAACTACTCCACTTGATATTGAATTCATTGAATCTCATTACGATGAATCAAAAGAAACTTCTTATCCTCATAGAGAAGCCGTAATTAGACACGAAGCTGTTGAAGAGTGGTATAAGAGAAAAGTTGCCGCTTTCTTAAAAGTTGAAACTGAACGTTTAGAAAAGGAAGGTAAACCTTTGGAAACCACTGAAGGGGAAAAACCTCAAATTAATATTCCTTATGATCAAATTGTTCTTAATCCTGATGTTTTCACTGGTGTCAATGAGAACAAAGAAGAACAAGAAGATGTTAGATACCTCTCCAACTTCATCAAGGATAAATTGGTTGAAGAATTTTTGGATCAAATCGGTAAATCTGTTGTTCCATTTGACGGTAATAACTTGACTGATGTCTTACATAGACAAGGTATCAACATGAGATACTTAGGTATTCTTGCTGAACAATGTTTAGTCAAAAAAGACGCCAGATTAGCTGAAATTGAGGAATCTTCAAAAGCTAATCTTGAAAAAGTCGAAGCCAAAAAAGCTGATGATGCTAAAAAGGCTGAAGAAGAAAAAGCCAAATCTCCAGAGACCAGACAAAAGGAAGCTGAAGAAAAAGCTAAGAATGAAGCCGAAGAAGCTAAGGATGAAAATAAAGAAAAAGAACAAACCAATCTCAACATTGATTCCTCAGTTTCTCATTACAATGCTCTTTACAAGGTCCTTGTTCAAGAAATGGTTGCCAGAGCTGTTAAACATTTATTACGTAAATTAGGTAAACTTGTCCCAGTTTACTTGAAAAATGAATTTGTTTCTCATTTCCATAACTGTTTATTTGGAGCAGGAATCAATGAAAATCCTGATGTCCAAATTGATGATGTTTTGAAATCTTTCTACAATGAAGAAGACTTTGAATTTTCTAAGTTGAATACTGCAAGTGTTTTGGAATTAATCAAATCCGAAGTCTTCGTTCGTTATAGATATGATTTACCAAATTACTGGAATAGTGACTTAATTAGACCATTACAGTTATTCAGAGAAATTGCTCTTAAATTTGGTATTCAATGGAAAGCGCAAGATTACGGTTTTACCAAAGAAAGCTTTGATGCTATCAAAGACAAATTATCTATTCAATCTCAAGTTGTTGAAACTACCAAAACCAAAAAGAATAAGAAGAAGCATTCTAAAGACCAACAACAAGTTGTTGAAGTTGTTACTCCACGTACTACCATCTTTGTAGCCGATGATATTGTGAATTTCGTCCCTATCGTTAAAGACTCTACTTATAAGGCTCTTTTACTTGATGAAATTTTCGAAACTGCTAGGCTTCAAATTTACAAGGGTGATACTGAAATTGGTGTTAACTTATTGACTGAATTGGCTTCAATTTATGAACAAGTTTATGGTGGTGTTCATCAACAAACCACTAAATTCAACTCACTTTTAGCACAATCATATGCTGACTTAGGATTCAAGACCGAAGCTTGTAATGTTGCTCGTAAGGCATGTATTTTAAGTGAGAGAACCAACGGTTTTGATTCTTATGAAACCATTACCAATTACATTAATGCAGCATTTTTGGAAGCTGCAAATGGTGACTTTGTTAATGCTTTCCACTTGTACAAAAAGGCTTTTGATGATTGGAGCTTCGTTTTTGGTGAAGGACATCCATCATCTGTCAATACTTTATCTAATTTAGCTGAAATTTTGGGTGAACATAAATTATTCAAACAATCTGAAAAATTCTATTTAGCTGCTATTGAAGCTTCTGATAAATTAAATGATGATTCCTCTTCTATCAGTACCATGCTTAGATACAAATATGCATTTGTCTTATTACAAGAAGGTAAATATGAAGAATCCTTAAAAGTTTTCAAAAAAGTTGCTGAAGGTCTTGATAAATTAGTTGGACCAGAAGACCGTTTGAATAAAGATGTTTCCGCATTGGTTGGTAACATTGGTACTTACTTAGCATATAATGAACATCAAGCTGCAGAAAAGAGAAAAGTGTTAGCTCAACAAGCCGCAGCTCATAAGGGTAAGTTTAAAGTTAAATCAGTTACTGAAGCTCCATCTGCACCAGTCAAGAATGGTAAGAAAGCAAAGAAACAATCAGCCCAACCAAATCCCGAAATTGCCACTCAATCTGTTGATGATATTTTAAATTTCATTGAAGGTTCATCTAAAGGTAAAAAAAATGGTAAAAACTCAAAGAAATCAAAAAAGTAAATAGTTGTCAATAAATCCTGTAATTAGTTATTATAAAAGTGAATATCATGTCATGAAAATAATTTGTATAAAGTTATATAGAAATGAAAATCTTTACTATTCATAAATAAAGTGAATATATTATAAAAATGTGTATATACATAAGAGCATATCTATTGTCTAATCATCAAGTTGTTTTTGTTGCTGTTCTTTGAACAGAATGAAGATATTTCTAACAAACTTATCATCTTTCTTGATGGCATGAGCCAAGCTTGATTCAATTTTATTTAAATCGGGTAAATTGTAATTCTCGCCATGGGGGGTTCCAAGATGAATATATATATTTGTATTTGCACCAGAAGACATGACCGACAAGTCGTCTAATTTGAAATTTCCTTTTGCAATGACTTCGATTTCTTTATCAACGATGGATTTAATTTTTTCGTAAAACTCGCTATCTTTTGCTTCACCACGATCAATCAATTCATACCAAGAAGATTTAAACGTACCCCAGCCAGCTCTAATGATAAGTAAGGAAACACATAACCCACCAATTGAATCCAACCAAGCGACATTGAAAAGAACTCCACCAGTGACCGTGAGAAGAGCAACAAAGGCAGTTAAAGAATCCACACGGTGGTGCCATGCGTTGGCAACCAAGACTTTGGAGTTATTTTCAAGACCGATCTGCATGGTTTTATGATAAAGAAGTTCTTTGACGATGATTGAACCACCGGCCAACCAGGCTGCATTGATATTGGGAACTTCTCTATAAGTCTCGGGTTGATCAATGGGAGCCTGGGAATGGGAATGAGAATGGGTCTGATCACCAATGGCTTCGGAGAAACCACCATGGGAATGAGAGTGACCAATTTGAATCATTGAAGCGTATTCATAGATATAGTGAGGTAAAGCGAATTCAAAAATTTGTAATAACGAAGACCAACCAACAGAAACCCCGGCGAAAATCAAAACACCACTAACCAAGAACGATCCCACCGTCTCAATTTTCCCATAACCCAATGGGAAATGGGTGGAGTGACCAACTTTGGCAGCCACGTTAACCGTTGCCAAAGTTAAGAAATCCGCAACCATATCCGAAACCGAGTGGATAGCATCAGCAATAAGCGATTGCGAATGGAAATATATCCCACCAATCCCCTTTGTAATCACCATTGACACGTTAACAAGTAGACCTATCCAAGTGATACGGACAGCCGGGTTCGATTTGAAAGATTCCTTTGAGGTTGACAAAAGTTCATTTGGTTGATGAAGGTCATGGGAGTGGGAATGACTGAAAAGACCCCCACCTTCATGCGAATGATGGTGATCATGGGAAGTCTTATCAGACTCCTTTACGTGAGTATGATCATGGGAAGACATTTCTTTATGCGATTTATTACTGGATTGGTTCAATGGTAGGCAATAACTGGAAAATTCCTTGGAAGAAACCCTTTTTATTCTGGCTCTAGGTCTTGGGGTATAAAACAGCGGCGAAGAGATGAATCTAGCTGTATTTGATAAAGAAGTCCTGGTACCACCAGGCTGATCTTGAACAAAAAAATTTCTCGACAGAAAGTTACGTCCACCCAACTTTAAGATAGAATGAGAATTTACGTCGCCAGTCACCGATTTGAGCCTAACGCGTGGCAATGTTAGGGCCTGACAATGAACAACCCGAAGACTGTTCCCGTATAGACTAGATAGACTCATCAGGGGGGATAGGACTCAAGATATGAAAGATTAAGAGAAAAGCAGCAAGGTTGAATCTTGAAATCATAAAGAGAGAGAGAAAAAAAATCAATTTCTCTAACAAAACAAAAAAAAAAATAGAGAACGAACGAAAAAAAAAAAAAAAAAGATTCGAATAGGCCTAAACCGGTTCTGAAATATGGGGTTGCAGTCGTTCCGTCCGTTTTCTCTGGAGCGAGAGGTTCGCGCAAAGCTTTAGCCGACTCCGGACTACAATTGGCTGGAAACGATCCGGAGGGATTAGATTGGATACGAGGTTAAACAAGAGAGTACGGGGCAAAATAGAAGTATTTGGGTGCATTAAAGCAGGGAACGCTATGTAACTATCGGGCAAATAATCTTTCAACGGCTGCGGTTGAGGAAATATTGGTATCATTAGTTGGGTCGACCGGTTCTTCGTTTGGCAGAGGGTCCAGTTGCGAAATGGGGATGGGGATGGGCTCTGGGATGAACAGCTTAGCGTCGACACCACCTTTCCTTATTTGCAGGCCGTACTGGTCATCGCCGGACAATTTCTGGAGTTTTTGCAATAAGATGGTTTTGTCCTGGCTTTTGAATAGCTGTCTTTTCAATTCTGCGGTGGGTCTCCGGACATGCATGAAATTGCATTTATCTCCTCTGGTACAAGTATTGGTTTCGTAAGCTCTGCAATCCGCATCGCTGAAGTTGGAAACTGGTGATAGTTCACAGTGGACTGGACGACCACCAAACCACTCTTGGTTCAAGAGTACCACGGCTTGTTCTGCCAGCTCTGGATCTTTGAATTTAACGTAGACATTACCATTCAAGTGATTATTGTCATTTTCACTCACCACCATGGCATAAACTTCTCCAATTTGGGCAAATCGTATAAAGACGTCTTTGAAAAAATGGTCGAAATACTGTTCTAGCTGTCTAGGGTTCATTTCCTCTCCCTCATTTTTATTCAACTTGGGGTTTTGGTATAGATTGGGTAAAAGCACAGTATCCGATAGACTTGGTTTAACGTGCTTACGTGAACATCGTTCTCCGTGGCGACACGCTCCGATTCTTCGATAGAAATCACAGAATGTTTTATCGTCCTTTGAATGGTTATTATGATGGTGGTGGTGGTTGTAGCGGTCCCGGTTTCCCCCGTTGTATCTGTTGTAACTCATCTTGGGGTATGAGTAGTTGTGGTTGGTCGAGATGAGATGCAAATGAGTTTTATCTTGAAAATTCTTGAGAAAAACCCGTACCTTGGCCTTTTGGGAGGCCAACAGAGTAGTGATGATTAGACATCCGGATACAACGGAGAATAGCACTAGTAGGGTAACGTTCAGGCTTGGACGAAGAATAGCATTAGTAGAATGGCGGGCCAAGCTTCTTATTTGGCCTTTGCTTCGGTGATCGACTACTTAATACTAAATCACAGACCCATAAAAGCTAAGCCCATACCATTGCCGTTTTTCTAAAATCGGAAAACCCCTCTGTAACGCATCTATACGTTTTGATATTGTTAAGCAGTATAGGTTGTTATTAAGATTAAGTAGTACGGGCAGATCAAGCAGTTTGGGCTGCTGTTAAGATTTTACGGGTTGCAGCAATACGTTTTTCGCAGAATGTTGAAAATAATTGCAAAAATCTATTAACATAATACACAAAATACATAAGTATAACGCTTGCGATTAAGCAAAATTCATAAAGTCAATATGTTTCTGGTATCTGTAACCCTTGACTTTGTTGTCGGTGGTAATTTTTTGAATTTCAGCCAAGTCGCCATTAGTTAATTCAACCAAGTTACCAAAGTTTTTATCAATTTTTTCTTTTGTACTACCACTTGGAATAGGTAGGATTTTAGTAACATTCTTAATACCCTCGAACTCAGGCAATTGAGAGATCTTCAAAATCCATGATAAGGCCAATGACTCTAAAGAGGTACCTTTGGAGTGAGCAAAATCATATAATTTTTTAACAATTTCAATATTGTGCTTATAATTTTCAGGGCTAAACTTATCCATGTGATGTCTGATGTCACCTTCGGGAATTGAATCCAAGAAAGTGTCAGCAGTTTCAGCAGCATGATCAGTAAGTAAACCTCTACAAAGAGGACTATAAGCAATGATTGGAATTTGTCTTTTCGATAATTCTTCCAAAACACCGTTGAAGATTAAATCTTGACATAATAAAGATAATTCTAACTCAACAGCAGAGATTGGGAACACACTGATTGCCTTGGAAATTGACTCAGCACCAACTTCAGAAAGAGAAATTCCATCAATCTTACCTGCTTTGACAAATTCAGCAATGTAACCAACAGTTTCTTCATAAGGAGTTTTGAAATCTCTTCTAGCAATTTCAAAAAGAATTTGTGGTCTTTTGGCCTTATCTTTTGGGAAGTAAGAAAGAATATGATTGATAGAGCGTTCAACTGACTCTTTAGATCCGTTTGGAACCAAAGTTTTAGTATCAACTGCACCTTTGATTGAAAAAACCAACTTTCTATTTTCAGCAGAATCATTTTTTTCTAAAAAATCTTTAAGTAATTCTAAATTCGAAGGACTACCGTTATGACCGTAAAACTCTCCCCAATTGAGAAATGAAACATTGTGGTTTTCAATCACGTACTTGATTGAGTCAAGCGATTGTTGTCTTGGTTTAGGTTGGGGAGTCCAAGTAAGACTCATAGTACCAAAGCCAAAATTACCGTGGAGTTTAACAGGAGAATAAGACATTTTGAAGATATTGAAATTGATCAATAGAATCTGGTACTTCAATGAAGGAATCTGAGTTGCTTTATATACTTTCCAGAGTGGAGTCGAGCTTAAGGAGTGGCAAACACTTGCCCAAACCGGCCAACATTACGAACCTGTTGGCTTTTGAATACTGCGAAGTGAAAAATATCAAGTCCGAAATGTAAATACTTCAAATGATTATCACCGAATAACAAGGGCAAGGCTACAGAAGTGTCATGTGTCAAATCATAAATAAGAAGAATCATATTGTGGTATACACAGATCTATGGCATACAGTTATAGAAGCTTATATATTAAGGTCTAGGCAAAAAGTAAATGTTCTGCTTGTTCAGTATATCTGACTCCTTTAACTTCAAAACCTTTGGTAATACTTTGAATTTCTGCTAAATCGGCATCGGATAATTCCACAATGTTACCGAAGTTTTTATCGATTCTTTCGATAGTGCTACCACCAGGAATTGGGATGATCTTAGGGAGATTCTTGATACCTTCGAATTCGGGTAATTCAGAAAGTTTCAAGATCCATGATAAGGCTAATGATTCCAAAGAAGTGTTTTTCTTATTATGAGCAAAGTCATACAATTTCTTAACCACTTGTAAATTGTGTTTATAGTTTTCTGGTTGGAATTTACCAAAATGACGTCTGAAATCATTTTCATGGAGTGAATCAAGGAAACTTTCACTATTTTCAACAGTATAATCGGTAAGAATACCTCTACCAATTGGAGAATAGGCAACAATTGGAATTTGCTGTTTAGCCAATTCTTCTAAAACCCCATTATAGATTAAATCTTGACAAGTTAAAGACAATTCTAATTCAACGGCAGAGATGGGGTATACACTAACGGCTTTTCTGATTGATTCAGTTCCGACTTCAGAAAGAGAAATCCCGTCAATGTCACCAGATTTCACGAAATCAGCAATGTACTCAATGGTTTTATCATATGGAACTTCGAAATCTCTTCTAGCAGCTTCAAATAAAATTTTGGGTCTTTTAGACCTATCTTGAGGAAGATAGCTCAAAATATTCTTAATTGACGCAGTAATACCTTCCTTGGATCCTTGTGGCTTATGCACTGCCAATTTGTAACCACCTTTGATTGAAAAAACCAACTTTCTATTTGTTTCATCATCATTTGACTCCAAAAACTTTTTCATAAGGACCAAATTAGCAGGTCCATCAGGAGTCTGATCGTAAAACTCCCCCCAGTTAACAAAAGTAACATCATACTTATTAACCACATATTGAACCGTTTCCACATTTGCTTCAATTGGTTTTGATTCTGGCGTAGCAGTTAGGGTCATAGTACCATAACTGAGTTTATCGTGAAGTTCAACCGGCTTGAAACTCATTGTCCTTGATTTTTCAATTGATAATCGATTTGTTAATTTAGTCTAGTCAATTGATCTTCAAGAATCTCTGCATGTACCTTAATTCTTTAGCACGTATTTATATCAGTTGTCAATAAGCAAAAAAAACATCTTGGTATAGCTAATGAGGTTTAGACCGAGCTTAACTATGGGCCATATCTCCGCTTGTAAGCGAACTGTCAACAAAAAAACGAAAACAAAAACCTTGCAAAAACCGACCCGATCTTGACGGGATTAGGGTGTAATAGCTGTGAAGCTTATTCAATACTTGGTACTTCCCCATTGGAACTACAGATCTCCTTAATGTATTGTTTGCAGTTAAACAGAGGAGCCGATACAATTAGTCAGCAAGAAGGATTTAGGGATTAGAAACTTCGTTTGTTAAGAAAATGAATCTATATTAATTAAAGCTATAAAACAAAAAGATGCAATAAAGATGGACTAGAAGCAAAAGACTTGATCGTGGGGTTGGGATTTCATTACTGCCTTTTCCCAGCCTAATTCTTCAGTCAATTGAATAAGTAATTTTTTCATTTCTGGAGGGCCACAAATGAATAATCTATTTTCAGGGTCAGGTTTAGGTAAATGTTCCGAAATCATTTCTTTGGTAACGTATCCAGTATCGCCTAACCAATTAATTTGAGGAGGAGAAGCTAAAGTATAATGGACTTTAAAATTAGGGTATTTTTTAGCTAATTCATCAATTTCATTTTTCAATAAAATATCATTAAGAGTTTCATTAGCAAAAATTAAAGAAATTTTAGTATTATCTTCGGGAGTGGTAATAATTTCAGTTATAACTTGTAAGATTGGAGTAATACCGGAACCACCAGCAATTAAACCAATTTCTTTAGCCATATTTGGTTTATAATCTAATCTACCAACTGGACCTCTAAATTTAACCGATTGACCTTCTTTTAAACTAGCAAATCTAGTACTAACTTTACCATTTTCGTAAGATTTAACTAAAATATCGAAAAACCCAGTATCAAACTTATTTGATATTGGAGAATAATATCTAATTTCATCTTTACCATCAACTTCAAAACAACAAGCAACATGATGTCCAGTTGGAATATCTAAGATTTCATCGTCACGATTTAATTTAAAACGATAGATGGCAGAATTACGACTAATGATTGTTTTATCAATCAATTCAAAATCATTCCATTTAACTGCATCTAAGGAAGATCTTCTTTTAATCGCTTCATACGATTTAAAACTAACAACAATTACAACAAACGTAATACTATATGGAAGGTATTCAAAGCCAAACAAACAGGTACCAAACAATATAAGCCCAACTGGAATATAAATCCCATGGAGCGGTGTATCCAACAAGTATCTTTTGTCTTCCATCTTGTAACCAACCGTAGAAGAATAAGTAAAACTACTAAGTAAAATACTAATAGTCTGCTGTCAATAGAGTGAAAAAAAAAAAAAAAAAAAAAAAAAAAAAAAAAAAAAAAAAAAAAATTAGGCAGCTACCGAAAGAAGCGAAAACGCCCTCGTATGCAGTCACTCCGTCTTTAGCTTACAAAACCCAATACAAATAATTAAGATCTACAAACCTACGACAAGGTCATGCTGGCGAAACATTAGATTACTATAAAAAAAAAAAAATAAATTAAAAAAGCATGGAGATTATAGAGAGAAAACACCTTAAAGTGAATAGGGTATTATAAATTGTTAAACACTATGATGAAAGAGATGTGAAGAAAACAAAAAAAAAAACTAGAATTGAAATAAGCAAAGATGAATTGATAAGAGAAATTTGAAAGATTAATATTCTTCTTCTTCTTCTGGGAAAGAATCAGTACCAACTTCTTCATAATCTCTTTCCAAAGCAGCCAAATCTTCTCTTGCTTCAGTAAATTCACCTTCTTCCATACCTTCACCAACATACCAATGAACGAAAGCTCTTTTAGAATACATTAAATCGAATTTTTTATCGATTCTCTTCCAAGCTTCAGCAATAGCAGTAGTATTAGATAACATACAAACGGCTCTTTTAGCAGAAGCCAATTCAGAACCAGGAATTGAAGTTGGAGGTTGGAAACAAATACCAATTTTAAAACCAGTTGGACACCAATCAACTAATTGAACAGTTTTTTTAGCTTTAATTTGAGCAACTGAATTTTGAACATCTCTAGTAACAACATCACCACGATATAATAAACAAGTAGCCATATATTTACCAATTCTTGGATCACATTTAACTAATTGATTACCAGGTTCGAAACAAGAAGCAGTAATTTCAGAAACATTATTTGATTCATGAGTAGATCTAGCTTTTGAAAAAACTGGAGCATAAGAAACCAATGGGAAATGAATTCTTGGATAAGGAACTAAATTAGTTTGAAATTCATTTAAATCAACGTTTAAAGAACCATCAAATCTTAAAGAAGCAGTAACTGAAGAAACAACTTGAGCAATTAAACTGTTTAAAGCACCAAAGCTTGGTCTTGAAATATCTAAATTACGACGACACATATCATAAATAGCTTCATTATCAACCATAAAAGTACAATCAGCATGTTCTAAAGTAGTATGAGTAGTTAAAACAGTGTTATAAGGTTCAACAACAGAAGTTGAAACTTGGGGAGCTGGATAAACCGCAAATTCTAATTTAGATTTTTTACCATAATCAATGGATAATTGTTCTAATAATAAAGAACCTAAACCTGAACCGGTACCACCACCTAAAGAATGGGTGAATAAGAAACCTTGTAAACCGTCACATTGATCAGTCATTCTTCTAACTCTGTCTAAAATATCATCCAAGATTTCTCTACCAACGGTATAATGACCTCTAGCATAATTATTGGCAGCATCTTCTTTACCAGCAATCAATTGTTCTGGGTGGAATAAGTGTCTATAAGCACCAGTACGAACTTCATCAATAACATTTGGTTCTAAATCAACGTATAAAGCTCTTGGAACATATTTACCAGAACCAGTTTCGGAGAAAAAGGTAGAAAACCCTTCATCACCACCTTTTGGTCTTTCTAAACCATCTTGTAAGTAACCATCTGGTCTAATACCATGTTCTTGAGAATATAATTCCCAACAGGCATTACCAATTTGACAACCAGCTTGACCGACTATAAATTTGTTAGTATTAGTTAATAAATCGCGTGTATCCTTTGATCATTGAACATTGAATCGTTGACTAAATCGTTGAATAAATTGCTGAATAGCTGAATAACTCGCTGAATAAATTGCTGAGTAAATAGCTGAATAACTCGTTGAATAAATTGCTGAGTAAATAGCTGAATAACTCGTTGAATAAATTGCTGAGTAAATAGCTAAATAACTCGTTGAATAAATTGCTGAATAGCTGAATAACTCGTTGAATAAATTGCTGAATAAATAGCTAAATAACTCGTTGAATAAATGGCTGAGTAAATAGCTGAATAACTCGTTGAGTAAATCACTGAATGGTTCGCTGAACACATTAGATGGATCATCAATCGATTAGATAAATCAGCTGGCATTCCGAATAGATCAGCATGATTGGATATCATAAATCAAATCGCCGGATACTTGGGCGGCTAATGAATTTTCATTCATTTGAACATACCATTGACACTAATAACTTCTCTCATTGTAAATATACTATATTATAGATGTATTCGATGGATTCAACCTACGTTTAAAAAGAGATATTAGTAATTTTGAAATCCTCTTAGTTGTAGAAGAGGAAAAACTAAAAAAATTTGATCAAAAAAAACAAATCCTTTGTGTATTGTTTTGATTTCTTACAGTGTCTTTTCAATTTTTTATCCCACTTTTTTTTTGTTTTGTTAGTGGCTCTCCGTTTAATTTTGATTTGTTTACTTTTTGCTCGTTAAATCACGGGTTGTGTGCAGTCCGCTATTCTTTTTTTTTTTTTTTTTTAACCGTGTAATTTTTTTGTTGTTGTTGTTCATTGGGAAAAAACAACACACCGGTACACCAGAATATTGATTGATGCACGCAAACATTTCTTTTTTTAATTGGTCATTGCACGAACCAGCCAGCATTACACCCGTGCCCCTTCTTTTAGTGGCTGCAACTACATCTTAGTTAAAACAAGTATATATTGACAATCTACTATTTTAGTTGGGGGCTAGCCACAAGAGCTAGAAGTACCCTCTGAGACGGTCCCAGACCGAGGTTGGTTTAGGACTCAAACCAAGTTTCTTTTGGAGTTGTGCAGATGCATCGGTAAACACATTCACAATTGGCTTATCCCATTTACTCTTGGAATCACCGTAAAACAACTTCAGTTGTTCCTGGGAGAGTTTGAGGAGCGAGCCCCGGTTGAGCTCATTCAAGAAGTTAGAATCGAATCCAAAGCTGTTCAAGTATTGTTTCAAATCAGCGTTGGACCATGATTCTAATACGTAGTCCCAGCTTTTTCTACTAGCATCCTGGATTTTTGGTTTGTATTCACCGTAGACCAGCTGGACTGCTTCGTTGGCATCAGCACCATAGCTTTGGGCTGATTCATATGCAACCCGAGCAGCCTCTTCCACAATTGGTTTGTATTCCCCGTAAGCACTCCATGCAGCTTCGTTAACATCGTTATAAGTATCAACAACCTTTGGTTTGTATTCGGAATACGCCAGTTGGGCCTTTTCATTGGCTTGGCTATAGGCACTCTGAGCAACTTCATTGGCTTGATTGTAAGCTTCGGCCACTTTAGGTTTGGTTTCGATATAATTCTGATGGGCGGCACTGGCATATTGCTTCAGTTGCTCAACTGCTTCGTCAACATGCGGTTTGACTTCTTGATACTTTCCGTTCAAAACACCGTTGGCAGAATCAGCATAGTCTTTAGCGGATTCATAGGCATCGTTGGCAACCTTTTGTGCGGATGCATACGCATCTTGGGCCACTTGTTCGGCTTTTGGTTTATGTTGTTGAAATGCTTCATTAACGTAGTTTCCAAAATACTTGATGTAATTTTGTGCCTCATCAATAAACTCCTCCACTTTTGGTTTTTGAATTTTATACGTTTCAATCAATTGGTTACTCAAATCATCGGCGTATAATGTGGCGGCATTCACTGCAGCTTCAATATTATCCTTCACCTTAATTTCTTTGGAGTTGTTGATTAATTGTTGCGAGTACTCGTAGGAAGCTTGTTGGGCTTTTTGCAAAGCATCATTCACTTCAAATCTATTATCCTTATATTTATTCTTCAATACTTTCGCAACTTGATTATAGTGCTCAATTGAAATGGAATAGGCCGCAAGTAACGTTTCATCAGCAATCGAATTGGTTTCACCAGCTTTTTCCTTGGTGGCTTCGTAAGATTCCTCAATGCTCTTCTTATACTCATCCAAATCAGGTTTATAATTCTTGATTTGCTCGTCAATCGATTTAGATGCATTCTCTTGTAAGCTTTGATAATATTCTGCAATTGAGCTGATCAATTCTTGTCTTGAACCATCAACTTTTTCCCCCTTTTCTTGTAACCATTGACGAATGGCTTCAGTCGACCAGCTATCAAAATACCAGTTAGATGGAATTCCAATTGCTTGTTGAGTCTTGACCGGGATATTCTTCAGAGATTTGACCAATTCAATCAATTGACGTTTGGTGGAAAATTGAGAAAATTTAACATTACGTACTTTTAAAAATTCTTTTAAACGATCTTTTGACCAGTTATCAATACCAACTAAAAAGGATGAATTGATAAAGTTATCCAATGTTTTTTGCCAGCTGTTGGTCTTCTTACCAATGTATGGATCAACATGATCCTTGGTAGTTTCAATCCAACTCTTGATATCATTAACTAAATAATTTTCATGCGACTTTACCATTTTTTGCAACTTGTCAATATCCAAATCCTTAGCTTCAACATTAGGTTTAGTATCAATCAAACCATGCATATATAACCATTCTCTTAATTGAGAGTAATTCCATTCGTTAATAAAATCGTCCTTGATTTTACCGGCATCATCAAAAATCAGTCTTTCCGGTAATTTTAACGAGTCAAGTAATGATTGCTTATTATCAATGTTTGATAATGAAGCAATATAATTATTTTCCTTAACCATTTTTAATAAATCTTCTCTCGATAAATCTTCCTCATAAGTTAAGTCATGCTCTTTCAACCAGTTCTTAACATCATCGATTGACCATCCTTGGTATAACCAATCACCAGCATAATTACCAGAAACTTGGAATTTTTCAAGAATATCATCCCAAGAACTCTTAGCGGAATCAATCAAATCTTGTCTTGTTGAAGTTTTATCAAAACTAATTCCATTGGACTTCAAAAAACTCTTCAAATTATCAATAGTCCATGATTCGAAAATCCAGTTTTTAACTTGAGAATAATAATCTCCAGATGGATTCAAGTCCTTATTGGTTAAATAATCTAAATTGTGAGGAAATATCACACTTAAATCAGCATTGGGATCAGTTGCCAAATTCAAAATTTGTTGTTGGCCATCATCCGTGACATCGATGGTAAATTTACGGTTCTTGTACTCAGCTTGTAACTTGTCAAATTCTTCTTGGGCTTGTTCATTCAATTTATCACTTGGTGTATTTTCATCAACATCAACTTTCAAATCTCTTAAAAAATGTTTGATATCGTTGTCATTAAAGGTTGAAAATGGAGAGCTATTGGCAGCAACACTGCCAGCCAAAGTTGCAATTAATGCAACAGAGAAAAGTTTCATTCTGAGATAACTAAAAGTATTACTAACAGAATTGAAAGAAATTCCACTCGATCTACTAATTATATCCTCGAAACAATTACAGTCATATATATACATAATTGCAATTTCATGGTCATAGATGCAAAAAGCACAGCAAGCAATCGTCCCCGGTCACGTGAACAACTTTCCCCTAATCAACTCAGTACGCCAAACGTCCTCTTTTCAGTGTCCCTACTTAAATATCTAGTCGCCGTTGGCTATTATCAGGTATACCAGTCTACTGAGTCTACTTTGTTAGTCTCACTCAATTGATTGTGCTAAACGGATATGCCAATGGGTGCAACAAAAATGTTGGATTTTGAAATTCTCATAATTTTTTTGCGGTTGCTGCCAAACCTGTGGATTCAAGCACAGAAATCATACAATTCATACAAAAATAGGTTTGCTAATTAATGATTAAAGGTAAACAAATATGGACCTATCAAATGAAACATAGGCAAATTGTGGGGGAAAGGAGGGTTCTTTGATCATTCAATTCATCTATTTCGCGAGAAGAGAAAATCCAATTGTCAGTCCCCATAGTTACAGCCCATATGTTTCACATTGCCAATATTCTTCGAACATATCACACACACTGGTTATTCCAATCATGGAATATGGTAAGTATTCCAGGCATTTGGGAAGAGGCAGAGAGTGCCCGCTACTAAAAATCAAAAGAAAAAAATAGAGGGGAGCATACTAGTATTTTGCAACTATTAAAGAAAAAACAACCGAATTACCAATGTTGCAAATTAATATGAATATAACCTCCCAAACAAAATGAACTACAGCCAGGGTTATTGGGAGAGCGACTCCATTTTAGTTGAAAGTACTAGTACAGGCTCGTCATTATTTGCGACCGATGGTGGTTCTAGTGATGTTTCGGACCGAGTCTCGAATATTGGAACCTTATTCAATCGGGTGGCTTTAACACCTAGGATTGACGTGACTCCAGCAGAAGACTTATCTAATGAAGAAGAAAATAATAGTCAGATTGACAAAGAAGAGGCTAACGAGCGGTTAGGTTTTGGAGTTGTACGAAAAATGCAAATCCACAATATGGTTTTGAAAATTCAGACCAATTGGAGACGTGAAAGAGCAAATCCATATTTAGAAGTGCCTAACTTTACCAGAAGTGACAAAAGTTTAGCTGAATTGCTAGCAAATAAGAATAGAAGTATGGCAAATGATACTGACACTTTTGGTTATTGGAGTTTAGATACTATCAAAGAAGGTAATGTTAATTTACGCTATGATTATAGCTTGAGAAATTTAGCAAGAACTAAATCGATTTCTAATGTGAAAATTAGTGATGAATTTCACAAATCCGTCACAAATGTTATCATTGCTCTGAATAGGGACGGAGGATTGTTGAAACTTAAGCCATCAACATCATCTCCTTTAACTGCGACGAAATTTCGAAACGACGCCTTTTCCTTTCAAATTGACATTTGGGAGCGCATACCACGTCAAATCAGGTATAGCGAAAACTACCACACTGACCTTGAAAAAGGGTATTCTATTAGCGATGACGGCTTATTGATTGAATTTATCGACAGAACCGGTGACAGAAGAAAGCGATTCCATGATTGGTGGGGAAAACTAAAAATTATATTTAGACACAAATCCTTATTACAAGAAAACGAGCGTGTTGATGAAGAGCTCAAACGACTTGCTAAGGACTGTTTGTTGATGGAGTACGAGAAACTCCAAAGATTAGTGTAAACAATATATACCCAACAATTAATTGTTGCAAATTGTAACTGAGAATCGTATGAGTATTTAGTTAAGCGAGCGAAAAATTACATGGGTGGGTAAAAAAGGAGATAAATAATCTATGAAATTAAGTAATTATGAGAGAATAAATTTTTAAGAATGACAAACTTAATCTTTTCTGATATATTTTCTTTGGAATTTATCATTAATATCAGCCAAGTAGTAGACACCTTTAGCGATGTTTTCTAAGCTACCTTTTGGTTCATAACTTTTTTGTAAGTGAATTTGTTCTCTTAATTCAATGGCTGCAACATATTCTTGAGGAGTTTTTTGAACTCTTGAACCATTTAATTTATCATCAATGTTTAAGTTGGCAGTGATTTTAGAGATGTCACCTTTAACTTGAACTGATAATAAGGTAGAAGCTAAACCAGAACCGTAAGAGAAGACACCAATTCTTTTATTTTGTAAATTATCATTACCAATATAGTATAATAAAGAAGCTAAACCAGACCAACAAGAAGCAGTGTACATATTACCAGTGTTGGTAGCAATTTGTAAAGCAGGAGAAACTCTTTCTTGAGTAGCCTTTTTAGCTAAACCTAAGAAAGTTTTTTCAACAGTTTTATCAAGCAAAGAATCTTCGTAAGATAATTCAGATAATGATTTAATTTGATCTTCTGGTAATAAATCTTTGAAGCTTGAAGGATTTGATTTAAAATCGTTGAATAATAATCTTGCATAAGATTTAGTAACTAATTTACAAGTTGGAACATGGAATGCATTATAATCGAAATGATCATAAACCCCAACAGTTTTACCCTTTTCTTTGGTGATTTTTTTAGAATAAGCTTGATAGCAGTGATCAATAGCTCTGGTATAACAAGTTAATGAGAAATGACCATCAACAACTGGATATTCAGAGGTGAAATCTGGTTTATAGAAATCATAAGTATGTTCCATAAAAGAACCTCTAGTTGGATCAAAGACAATTGGAGCATCTGGACCAATCAACAAGGCGACAGAACCAACACCACCGGTTGGTCTAGCATTACCTTTTGAATAAATGGCGATATCACCAGAAACAACCATTGCATCTCTACCATCCCAAGAAGATGATTCAACCCAATTAATAGCGTTAATAACAGCACTGGTACCACCATAACAAGCATTCATGGTATCAACCCCTTCAATATCAGTGTTTTCACCGAATAATTGCATCAAAACTGATTTAACGGATTTAGATTTATCCAATAAAGTCTCAGTACCAACTTCTAAACGACCAATATTATTGGTGTCAACGTTATAATTTTCAAGTAAACGAGAAGTAACAGTCAATGCCAATGAGTAAATATCTTCTCTATCATCAACGAAAGACATGTTGGTTTGTCCTAAACCAATAGTATATTTACCACTTGGAATTTCATCAAATTTTTCTAATTCTGCTTGATTAACATAGTTCTTTGGAATATAGACTTCAATAGCCTTGATACCAACGTTTTGAGGTCTGGACATGTTTGCTTCAATACTGTTATTCTTTTTATTCTTTCTAAAAACGAATGAAGAAAAAGAAGTAATGTTTCAATTACTAGTGATCTATCACTTTAAATGAAAAAAAAAAGACAGTTGAAAAACTGTGTGTGTTTATCGATCGTATAACGCGTACCTAAACGACGTTTAGAAAAGTTTTGGGTGTTTTGTCCATTTCATTTTCGACATCGCCATTTTCTGCAGGTTAGCCCTTTTACATGTTAGATCCAAGGCTTTACATGTTGAGTCCATACAATTTGCATGTTGTATGTTTGCAGTTTGACTTCATATAATTTACATGTTATGGCTTTGCAGGTTAGAGTGATACTTTTACATTTTACCTATTTACATATTGACTGCTGGACTTTACAGGTTACATGTTTTCGTTGGCAGATTAAATTTAAAAATCGCAGATTACGCCCGTTTTATACAGTAATCAGAGCAGCCGTTTTAAACTTTGTTTGGCTGTCACTTATTGTTTGATTTAGTCTTGGTTTATGGCTTTCCCCGAGACTTCCTACTTCCCAATAGGTATAAACCATCAAAAAAAAAGCGACAGACAGCCCAGGAGGATCGTTAGCCAGAGATAACGTTGATAAAGATCTAAAGAAGCACTCGCTTAAAATTATCTTTGGAGGAAAAAATTTCGCCATCACCGTATTAAATTACGCATCTTACTAATAAAAAAAAAAAAAAGATCCGTTCATCGGTCTTTTAATTTACTTACGAGTGCTTATCATAACTTTAGGGATATCAAGTAAGCTAGACTCTTGCGATATTGAGTTGATACTTTCAGGTGAATTGCTGTTTAGTGATGTCGGATCCAATAGCTGAAGTTCCTGAATCAATCAGGCTGTTTCGTACGCCTAAATTGTTCCATAAGACATGGGCTGGTACTTTTTATTGCAAACCCCTGGCAATTTTTCAACCAACCAATCTTGATGAAATCAAGGAGTTGGTTAAACAAGCTCGTCTTCACAATAAGACGATTATGACCGTAGGGTCGGGTCATTCTCCCAGTGATTTGACCATGACTAAAGAATGGCTTTGTAACTTGGATAAGTTTGATAAAGTATTAAAACAAGAAGAATTTTCGGGCCCTCGTACTGAAAATCCCAATGAAAAAGAAGTCAAGTTTGTTGATTTGACCGTGGAAGCTGGTTGTCGTGTTTACCAATTAAATGATTACTTAAAGAATCATTCGTTGGCTATTCAAAATTTGGGTTCAATTAGTGATCAATCAATTGCCGGTCTTATTTCAACCGGGACTCATGGTTCTTCCCAATACCATGGTCTTGTCTCTCAACAAGTTGTATCCATTAATATATTGAATGGTGATGGTGAAGTCATCACTTGTAACTCGGTGGAAAATGAAGATATCTTTAGAGCTGCCCTTTTATCCTTAGGTAAAATCGGGATCATTACTCATGTTACTTTAAGAACCATTCCTCGCTATACTATCAAATCTAAACAAGAAATTATCAATTTCTCAACTTTACTCAATGAATGGGACTCTATTTGGTTAGAAGCAGAATTCATTCGTATATGGTGGTTCCCATATACATCCAAATGTGTTTGTTGGCGAGCAGTCAAATCTGAGGAACCTTTAAGTGACCCAAGACCTTCCTGGTATGGTACTCGCTTAGGTAGATTCTTCTATGAATCTCTTTTATTCATTTCGGTTCATTTGTTTCCTCGTTTCACTCCCTATGTTGAAAGATTTATCTTTAATCAACAATATGGTACCGTTGAAACTCTTGGTAAAGGTGATATTGCGGTTCAAAACTCAGTTGAAGGTTTAAATATGGATTGTTTATTCTCTCAATTTGTTAATGAATGGTCAGCACCTTTAGGTACTTCAAAAGACTTGTTAGTAAAATTAGATGATGCCATTAGATCGGCTGCTGCAAAAGGTGATTTCTTTGTCCATGCTCCAATTGAAGTTAGATGTTCAAACGTTACTAACTCTGATAAACCTTTTGTTAATGATGATGGTGAAATATCTTTATATCCACCTCAATCATGGCTTGCAACAAGAAATAGATTAAGCTCTGGTCCTATACCTGGTAATAATTTAAGACCATACTTGGATAACTCTCCTGATGGATTACCTTACGTTGAAGATGTTTCTAAAATCACAAATGATCAATTGACTCTATTTGTGAATGCTACTATGTACAGACCTTTCCATACTAATGTTGAAACCAAAAAATGGTATCAAATATTTGAAAATTTAATGACTGAAGTTGGTGGTAAACCTCATTGGGCTAAAAATTTCATTGGTGTTGATGGTGATCATAAAACTGATGAAGACTTGAAAGAACAATTAGCTTATGGTGGTCGTGAATTCTATACCATGATTGGTTTCAATCCAGTTATGAAAAAATGGTTTGGTGAAAATTTAATCAAATATAATGACGCTAGAAAGAAATTAGATCCTCATGGCGTTTTCTTGAGTGGTAGAGATTGGGCCGTTAGAAATGGTATCTTAATAGACTAAAAGTATATAATTTTTACATCAATGTACTTAGAATGAAAATCTTATGTATAAATAAATTCTAATATACACTATTCATTATGCTATTATTTAAAGGGTGCCTTTAATGGATCAATAACTGTACCTTGTTTAGTAATGACCCTAGGCATAGACATCCTTTGATGGGTTTCTTTCGAAGTCCATTGTTGGCCAATTGGCATACGCAATGAACGTTCATATTGTTCTCTTGTTTCAAATGGATAAGGAACAGCACCACTTTGATATTTCAAATTTTTCTTATTGACCTTTTCGTTGATTATGACATCTTCTTTATCTTTATCTTTTCTACGGTTCTCTTGAACAACACCATCAATTTTACGAACAAATTTATTCTTCTTCCTCTTTTTAATTCCTTCACCTGCCCAGTCACCCCAACCAGGTAAAGTAACATCTTCTTCTTTATCACCTTCATCTTCAATGACATGTTTCTTTTCATTTTCAAACTCTTGAACTACGTCATCACCTGCAAACGCTTCTTTAATAAGATTTTTTTGTTGGAACATTCTAATTTCGCCATTGTTGGCTTCGTCGTCATCAACGTCTGAATCGCTATCATTCACACCTCCCTTGTTAACATGCAACGTTTCTTCTAAACTGATGATGTTATCGTCTTCACGTTCTCGGTCTGCGGCACTTCTCTTCTTACTATGTTTGGATATTTTTGCAGCTGATTTACTGAGACGGGAAGAATCTTTATCAATTGCATGAATTTTGGATGATTTCTGAGTTGGTTCATTGGATGCAGTTATCCAAGGATTCAGTTCATCATCATTACTATTGTTATCTTGTTTGGAGCTGCTATCGTCTTCGACATCTGAATCATTACTAGAGACAACTTCAACATCACCTGCAACGGTATATTTTTTACTCAATTTTTTGTCTAAGCTCTTAGCATTATCAAGTTTTATTTCATTTCTAGTGTGTTGATCAAGTGCATCCATTTCAGCCTTCATTTCAGCAGAATCACCACCATAAACTCTTCTCCCTTGATTCTTACGTTGGCCAACGCTGGTGTTCCCATTGGAAAATTCATCAATATCTTCACCATTCTCCAACTTACGTAAGTTTTCAATTTCTTTCATATTTTCTTCTCTTTGTTTTGCTTCGGCTGCTTTCATAAAGTCCATCGCAAGGACCCCTTTACCTAATTTATGTCTTTTTACATCATCACGTTCTTCATGATCGTCATCTTTTTCGTATTCTTTTTCGATATCGGAAGCTCCTCCATCACTTTGGTCACCATCTTCGTAACCTAATTGTTTTGCTCTTAATCTTTCACCTTGTCTCAACATTTCTTCTAATTCGCCTCTATTGGAAGCATCTTTAGAAAGACCAGTCTTGATCATTGATTGTGCCCATTTAGACTGAGTTTTATGTTTCAAGTTCATTCTTTCTTCAGCACGTTTCATGTCATGATCTTCAGGGTCACTCTCCATATCAGAACCTTCTACTAATTCTTGATTTCTGAGCCTTTCCTTCTTTTTTATTTTATGATATTGTTTAGATTTAATTTTCTTAATACGCTTAGCTCTTCTTTCATCACGGAACATTAATTCTCTCATCATTCTCAACTCGTTTGTTCTTTTTCTCATTTCTTCTTTAGATAATTTAGCAGTAGCAATTTCTTCAAAAGTTGCTTCATTCTTATCATCAGCTAATGCGGATTCTTTTAATAAGTTTTGAATTTTTGACTCAAGTTCAGTTGCAGGTTCTTCATCCGGTTTGAAAGTGTTGGCAGTAGTATTTGGTTGAGAAGTTTGATTCATTGGAAATTTCAAAACTTCGGCATCAAGATTAGCTTCAACGGTTTTTTGCCATTTACTAACTTGGTCTTTTGTAATATTGTAAGCTACTTTTCTATCGTGTCTTTCTTGGATGTTTTTTGGTAATGGGACTGCTAATGCCTTTGATTTTTCTGGGTCTTCATCGATTAAAATTGCATCTTTGGAAATACTTGAGTCAACTGCCGAAATCATATCATTTAAAGATAACTTGTTACCACTGGTTGGAACATTATATTCATTTTCTTCGGTGGTTTCAGTAACAAGTCTTTTCCTTTCTTTGGCTGGTTTTTTCAATTGTGATTGTAAACGAGAAACGGTATTGGTTAAATCTATATCATCGTTTTCCCCTTCATCAGCAGTATTAAATATGTCTTCGTCTGATTCTTCAGCTTCGGGTCCTTCTTCTGACTCGTCATCGTCATCATCTTCTTCTTCGTCGTCGTCTTCTTCATCATCTTCTTCAGAAGATTCAGTTTCCCAGTTATCGTCTAATTGTATATCTTGATTCTTACTGGACTTACTGGATCTTGATACGTCTTTGTCATCCAAATCCCAAGCTTCTGACAAAGGAATGAATTCACTTTCGTCCACACTATTGTATTCTTCTTCTTCCGACTCGGATTCTTCTGACTGTTGGTGACCTCTTTTTCTCTGCTTGGCCTTTTGTTTTCTCTTCTTTTCTTTATCTCTGATGGTTTGAGAAAACTTCGAATTTAAAACATCGAAGTCGTCGTCTGAGCCCAAAGCCTCATCAGAGTCAAGCTCTTCGTCATCAAAATTATCGCCTTCTTGTCCCTTCTTACCTAAAAATCTTGAGGCATCCATTATACCATCATGAACCTGAAGGTCATCACCATCATTGTCAGATCCTTCTGAATCATTGTATCCATTTTCAGCACGTTCTGCAATTTGCAAAGCGTTTTGGATTTTTTGGGAACTTCTCTTCTTGGAACCCTTACTTTTACGAGCCATTTCTAAGAATATTCGTTGTTGAATAAGTTGGAAAGAGGTATCGATATAGTATAATTCAGTCTTTGAAAAAAAAAATTGAGTTGCAGCAGCGATGCCTTAAACAAAAAAAAAAAAAAAAAAAAAAATAGATAACTGTGCGTAGTGTACAAATCAAGAATACAGTATATACCGATTGACCATGGAATCGATTGAATGATAGACAACTTGTCTCTCTAACAAATTGATTTATAGAGAGGTTGTTCCTTATTTGAGGGAGGGGTTGTGAAGAGAATTCTAATAGGAGTCAATGTTAATTACATTCCCTTATAGGATCAGAAATTTTACTAAAATTATTTATTTAACATGATGTAACTACTTAAGGTATTTCTAATGATCTTCAAACTGGCACGAGGAACCGCCATAAGAAGAAAAGTTTGACTTAAGCCTTTTTTTTTAATTTCAGGACTGATCACAAGGCATCTAATCTATCGTTAATTTCTTCCACGCTTAATTTTTTATATCTTGGGCCTTCAACACTAGTACCTTTGAATCCTAATAAGTGTTCTTGTGGATCACTGACAACTGCAATATCTAAGTTTTCCCCCGTTAATTCACCATCGACTGATTCTTTCAAAGCTAAAAGAGAAACATGAATGGCATCTTCTAATTCCAAGTTTTCATTCCATCTTTTCTCTAAAAAGGTTTTTGCAGTGACTGAGGTCTTACCAATTGCAGTTGCTTTCCATGGGAAATAACTTCCTGATGGATCAACTTGATATAATTGAAAAGACTGTGAATGGTGATCATAACCACCTACTAATAAGGAAACACCAAAAGGTCTAATACCACCCGATTGGGTGGATTCTTGCATTATCATGGCTAATTCTTGTACCATGATCTTAACTGGTGGATATTCATTATAGATTCTTTTATAATTGGTATGTGCTATCTTTCTTGCTTTATCAACAAGAACTCGGAAATCAGGACCCATTCCTGAATATGACATACCAATATCAGGGGTAATTAATTCAACTTTGGTGTGTGAGTTTGATTTAAGAAGATTGGAGTTGGCTTTACGTTCAGTAGCAATAACAACACCATTAGCTGACTTTATCCCAATGGTGGTAACACCTTGTTTAACCGCATTCAATGCATATTCAATCTGAACTAATTTCCCACTATATATGAAAGTTAGTAACTAATTCATTCCTCAAGTTTTATATTAATATACATACCTTGGTGAAAATGTGGTTAATGAGAATGAATATCTATCAGCCATGCTATCTTTATATTATATCTTTAAGTTGGTGATTGTACTTTGAATTAACCAGTGTAACTTCTCGTAAGACAATGACAGGGAAAGTGGATCGGTGAAGTTTGGTTCTTGTATGATTTAAATGTCAATCAAACGATTTTCGTAACAATTGTAGCTGTATTGGCGTTATAAACTTCTGTTCGTTTCCTCTCACTTAAAGAAAAATCAAAGGTTTTGCCTTCGAAAGAAAAAATTACTGAGGAAAATGTCGCGAAACTTTTCAGATAAATGTCGCGCTAGAATGTCGTAATTTGCAATTATTTGCAGTTACTCTTAATATCGATTATTCTTAGTATCGATTACTCTTAGTATCGATTACTCTTAATATCATTACTCTTAGTATCGATTACTCTTAATATCATTACTCTTAGTGTCAATGTTTCATGCTTACATGATGATGAATAAACCAAATTAAATTACGATCTATAAAAATAAATTAATGTACAGAACAAACACCAGAAAGATAAAAGAATGCAAAAAAAATGAAAAGCCAGGATTTAATTAATCGTCTTCTTCATCATCAGTATCAGCTGGTTTTGGAGTACCTTTAGGACTACTCAACCATTCAATATGACGCAATCTTCTTCTTTCGGCTTGAAGTTTCTTTTCATTTCTAGTCATCTTCTTCTTTCTAGTTCTAACCTTAATATTGGCCGGTGAATCATCATCGTCAGCTCTCTTTTTAACTGGAACTGGAGCTGGGGAGCCTTCGGCAGATTCACCACCATCAGCAAATCTATTGTTATCAACAGCAGCATGACCTTTTTGGACAACTTCACCATTTTCAACATGCCACTGTTCGGGACATAAAGCACCAACGAATTCGTTGTTGTGGGAAATCATAACAACACCACCGGCCCAGCCTCTAATGGCAATAGCTAAACCTCCCAAGGAGTCACGATCCAAATAATTGGTAGGTTCATCAAGAACTAACAAATGAGGATTATTCCACATTGCACCAGCAATGACAACTTTAACTAATTGACCACCAGAAAGAGAGCCCATAGGAGTATGATCAGCAATTTCACCATCTAAACCAACATCTTCGAAATGTTTTCTAATAACAGATGGAGTTAATTCACGATAACCTAAACCTTCTCTAGATGCTTCGTGATCATCGAATTTTTGAACTAATTTATCAAAACCATGTTCAAGTAAAACTTCTTTAGGAACCCAAGAATTATATTTTGGCAACCAATATTTCCATTTAACTTCATATTGGAAAGATTTTTTCAATTTTTGTCTACCAACAAGAGCTTCAACTTGTCTTGGACCTCTACCATCGTCGATATCAATTGATTTTTCCATTTGTTCCTTTTCTTCTTCGGAAATTTTACGAGACTCTTTTAATAAAACTTCACGATCATCACCAAATCTATAACGCCATTGTAAATATTGGTTAGCAGTTTTTTCTTTGTGTTGTTCAACGTGTTGTAAAGCATGTTGAGCAATGTAACCAATTCTCAAATTTGGATGTTTTTCAACTGTACCTTCATTAGGAATCAATTCAGCAGTTAATAATTTGATCAAGGTGGATTTACCTGCACCATTTGGACCTAAAATAGCAACACGAGACGATAAAGATAACGAACATGAAACATTAACTAAAGATGGTTTTGGAGCATTCGGATAGCTAAAAGTAACATTAGACATTCTAGCGACTGCTCTAGTGTTAGATTTAACCCCAGTCAAAATACCTGGAGGTGGGAAAGCCATTTGCACATTAGAATCAGTTAAGGTATAGTATGATTTACCTTCTGGTTTAACTTTAACGAATTCAGACAAATTACCTTTATAGTAGGCCAATTTCTTATTTTCGTAATGAATAATATCAGTACAAACAGCATCTAAGAAACCAGAATCATGTGAAACAATCAATGAAGTGATTGAAGTATTTTCGACCAAATAATCTTGAAGCCATTTCACATTGGTAACATCCAAGTGATTGGTAGGTTCATCCAATAATAAGACATCAGCTTTCATTAACATAGCTCTAGCTAATTCTAATTTCATTTTCCAACCCCCAGATAAAGAACCAACATTTTGCTCAATTCTTTCTTGTGGAAATCCAACGGTAGATAAAGCTCTTGAAATTTCCTCACGACCAACGTTAGCTAATTCAGGATCTGAGGCAATGAAACTGACTAAATCCATATCAGCTTCGGAACCTTGTAATTTATGTTCAACAAAACAAGTTTTCAATTCATCAGCAGTTGGGAAACCTTCTAACTGACCTTTAGAAATAGCTCTCATTAAAGTGGATTTACCTGCACCATTTCTACCACATAAACCATATCTATGACCTTTCAATAAACGTAAGTTGGTCTTATTCAATAACATACGGGAACCGTATGCTAAAGAGAAATCGGCATTAACAATTTCAACAGCACCTTCATAGTCTGCAACGGCTTCAGAAGAGTCGGGAGCGTATAAAACTCTTAAATTGTTAATAACTTCGTTAATGTATTTCTCTTTCAATTCTTCGCTGATAACATCTGGAATGGTTGATACTGCCATGTTCAAATATTCTCTCAAACGTTTCCAATCATTAACGTTGGCATCAATTTGTAAAATACTGGCTAAGTAATCGGAGATCATTGGATTGATTAATAAATGAGTAACAACAGGGGCTAAATCAGAAGTTAAATTGTCTTGATAAAAGTTTTTAGCTTGATCAAAAGATAATCTACCATGGAATTTACCATCAGTTTGTTCACTTTCAGCATCTTTCAAAACTTGTAAAGCTCTGGAACCTAATTCTCTAACTTCTGGTAAAGAAGCGTTATTGACAACTTTTTCAACACCTGGTAATAAGATTGGAATGAAAGATTCAATTTCACGTTTGTTATTAACTAATCTGGTTAAATTTTCGGTAACAGTAACGGTTTGTCTTAATTGATCATTAGAAGAAGAAGACATTTTCAATGATTTATCTAAAATTGGGACTAAAAGAGATAAAGCTGGTTCGGTAACTTCAGCAACAAAAGTAACTGATGATAAATTCTTTATACAATCAGTGACCTTCTTTGGATCAGCTAAAGTATCAACGATAATATCATATCTATTTTGTAAATCCAAATTATCTAAAACTTTGACAAAACGTTTTAAAGTTTTCAAACCTTGTTTAGCTAATTCCGGTTTAAAATCGGTAGCTAAATCAGTTAAAATTGGAACAGCTTTGATAAATTTCATTTCCAAAATATCAGCAGGAACATCATCAATTAATCTTTCAAAATAATTCAAAGCACTAAGTTTGGCATTCCATTTTGCAGAGGAGGCCAAGTAGTCCAATAAATCATTAATAACTACGGTACCTAATGCTTCTACTGGGAAAATACCATATAAAGCATCAACTGCAGTCTTAGCAGCTTTGACGACATTTTTGTCTTTATCAGTGAATAAGTCATATGCAATATTGAAAAATTGAATTAAGTAAGCTTCCTTAGGAGTCTTACCACCAATATTGACTGCTAATTGCTGAATAATTAATAAAGCAGCCTCTCTAACTAAAGGAGAGTTTTTTGGCTTGGATAATGATTTCAAAATATCCAATAATTTCCATTCGTCAATAACTGATAATGAGTCGGCTTCTTCGGTAATTTTTTTGACTATACTTTCAACTTCTGGTTTAACATCCCCAATTTTAGATGCTTGATCAATTTTACTCAAGTTTTCTTGAATTGGGATATCACCAACATTAAGTTTACTCAAAGCAGTATTCAAAGATGATAAAGAAGCAGTAGATGAGTTAGCATTTGGAGTAGTTGGAGTTGCGGTTCCACTATTCACGGCTGATTCAACTGGAGTATTAAAGTCTTGATAGTTTTGGTATCCTTGGTTATAGTTTTGATATCCTTGATTGTAGTTTTGATATCCTTGATTGTAGTTTTGATATCCTTGATTGTAGTTTTGATATCCACCTTGATAATTATTGTAGCCTCTGTTATTATAGCCACCTCTACCTCTATTGTTATATCCGCCTCTAGAGTTATTATTCTGTCTGAAACCAAAACCCGTAGGCTGTTGTTGGGCCTGTTGCTGATTCTTCAAGAAATCGTCAAAAGACTGTTTATTAGACATCTTGAATTACTGGAAATGGGGCCGTTGGGGTCTTCGCTAAGAAACAAGCTCGCTTCGGTATTCAATGCCCTGGTAAAGTTTAAGATATAAAGAAGGAAGAGTAAGTGATGAGAAGGTGAAAAAAATCGATGATTTAAAAAATTTTCCTTTGTGAGATGCTTCACGTTCCTTTCCCGTCTCGCACAAAATTTGTCATCTACATACAAAACTTAAAACAATATTTAAATTATGAATTATATATAGTGATAACATGATGGTACATACTTATGCAATTAACTGTAGATATGATGGAATGAATACTGTGCACGAAAAGAAGTAGACAGTTACAAAAAGAAAAAAAAGCGGAAAACGTATAATATAAGGGATTGAAAAATGAAAAGATTGAAAAACTTAAAAATGAAGAGAATCAAGCATATTTGGTATCGTAAACGTACATGTCGATTGATGAGGGGGATGTTTCGGTAACAACGATGGCTTTATCCTTGGTAGCGATTAAATTGGAGGAGGATCTTGTATTTATTTTACTTTTCAATGTTTTGAAGGATGGAGGAAAAGCATGTTCGACAACTTCAAGATGCTTATCATTCTTGTTTAGTCTTATAATATCATCATTACCACTGAGCACAAATAACAGGCCTCCGTCGTATTTACCAATTTCAGTTGACTTTTCCTTGTTGAAATCCCACAATCCAACACTGCCGGAAGGTGGGGGAGAAATGTAGATGAGTTGATTGCGAGAAAGAGATATATCTGATAAATTATCAAGCTCTAAGTCAACTTTTGATTTTGTTTTTGTGAAAATATTGATTAAGTTCAATTTTTTCCCAGATTTGAAAATGACTTCGTAGGTGGAAAGAGTAGGATCATCACAGTTGAAAGGACCCTTAGAATTCTTCTTTGGCGATTTAGGAGATTGGTTAGCTTTATTTGGAACTTTCAACCAACCAACATAATCAATGGCATCAACGGAAAGAAAACCTTTGTTATAGCTTCCGATTTGCTTGTGTTTGACCTTATTCTTAAAACTAATTTCGAATATATCAATATGAGTACTGGTTGCAATAGTTAACCCCCAGGCTTTATATCCATCGGTCCATTTGTGAGAAAACCCAATTAAGGACAGGGATAACGGTCTCAAGGTTTTAGAAGCATAATTATGAATGATATTTTTGCTAACTCCCTTTTCACTAATTTCCAATAATTGAGCCGTTTCTTGGTTAATGAAAATATATTTTGAATGTGAGGAATCAGCCACTAAACAATAGACGTCAATTAAATCAGTTAATTTGGCATCTTTTGTAAGTGAATTACTACACAATGGCTGGTTGTTTTCAGGCGTCCAAACTTGTAGTATATTATTTGAATCTTCTTCACCAATAGTAATGATATAATCATCGTAAACATTTGTGAATATTCTTACATTTTTACCTGAGGGTTTCAAATTAATACTCTTGCATTCTTTTGGGCTGTTTTTCGATCCATTAGAATTATTTTCTTCAGTGGAGATCGAGTGGCTATTCGTTTCTTCATTGTTAGATGGTGATTCTTGAATTTTTTCATCTTGTACTTCTTGTGAGCCTTTACTCTTATGATTTTGTATGAATTCATTTAAGGGATCATCTTCGTTTTCATCATCGGTTTCCAAAGTCACGGTTTCCGCATCGCTTTCAACGATACTGTCATTGATAGAGTTATTACTTGGATTGGGAGAAGCTGGTGGAGAGGCATTCTTCGTAAAATCAGGCCCACAAGGGGAAGGTGCTGAGAGGGAATCTGGAATATCTGGTAGAGGATTAATTGTATCATTAAAGTCATTTACTTTTTCATCAAAGTCCTCATGCTCTGAATCGATTTCTTCTTGGGTCACTTCTTTTGTATCTTCATTAAATTGACGATTAAAAATGTTTGAAGAGTCATCAATTTTTGTAAGACTACCATTTTTTAGGTCGAAAACATCTTGGTTGTTATCATCGTTGCGATCGAATGAAAAGCTGTCGTGATCGTTAAAGTGCTTCAAATGATTTGAAGGCTGGTTCTTTGATTGATGTTCTGTATCAAGAGTATTGGTAAAATCATTAAAATAGAACTTATCGGAACTGAACAATTCATCTTGTTCATTGAGCTCTAAAGAGAAAGGGTCTGGTAAATCAAGATAATTCCCATTGTTTACACTTGGAGTTTTCAATAAATGAACTAATTCCTTCATTGATTTTGTTAATTGATACCTCGATTTCTTAATTACATCCAAATCAATTTCTGGGATTTCAATCGAGGTCTCAGTGTTTTCACCATTGACTTGAGATTTTTCTTCGTTGCCCAACTTTGATTTTAACACCTTATTTTCATTCTCCAATTGTTGAATTTTAATATTTTGTTTATTATTCACAAACTTTAATGCATTAATTTCGCCCTGATATTGAAGTAATTGATACTTCATCTCGTTTTTCTCCAAATTGGTCATTATTTTGAACCTTTCCAAGTTTGTGAATTCGCTCGTAAGATAATTGATTACTCCAGGTAATGTGTAATTAGCAAGGGGGGGTTGCATTTGCTGCTGCTGTTGTTGTTGCTGCTGTTGTTGTTGTTGCTGCTGTTGTTGTTGTATATGTCTTTGCTGTAGAACATGCTGTTGATTCATGCCATCCAGCCATTGTGAGTTCTTAGCGGTTCCGCCGTATGATTTACTCATGTCAACTTTTCTAAATGCCTTCTAATATAGTCTTCTATAATAATTTGAAATCTCCTTGGATCTTCTTGGATCGGCTAGCAACTTCAGTAATCTTTCTCTTTCCGAATAGCGTCAAGTAAGTAAGTTTAGGGGTTCTTTCAATATAACTTGAAGTTGTTCATAAAACTATGATGAATCTGGATCTATTGCTCGCGATCACGCCCCAAATTGGCACTTTTCAAATCGATAACCTGCGGATGTTGATTAGTCCAGTTACTCTGATCCGCCTGGATTGTGTTATGGTAAGTATCGGTCAAGTCCAGCAAGAAAAACCAATACTATCGAATGGGCAATTGAATTTCAATAAATTCTGATTTGATTCGTGTGTTATTTTGATTTTTTTTTTTGGTCGAGCCATTTTTTTTTTTTTGTTTTGTTAGCAAGACATTTCAGCACTGGAGAATTTGGGCTCGGACGGTGAATTGGCCATTGTTACCGATGGTTAAATGATATGAAACATGAGTAATTGGAAAGACCTACAAGACTAATGGACTCAAAAGTATGTATTTATAAAAGATATTGAGAGTGGTTGAGGTTTAAGATATATAATGTACAAAGGATGAAGAATAGGGAAGTTAGTTTTTGGCAGCAGCCCAGTCGTTTAAACCGTATTTATTTCTGGCAATTTCAATGGCGTAGAATTGAATTCTAACGGCAAATATGGTGCCGTCTTGAGAGTATTCATCCGAAGCCTTGGTTCTTAATAAAGTACCGAAATTGTAATCTTCCATTTCTTTGAATTTTTCACAGAAAGTTCTCCACTTGGCTTTACCGGATGGACTCTTCATGGAAGCTTCGTCAATGACGGCAACGTTACCTGGTTCTTTGAATTCTGGGAAATCTTCTAATAAGGTTTCCAATATGAAATCATCTTGTTTGGTCAATTTTAACTTGGATCCTGGGATTTTTTCTAATAACCCCCAGTAGGTTTCGGCTTGCATAACAGCCTTGACAGCGAATTGTTTTTCGATGTCTTCTAAGTTTTCGGCAGACTCGGCGTTGAAGGTAGACATTATGTATTTGGCTAATCTAAAAAACTTATGTAGTTGTTCTTCACTATTCTTTCAGTATTCAATTAATGAAAAAAAAAAAAAATTTTTTTTTTGATGAGTTCAACAAATACACCCGTACACATCGACGAATCTAGGGTTGCAAAGACTATACTTTGTTATCGATGATCCAGTTTGCAGCATCAATGCCGCTTTGATAAGCACCGTGTACACATCCGGCACCGTCAGAAATGGTGTGCTCGCCGGCAAAGCGGATTGGGCAGTTGTAGAGGCCGGTGCCGGGGAACTGGGCCAGAAGCTGGATGATCAAGTCCGAAGGGTCGTCGTCGACGTGAAGAGCAGCGTAGGACCCCCGAATAAACGGGTTCTGAGTCCACTTGGAGGTGATGGTGTTGATGGGGTCGGCGACTGACTGGCCGTGGGCACAGAGGCGGCGAAGCATTGGTTCGTAGTAAGACCAAGCCTTCTCGGGATGTGCCTCTAAATATTCGGTTAGTGGCGATTGAGTAAGAATAACAAGACTGCTAGCACTGGCCGATTTATGTATTGAAGCATAGTTGAGCACGTACGCTGGGAAAGTAAATGGCGGGGGGGATTCTGTGATTTGCTTTGAAGGGACGGTATCATTTTCACTAGCTAAAATTAAAAAACGATCTTCGTTAAGGTCCCACCAAGGGGTTGCAAACTCAAAAACAACTTTACCCAAAGCACCAAAATGAATTGATGATAAAGCATCGGTTATTCTGTCTGGAAGAGGAGGATTCCATTCTAAACCATAGGGATGTTTGGGGTCTAGTTGAAGAACACTTTGAGGAACAGTAACCACCAAGTAATTACAGAGAAATACCTCACCATTGGCTGTTTCCAAAGCTATGTTATAGTCATTGAGTTGATTATTTCGATTTATCTTCTTTACTTGAGTGTTTAAATGGATTTGCTGTGGAGGAATGGATTTGCATAAATAATTAATTAGAGTTTTATATCCCCTTTTATTATATAGATCACGTCCATGGTGATCCATTATAGCATACTTCCCGCTTATCTTATCCCAGGTTATACCATACCATAACTCTAAGTACCTTAATATTTGACCACTTAATTTTTTCTGAATCGGAGTAAGGAAAACATCATACTGTCTCTTGTATTCTTCAATGATTTCACTCAACGATACATCCTTCACGTCTAAAGAGTCATGGAAGTATATCTCGATGAATTTCTCCATTTCCTCCACTACCCGGTTCAACTTCAGTTCAATCATATTGACCGGACCGTCTTGGTTATACACTTTGCGATCCTTATTGTCGAAATACCCGTCCTCCCCCACGTCAAAGATGTCAGGATCGTTGGCGGCAATTAGATCGGCCAAGGTTTGGTTCGATAGTAAGTCATGGAACCAAGCAGCACCCAAATCATACTTCAATCCTAATTTCGATTCTTTTACATCGCTGGTTAAAAGCCTTCCTCCAGCATAATCTTGAGCCTCCAAGATAACCAAATCTTTAGAGGAAAACTTGGTTGAGTCCACAAGGGCTTGAGCAGCTTTCAATCCTGCAACCCCTGCTCCAATTATACAAATTTCGTTCGATGGCATCGCTGGTCTGGGATTAGAAGTAGTATAGAATAAAAAATCGCGTTATTAGGAGACCAGATGACTAAACAAAATGAAGTAGATAAATTGATTTAGATAAATTGTAGATAAATTGCTTAAGAGAATTCCACCACATCGAATCAATAAATGACCCATGTCTGAAGATTAATGACAGCGGATTACGTTTGCAGACCTGTTCGTCTCCATGATATAACATTACGCAATCACCATTTATTGAAAATTTTCTAATATTACAGGAAATATATAAGGGTATAAGATTATCTATAAACATGCCGGATGCCATTAGTGACGTAGTCAATCAAAGTCCCAATGTCTTTCGAACATGAGCACGGATTTGTCTATTATACTCTTCACGATCATCTCTCCATAACTTGCAAGCATCAATGTTGGCTCCACTTTCAGGATTAGGCTCTGCCAACATGGACATGACACTCAACAAGATCTTTTCTATGCTCTGCACTGGAGACCATCTTTCTTCGGGGCGCTCGTATTGATTAGGATCTTCTCCCGGGGCATGAAGAATCGATATACAAACACTCCCATCAGCATAAATATTAGGGTGCAACAAAGGTGGATCGAACTTCAATGACGGTGGACTCAACGGATAATCTTGGGGGAATTTTAATTCGGCTGGGAATATCCCATTCTCGTACGGAGTATCAGTTGGTCCTTCCAATAAGCATTCCCAGGTAAATAAATCATCTTCAGAAACCGGGCCTGCCACAATTCCCGGTGGAGGGTCTCTCGCAAGTTGCTGGTATTCTTTCAAAAGTCTTTTCTGGGCAGTGGAACGGGGAGGCATCGCTTTCAACTGGTAACTGGGCTTATCAATAGATGAATAACCCAGTTTATGTCTCAATTTCATAAAGTCTTTTGATCGATTTGGTGATTTTTTGGACAGCGCACGGAATTCTTTTTTAAAGCCAGAGGAGAATTTCCCAAAAAAACCAAATTTTTCAATCTTGATCTGATCTTGAATCTTTTGATATTAAAGCATTGGCCAAAAATACCATTGATTACTGAGAAGATTTAGAAAAGTGCTGCTACCATGGTTCAATTATTTGCTGCTAAAGTTAAGAATGTGTTAAGTGCTGACACACTTGTACTTGTCCCCACAAAAACTGCCCAATTTCCAGCACCAGAAAGGTTATTAACTCTCTCGTATGTTCGTGGACATGATAGTTTTGAAACAAGAGAGTTTTTGAGACAGTTGTTGATTGGTAAGGAAATCAAGTTTAAGGTTTTATACAAGATTCCAGCTAGTGGTAAAGAATTTGGTGATGTCCAAGCACCAATTTTCAAATCATTAATTGAGTACTTGGTTGAACGTGGACTTGTTCAAGTTAAGGAAAACTTGACTGACGACGACGATAGCACTAATGAGTTCATTCAAAACTTGTATGGTTTGGAAAACAAAGCTAAGTCTCAGTCAATTGGAATATGGGATGATTCTAAACCAAAAATTGAATTAATACAATTTGATGATTCGATTTTAGAGAAAGTCAAACAAAACTCGGTTGGTGCCATTGTAGAAAAAGTCATTAGTGGTGATCGTATTGTTACACGCTTGTTGCTCAATAAGTCTCAGCATTCGTCTACGCCATTCATATTGGCTGGTATCAAATGTCCAAGAACCGATGATTCTACTAATGTCAAGATTGCCCAACAAGCTAAGGTTTACGTTGAAGAAAAATTGTTAACTACCAAGTCTAATATCAAGGTTAAAGTCATTGGAGAAAACCAAACCGGATTGCCAATTGGTATTATTGAACATCCTTCAGGGAATAATATCCATGAAAAGTTATTGGAAAACGGGTTTGCAGAAGTTGTTGATTGGCAATCTACTTTGGTTGGCTCCACTTATATGAGCGGCTTAAGAAGAGCAGAACAATCTGCCAAGAGTTTGGCTAAAGGATTATTTAGTAATTTTGTTTCAGCACCTGCCCCTTCAACTACAAAAGTTATCGGTAGTAAAAATTTAAAACCTGGTTCTTCTATTAATAATGTCACCGTTGCTAAAGTCATCAATGCTGACACTTTAAACTTCCGCTTGCCCAATTCCGAAGAGGAAATAACTGTTCAATTGGCCTCGTTACGTGCTCCTCGTCCAAATGATTTAACTGTTACTTCAAATAAATTACAACAACAAGCTCTTGTTAACACTGCTCGTGAATTTGTCAGAAATCAAGTCATTGGTAAGACTGGCCAATTATACATTGATGGATACCGCGAAGCAAATGCTGACTTAGGACTTGATTCAAGATTTTTAGTTAGCTTTAAGTTTGGTAATCAAGATTTATCAGAATTACTTGTTAATAACGGTTGGGCATCAGTTATTAAACATAATAAAGCCACTAGTCATGAAAGATCATTAAATTGGGATCGTTTGGTGGAATTAGAAGAAAAGGCAAAGAACGATGCTAAAAAGGGAATTTGGTTCAGTGGAGATATTAATAAGATATTAACTGTTGGTACTAGAATCGTTGATGCAAGTGAAAATGCCACCAAGGCTAAGACTTTTTTCAATTCTTTCAGTAAAAAGGGAAGAATTGGAGGATATTACGTTGATTTCATTTCAGGAGTTAATAGAATCAAATTATTCAATCCAAAAGAAGGTTCAAGATTAACTTTAGTTTTAGGAGGTTTAAGTAACGAAAAATCAATGGCAAATGAACAAGGTATCAAATTCTTAAATAAAAAATTTTTACAAAGACCAATTGAATTTGAAATTTACGATCTTGATAAAATTGGATCTTTTATTGGTAATTTATATGCAAATTCGAAATCTTTATTACCTATTCAAACTTTGTTATTGGAAAATGGTTATAGTTCAATTCATGAAATTGCTGCTAGCAGTAATAAATTTTATGATGAATTAGTCAAATCCGAAGAATCTGCCAAAGAATTGAAAAGGGGTGTTTGGTCGAACTACGATCCAAAGGAAGCAGCTCGTAAACAAGACGAAGAAACCGCTAATAAACTTCTGAAATTATCAATTGATTCAAAACCCCAATTTTTCGATATCGAAGTTACTGACATTGATACCTCTGGTATTATCAGTTACCATAAGCTAGATGCGTCCACTGTTAAAAAATTTTCCGAATTCAAGAATGGTTTTGGTCAATTTCATTCTCAATTGCCAAGTGCAAGCTCTAACTCAACTGATCTTCCATTCAATTTGACAAAACCTCCTAAAAAGGGTGAATTGGTTTCTGCTAAATTTAGTGAAAACGGTAAATACTATCGTGGAAGAGTAGTCAATTTCGATAAGTCAGCTAATGAATACCAGGTTAAACATATCGATTTTGGTAATATAGATCAAGTCCCTCTTAGCTCTTTAAGATTATTACCAAGCCAATTCAACCTTACCCAATACCCACCTTTTGCCCATACCTGTCAATTACAAAATATCAAATTACCACCAACCAAACCAACAGACTACTTGACGGAAGCCTTGTACACTTTAGAAGATTTATCCTTCGATAAAAAATTGGTTCTCAGTGCCTTACCTTCGTCTACAAACGGAGTTGACTTTGACGCCGTTCTCTACGACTCAGAACAATCCTTGAAAAACCCAACTTACACCATCAACAAACAATTGGTCTCTGAAGGTTGGGGTATCGTTGACTCCAAACTAGTCAAATCTCTGGTCGCTGACTACGTCAAAGAAATCACCAATGCTCAACAAACTGCCAAAAAACAACATTTGGGATGCTGGGAATTCGGTGACGTTTCCTTCGATGAAGACAACGATGCCTTGATCTGATCTACAACGCTATATAAAACAATACAAAGCTACCCATTATTGTAAAGCTCATTAATCTTTGTAATTCCGTCTAGTAGTTGAAAAACCCAATTATTCTTCGAAGTTCTCACTTTTTCTCTCGTTTTTTGCCTTTGATAAAAAGTTAACAACGCTGAAAAATTAATTTTTCGTTGAATTTTACTCCTTTCTTCTTCTTCTTCTTGTTTCCGGTTAAACTCCAAGAAGGATATACTTGATTGATTGAGAAGAGAATCACGATGAACCCAGCTATCACCAATTTGGCAGTCATGCTTGTCATGATGCAAGTTTCTCGTCGTTTAGACTTGGAAAATCCAGATGTTTTATTCTATGTTCGTGCTTTCTATGCTTCTTGTCAAGTTGTTGCCTTTTTGATCTATTCTTACACTAAATACGTTATCAACAAGAAGAATGACTTGACCACCTTGAAATACGTCGAACCAGCCAATCCAATGTCTGGTGAAACCGAACCAAAGGCAGTCGTCACCACCGTTAAAGAATATGATTTGAAACAAGTTGATACTTTAATTAGAGGTATCTTCACTGGTTTAGCCATGATGGGTTTCATGCATATATACATGAAGTTCACTAATCCATTGGTTATGCAATCTGTTTCTTCTGTTAAGTCTGCTTTGGAATCAAATATTGTCAAAATCCACCTTTTTGGTACTCCTGCTTCTGGTGATTTGAAGAGACCTTTCAAAGCTGCTCCAGGTTTATTACAAGCTTTGCAAGGTGGTGCTGGTGGTGCTGAAGTTAAAACCGATAAACACTCTGTCGAAGCTGCTGAAGCAAGTGGTGCTGGTGGTATCAAGGAAGATTAAATGGCTTTTTTTTGCTTTATTAGAGGAGTTTCCTCATCGTTATCTACATATTTCTTTATAAACAAATTTAATTATTATTATGTATTATTTCCCGTGATTTCTAGTGTATTTAATCGAGTTCTCCATCGGTTGGTTCTACCAAAATAGTCTCTTGTTCTTTACCTCTAACAAATCCAATTATATCTAATAACTTCCCACTAACATATAATTCTTTAACTGTCCATTTACCCTTATTGTAAATCTCTGGAACTGCTGAGTTCAATGGGATTATTAACCCCTGATATAACTCTTTGAAATTGACCACGTCTTGTGCACTCATTTCAGTTTCATCATGCATCTTTTTAAAAGCTCTGGTGATCCATTCTGGAATATATTGTTCATCTTCTTGCTCTTCTTGATAACTGTCACGGTTGAAACAACGAATTAAGTAAAGCAACCAAACTTGATCTTGCAAGCCTGAATCAACAATGGTGTCATAAGAAATAACCCCTAAACTCACAGTCAATGATCTTTGGAATTTGATATCTTTTTTATATACATTTTTCAAAGTAACAAATCTTTTCTTATTCTTGGAATCAGCTAATAGTTCTTTTTCAAGTTTTTTCAAACTTTTAATACTACCAGAGTAAATTTCCCTTTGAGACTTTATATAAACTTCAATAGTTTTATAATATTTTGATTCATTTTCATTTGTTGGAATCTTGATGTTATTGATTATACTCAATTTTGCATCAAGTGCTTGACGTAATTGATTGATACCAGCTAGTTTCATTCTAAGAGTTAAGGATTTCTCCCATGGAGTCTTAACTAACCATTGGAAAAGTAGTATAAGATTGTCAGGAACAGTGGTACGAGAAATGAAAAAAATTATTCCGTCTTCGTATTGTTTATAGTTGTCCTTTCCAGTTTCGGTTTCATCATTTCTTATGACTGAAGTAGTATAATCTGATAATTTTGGAAATTTTACACCCTTTTCTTCCAAACCTGGTAACGATTCAATTGGTAACTTAATTTTCAAAGCAGTAGTATCGGCTGGATTACCTTCAATAACGAATCCATAGGCCAATAGTAATTCTTCGTTACCCTTTTGACCATAGTTATTGAAAACTTCAGGATATTCATTATCCTGGTCTGCTTTGAAATTGAAATACGCTTGGTCATCCGATTTATTCACTGACCAATGGACTAAAGCCTTTGGATTGTGGTTCAATAAATCAATTAATGGCAACAACATCACCTCATCATCCCTGAAAGTGTGTTTACTCTCGATGTTATCCTTCAATAAATATGCTGGGAAAGATCTTGATTTCAATATCATTGATGCCCATAAGTAATTGGCGAAACTAGTCCAATTCTCAACGTCTTCGTCACTGACAAAATATTTATACAAATCATCGTCAGTGTAAAACTTGAATTCATAATAGAATTTCATATTAACGAAATGTTGAGTTGGTTTCTTTATTCCTTCTGGTAATTGATTAATCATTTGCCACCATTCTTCAACTAATTGACCAAGATTGTCCTTGATTGAATTGCCCAAATTGGTACCTTTTAAATAAGCTTTATCTTTGGCATCCCAAAAGTATGGTGAGTCCATTTGGGAAAAGCCAGGTAAGAGTTTTAAATATTCTTTATGAAAAGATTTCTCAATAAGCTCACTGGTTCTTTCACGGGCTAAGTATAACTTAAGCACGGAATTTGTGTTCAGGGTCTTGGAACTGACGTCTTCAAAATCAGTTCCGTCTTCTTTATTGAACGATTCGATAGCATTTGAAAGAGTTATAGCCAATTTAATTGGAAGTTTTATTGAATTTCCATCTTGCAAAACTCGTTCCTTTTTATTTGCATCCTTATAAACACCACCAATATTGGACTCGCCAACTTCTTTGAATTCAATTTCTGGAGCTATTTGAGCACCGTTTTCCAATGCCCATTCAACTAATCCTGTAATACTAGACATTTTCTGTTCAATATCCATTGAAAAGACGTCATTGATCTTCTCTTCCCTCAGAATTTTCAATATTTCGATGTCTTCGGAGTGCACACTGAGAAAACAAAAAAATCAGAAAAATGGTGAGATTATGAAAAGTTCAACTGATCAACTACTTTAATCATTAATAAGTTAGATCCAAAAGATGTTAGGTAGAACTTTGATGCATATGAGAGCTATCAGAGGCTCTAGAATAGGCTGTTTGGCAAGGCCAACGCCAGTGTTTGGCACTAGATTATTCAGTCATTCCAGAATAATATCGAATGAAGCAAAGGAACAAACCCCGGACCAACCATCAAAACCAGAGGCCAAGAAAGCAGAAGAAGCCAAAGGAGAAGTCAAAGACGAAGCTAAACCAAGAAAGAGACCATTAAGTAGAGTTGCTATTGGTGGATCTCAACAAGGGAGTAAAAGTTTTGCTTCGAGTAATAGTATTGAATTTGCCTCGTGGAAGGCCGTTGTTGTCTTGATTGTGCTTGGTGGTGCTGCTACTTATTATTTTAGTAAAGAAAAAGAAAAATTGAGAATCCAAAGAGAAGTTGAATCCAGAAGAGGGCATGGAAAACCATTGATTGGAGGAAATTTCAATTTAATTGATACCGAAGGTAAGCCATTTACTCAAGAGAATTTGAAGAATGATGATAAGAAATTCTCAATAATTTACTTTGGTTTCACTCATTGTCCTGATGTTTGTCCTGATGAATTGGAAAAATTGGGTGAAATGTTGGAAGATTTGAAGAAAAATGACAATATTGAATTGCAACCATTATTTATTACTTGTGATCCTAATAGAGACTCTCCAGATATTGTCAAACAATACTTAGCGGATTTCCATTCCTCTATAATTGGGTTGACTGGTACTTATGATAATGTAAAGAATGCTTGTAAGAAATATCGTGTTTACTTTTCCACTCCTCCAAATGTTCAACCAGGTCAAGATTATTTAGTTGATCATTCAATCTTTTTCTACTTAATGGATTCTGAAGGTAACTTTGTTGATGTTATTGGTAGAGAAGCCGATGCTAAGGAAGGTGCTGAAAAAATCAGAAAGCATGTCGATGCATTTATCCCACAAGCTGAAAGAGAAGCCAGAAAAGAATCATGGTTAGGATTCCTTTACAAATAAGCTTTTTTCAGTAAGTTCTTGTAAATAGTAATATCATGTTTATATAAGCGAATAAATTGCTTCAGTTTCTACATGTTTTTATTTTTTTTTTGGTTTGTTTAAAAATTGTCATAATTTTACTAAAAGTTATACAACTATACGGCCAATCTTCTATAGCCCCCACAAGCTTTACATTCTTCTTGGTGAGCGAGCATCATTTCTTGAGCCTTGGTTGGATCATCAACTTCTTTTGGTTCTGGCCAAGATAAGTATTCATTAGAGTAGTTAGATTGATAATCTTGAGGTAATATTTCCAATCTCTTACCGTAAGCAGTAACTTTTCTCCAATCACGATGGACATTGTATAATGATTCAGAAAAGTAAGCAAAGCATCTTTCAAACATTTTTTGATTCAATTGAGAAGTCATTTGAGGTTTGAAATCGGAATATTCTTCCCAAGCTTGTTTTGGATTGGATAAGATATAATCAGTAGCTCTTTTAATTGCAACCAAAAATTTCCTAACTTTTTCAGGGTTTGCTTCCAAAAACTTATCATTACAAATGTATAAGATAGTACAGAAACAGCAGCAACCTAATTCAGCTAATTTATCGATTCTTAACATCTTAGCATCAGAAATTGGTCTACCTTGTTTTTTCAAGTAATCTTCTAATTCAACTTGTTGAATACATTCGATACCAATACCAGCATCGATTTTACCTTCAATGATGTACTTAGCAACATTCATACCACATCTAACAGCAGTGTAGTCATCAGGAGTCATACCATAATGTTTCGTTAATTCATCAATTTGAATCTTACCAAATTCACCAACGTAACCAATTCTTTTACCTTTCAAAGAATGGAAATCAGGAGTGATACCAGATCCTTCCAAATACAATACACCAGTGAATGGTTCATCCAAAAGGGAAGCAACAGAAGTAACTGGGAACCCTCTTGCCTTAGCAGCCAAGGTGTGAACCATAGCTTTCAATCCCATATCAATTTTACCTGAACCAATCAATTCAGTTACATCAGAAGGGTTAGAAGGTTCTAAGATCGAGATATCAACCCCAGCATCCTTGAAGTAACCTTTCAATTGAGCAATGTAAATTGGAATGTGATAAGGAGTTGGTTGCCAGTTTAATAAGAATGAAATTTTTTCAGTAGCCATTTTTGATTAATTAATGATACTGAATAAAAATGCTTTAAAATTGGGAAATTGGCCACCTATTTATATCAATTACCGGAATAGAATTGATCCAATCGGTCAGCAATTGGAATTGAAGAGGAGAAGTAGTCAGGGGATAGAGGGTATTTCTGCTGCCCAAAATGTTGAGTAAACTTGATTGAGTCAATCACGTTCCGGATAAACAAGGGGGAAATTAAAAGCATATATTTCCCAAGCACCGAATCTTAACCAATACCGACTTTGAAAGCTCAATTGAGTCTTGTTAATTGACCCTTTACAACATCTAATCCCGGTCTTTGGCCCATAGCCATGGGTATTTTCAATTTTCAATCTGGACGACTGCTCAATTACAAACCTTCCAAACTGGGGCTTCCCAACAACTACTTTCCAGCACTGTTAATGGTGTCTAGAAGCACCAAGTATATAGACAATTAAAAGCCAAATAGGTATATCTAGTATTTGTGTGCAGCGATAAGTTTTGCAGCAATGTAATTTTGCACTGTTTAAAAGTGCGCAACTTGATTTCTTCTAAATGCATATCCTGATTGATCGGGGGTCTACAATTAAAGGGTAGATAAAGTTATATAATTACTGGGGGTCTTCAGAGTAATCGTAGCAAGCACCGAAGAAGTCAATTTCTAGAGTTAGGGTTTGTAGAAAGATTTGTTCACTTTTTTTCTTTGCATCTTCAGTGGTAACTACTCTATTTACTTCGTTTTTCAAAAATTGTACCCAGCCAGTGAAAGCTTCACCACTGTGTAAGATGATCCACTCGTTGTACTTATAAGCCAAGTCTTTAGGAATGGTTCCTTTCTCCAAGTGGTAGTTTGCCCATCCTAGATATACTTCTTCCATGACATACATGAAAGTTATTACTTCAACGTAAGAGTTACATTCGAAGACCAAATAGTTCAATAAATCAATGTACGACTGCACCTGGGGTAAAGTGATGGGATCTTCTTGTAGCATTTGGGGAACCTTCAGTTTTAGTTCAACCAAATTCTCTGATTTCAATTGATCCAAGCATTTGAAAAAATAGTCATTTTCGTCATTGGAAACAAACCCAATCTGCTTACCTAAAGTAATTGCAGCTTTTGCATCGTCGCATAACGCCAACGTCTTACCGAAGAGGTTGAGACCAACTTGGAAAAATTTCAAGTCCTGAGTCAAATACGTGAATAGTTTATAGTCCGGTAAAGTACCCTGGCATAATTCGTTGGTTAATGGGTGGGTGATGGATTCGGTGTAAACTGAGTGATGCTTAGCGAGAAGCTGATCAACAAAAGAAGACATTCTTGCTTGAAAGGACCACCTTAATCACCATTACCAATCAATCTCCGATACTAACTCTATTAATATAAACTCAACAATTGGAGATCGACTGCTAAATTGCACACAAGGAAACACCCGTACCCCTTATGCGCTTATGCGTAATCCTTCTGAGAGATTAAATGAGGAAACGGAACCATTTCCTAGCAATTGATTAATTAAGAAAAATTGACTTTAAATTAATAGATGTACGAATGGCTTTCTTGTAGTTGTATAGTATCTGGTGACTTCTGTCGAGTGTGAGACGCCTCGTGTATATATTGGACCAAAGGGAAGGCTGAAAAAACCATTTCAATTGGTCAAAACAAGGATGAATGAAGAAACATTGAAGACCAAGGACGGCGGAGAGGAATTGGTGAATAGATCGTATTCCGTAGAAGACGAGCCGGCTCATGGTAGTGCTGAAATTAAGTTCAAGAGTAATAAGTACTTGGGGTGGATGTACAAATTGGATAATTTGGGGATTGAAACCAGAGGAATTGAAAGAGTATCGCCGGCAGAACGTAAGCAGATCCAACAGCTGAAAAAACACTCTAGGCTTGAACAGTTTATAAATGTTGCTGGGTTGTGGTTTGCAGCTTGCGGTGGGTTAACTTCGATGTCAAGCTTTTTCTTGCCAACGCTATCGTTTGGATTAAATTTACGAGATGCTTTAGTTAGTGGATTGATTGCAATGATAATTGGTTGTTTGGTACCGGCCTACACTTCCACAATGGGGTCCAAATCTGGCTGCAGGCAAATGGTGAGTGCCAGGTTTTTGTTTGGTAATTGGGGGGTGAAGTTTGTTTCATTAATATGTATAGTTGGTGGAATTGGATGGTCGATTGTTAATTGTGTATTAGGAGGACAAATTTTAAGTGCAATCAATAACGATGTTGATTTAGCGGTTGGAATAGTTGTTATAAGTATCATAAGTTTGATTATTGCGGTTTTTGGAATCAGAGTCTTACTTAAGTTCCAGACGATCTTAGCAATTCCAATCACAATTGCAGTTATGTTATTCTACGTGGTTGTTTGTCAAAAATCAGGTTATCTCCATGATAGTAACAAGCTGGTTCAAGATTTGAACACCGACTCAGTCACGTCCAGAGGTAACTGGTTGTCTTTTTTCACAATTGGTTATTCGGTTACTGCCACTTGGGGGTCTGGTGCTTCCGACTATTATATTTTATTCCCTGAAGATACTCCATCTTATCAAGTGTTTTTAATGACTTTCTTGGGTATCAGTGTGCCCACCACTTTTGTTGCAATCATTGCCACAATCTGCGGGACCATTGCTTATAGCTATCCCCCTTGGAACAAGGCTTACGAATCATATGGCGTAGGTGGATTATTGAATGCTGCTTTTGACCATTGGGGTGGGTTTGGGAAATTCGTGGTTGTTATCTTGTTTTTATCATTGGTTTGTAACAACATCATGAACACTTATTCGTGTGCGTTTGAGTTTCAATTGATTGATCGTCACTTAGCCGTTGTTCCTCGTTGGTTGTGGGCCACTTTAGTCACGGTCATCTATTTGATCTTATCATTAGTTGGTAAAAATCATTTTTCCACAATCATTGGCAACTTCTTGCCGATGTTGGGCTATTGGATCTCCATGTATATAACCTTGTTGCTAGAAGAAAACCTTTTATTCCGCTCATCCCAGAAGATGAAGAAACTCCATTATAAAGAGTACGGTTTTGAAACTTGTTCAAGTTTTTCAACCGACATTGAAAAAAATGGCCCCGTCGATGCTCCCGTCGGTTCTTGGTTGTACTTGTACAACTGGGACAAATGGAACAAGCCGGAAAATATCACCTTTGGCTTCGCTGCTGCCATTGCCTTCTGCTGTGGTGTTGTTGGTGCTGCCATGGGAATGAGCCAGGTTTACTACGTCGGACCAATTTCCCAGTTGGTGGGTAACGGGGACATTGGGTTTTGGTTGGCAATGGCCTTCTCCGGCGTCTCCTATCCGCTATTGAGATACGTGGAGCTCAAGCGCTTCGGCAAATAGCTTTCTATATAATTATATAATAATGGATCCTTTATAGACTGAATATAATTTTGCAACCGAAGGAAAAGGCCCAACCCGCAGTAAAATCAACAAAAAAAAAAAAAAAAAAAAGACAATAAGAAAACGTTGAAGAGGATAAATTAAGTTATCTACAAATAAACAATCAATTTGCAACGGGTTATTGTTGACTGAAGTTGGTGATAATCAGAGTTTGTGATAATAAGACTACGTGAAAGAATACGTGATAACTTCTAGCCAACGCTTTTTCTTCCCGGCACTATTATGACTCAGGAATTAACCCCAGAACAAATCGATACCTTTGATAAGGACGGAATGCTTTGCATTCCTGATTTCTTAACTACCAGTGAGGTGCAGGGCTTACTTAAAAGATCACATGAACTCCTAGACGGATTTGATATCGGTGATCATCCGAGGACCCAGTTCAAAACTGGCGATAACGATCATATTGGAGATGAGTATTTTTTCAATTCTTCGGATAAAATATCATTTTTCTTTGACGTGGATGCCTTTGATGATAATGGACAATTGAAGTATCTGAAACAACAGGCCATCAATAAGATTGGACATGGATTGCATATGAAAGACGAGGTTTTCGCTAATTTGACTTTCCTCAACAAGATCAAACGAGTTGCCCAAAGCTTAAAATACTCGGATCCTCGTATTTTACAGAGTATGTTGATTTTTAAACAGCCAGTTGCTAATTCAACCGAACGTCAAAATGGTGTTCCATCCCATGCAGACGCAGCTTTCCTCTACACCCAGCCTCAAACTGCTTTGGGGTTCTGGTTTGCCTTAGAAGATTGTACGCGTGAAAATGGTTGTTTATCCTATAACCCAGGTACTCATAAAACTTTCCCAATAACGAAAAGATTTGTCAAAATCAATGGGGGTCAAAGCGGCACCAATTTTATACCGGTGGACTACGACAAGTCCAAACCAATTCCTCAGGACAACCCCGATGACTATAAGTTGGTTGAATGTAAGGCTGGTTCCTTAATTCTTATTAATAATTCTGTTCTCCATAAATCAGAGTCAAATAAGTCAAATAAATCCCGTTTTGCTTATGCTTTCCATCTCATCGATGGCGTCGATGGTTACGATGAATTGAACTGGCTTCAAGTGCCTCCTGGTCCTACCAGAGGCGTTGAATTCTCTAAATTATACTCTTCGTAGTGAATATATATGTCTTTAATGTACGGATCTAGATAAGCACATGGTCACGTGACTACCCTCCTAGTAGCTTATCGCATTGTACTCCACAATAAATCAAAACAATCGCCTCCTTTCTCTTTTATCCCTTGGTCTATATATTCTACTTCTTTTTACTAATCTTATAATTTGCTTATTGAAACTTACTTAAATATTATTGAAACCACTGATTAGATCCGTGTTTTCCTACTTGTTTTTCCTATTAACCACTCTTTTCACTTTGTTTTTGGGTAAGGGATATCTAATTGCCGCTCATTCCTTTAAAACTTGGTATGTCTCTTTCTTCTGATACCCTTGTTGGTTCTTCCAAAGATTCCAATGATATTAAGAAAAATGTTGTTGATGATCCCAGCTCTGTAGAATCTTCTGCTAATTCTTCTAAGTTTCCTACTCCAAATAATTATTTGGATGACAAACCTTCAAGAATTGTTCATTATAAACCTGGTGAACAAATTCATATCAAAAGGGCTTCAAGTAAAGATCAAGATAGATTTGCAAATGAAGATAATTTCTTCTTTCTTAACTCTCATATTTCAAAAAATCATGCTTCAATTTCTTTACTTGGTGATGTTTTGAAAATCAAAGATAATAACTCTACATTTGGTACTATCTTGAATGATTCCTTTTTAATTCCTGGTCATTGGTTTGAATTATGTGATGATGATGTTTTGGGATTAATTATTTCAAAACCTTCAGAATATGTTCGTAAAATTCATCAGAAATATGTTACTAATGGTGATCATGTGATTTCTCTTGATTATTTTAATAATCCTCAGTTAGGTTTGAAATTTAGGGTTAATTTGGATTATGATAATAACTGGATTAAATTAACCCAAATTTCTGGAAATTCTACTTCAAGCGTTATTAATATTGATGATGATAATGAAACTAAAGTCTTTGATATTGAAGATGATGTTATTGATGTTGATCACGTTGCAGAATCTCTGAATACCCCCATTGTAGTTAATGTTGAAGAAGACTCCTCTTTTGATCAAGATACTCATCAAAATGAAGAGAAAGTTCTTGAATATGAACCCTATGCAGTTTTAGGTGAAGACGAAGATCAAGTGAAGAATGACGAAAATCTATCTCATCATGATGACAAAAAATTATTGAAGTTTGCTAGACTTAAAGAAGAAATCCATTCGTATCATAAGGCAAAACAATCAGAAAAAGCAAATAATGATCAAATTAAACAAAATTTCGAAAATTATCAATCTATCATTGATGATGAGGAAGCCGATAAGAAAAATGACCATGATGATGTAAATGACGATTGCAAGAAACTGGATGATTCCAAAGATGAAATCGATTATGAATTTTATTCAGATGGCGTCTCAGAAGATTTTGGTTATATAGTTAAAAACCCACCAGTTAAATACGTTATGAATGATTCTGAAGACGACAATGATGAAAGCGATGAGGATTTCGCTTTGAATGAAACGAAAAACGACGTTGATGACGAGTTCATCTCCGATGGTATTTCTGAAGATGAAATTGATTTCATCGTGAAAAAACCTAAAATTAACTATG